ATTTTAATAGAAAGCCCCAGGGTCTGCGCTTCCTTGATAGTCTTTGCAGTATCATGTCGTGGAGGATCTGAACAAGGCATTATACCCAAGATCTCCCACTCGCCATCACCGCACTTCCGAGCCACGCCGAGCGACCGGAACCCACGAGTTGCAAACTCTGCCACTTTGTTCTTGTATGCCTGTTCGATATCCTCCTCTATGTGATGATCCTGCTGGACTGTCTTCAGTACAAACAAAGGGGATCCCTTGACACAAGTGATTCGTTGACCCTGAGGTGATTGTACTACTGCCGTGACCTTTTTTGAGACCGGGTCAAATGGGGAGAAATCGAGCACCTTGAACTGCGGGAGCATCGTTTTGGCGTCTGGGTACTCGTTCAAGGCCTTGAAGAAAGCTCTGTCGATGGCATCCATACCCTTCTTCTTTCTGGAAGCAGCTAAGCATGCTGTGAGCATAAGGTCCTCAGGATTGACTCCAGCTACCGTATATGGCTCTGTCAATGATAGTTTATTCTTAGTCAATGTGCCGGTTTTGTCAGAACAAAGTATCTCGACTCCGGCGAGTGATTCAATGGCAGAGAGCTTCTGAACAATCGCTCTTTTCTTTGCCAGATATGCTGCACCAACGGCCATCGTGGTTGTAACGACAGCTGGCAAGCCTACCGGAACACCTATCATAGTGATGGCCAGGGTGAACTCAAGGATAGTTGTTGTATTGTTTGAACGGTAGAATGACGATACCCAGACAACAATCAAGGTTATGACGACGAGGACAAGGAGGACAATACTAATACCATGGAGGACTTCAGTGAAGTGACCGGTGCCAGTTGACGCAGCATTGACCAGCGCCGCAGCACGTCCTACAGATGTCCAGTTGCCAGTAGCTGTAATGAGAATTCGGGCGTAGCCGCGCTTCACGGTAGATGATGCGTAACATACATCTCCTTTGTGCTTGTCAACTGCCAGCGACTCGCCCGTCACAGAAGATTGATCGACTTGAATAGGCGAATTTGTCATCACTTTGCCATCTGCAGGGATTATAGTGCCCTGTGGGAATGATTAGAGACTGTACGCAGTAAGCGACGCCACAGGATCGTTACCTCGTCGACTTTCACTATGTCTCCAGGGACCAGTTCAGCTGCATCGACATCTGCCATCTTGCCATCCCGCAACACAACAGCCCTGAGCGCTAGTGATTTCTTTAGCTCCTTGACAATAGACCCAGCCTGAAAATCCTGGACAAATCCCACAGACGCATTGAGCAAAAGGAGGCCACAGATAACCCCTAGGTCTACCCAGTCTCGGAGATACGCAGCTAATACGGCTGCAGCCTAAAAGCGTATATATTAGCGAAAAGAAAAATGATGGGATGATCCTCATGTCGTAGTGTGCGTACCTCCATAACAAACTGCACGGGTCCAACAAAGAATGACACGAATTTAAGTGCGAGGTTTTCTTTCTCCTCCTTCATCTCATTGGAGCCAAATCTTTTGCGACGGAGGATTGCCTCAGTTTCATCAAGACCTGTCATGGGATCTGTCTGAAGTAGGTTATCCGCGATAGGGCGTAGTCGACCGGTTTGATGGCTCTCCTGTGTGTTTAGTTCCGCACCGCCATCCATGGACTCCAACTCAACGATGAGAGTGTCAATGTCTTCTTCTTCTTCTTCACCTTCATCGTTATGGATGTCGGCCGGTGCTTTCGACTCTCTCGCTATCTTTTCTTCATACTCAGGCTCGGTGTCCATGTCCTTGGGGTAAGTAAAGGACATCACAGTCGTAAATGGAATGCTTGATGGCTATAATCAGGACCGCAGTAATCACATATGAACGATAAGGGTCTTTGAGAATAGACGTAAAGGACCTGTTAGCCTATGACTGTGTAAGATATGGCGTCCTCCAGAAAAATATGGAGGGAAAATGCCAATACTGGTATCAAGCGAATAGATAGTAATAGCCATAGGACGGAAAGGACGTCGTCAGAAGCAATGGAATGCTATAATTGAATCCTAAAAAAGGAAAGTCCTAATCAATCGGTACTTAGTAGTGGAAGGAACCACCAATATGCGACCAGCGTTACTGTATCTGGCGACAATCAGTCTGACAAACGCTACTATCAACTGATAGAGCGCTTAAGCCCAAACAAAGTAGTAACAGTAGCATCATGCTGATGACGCTAGTAGTGCTAGGAGTACTAAAAATGCCCGTTCCATATCGGTCTGTCAAGTAGTAGAACTGTAATTGTATATAGTAACTTGAGTAAGTGATGTTAGAGGTATCATCCCCAATCAAGTTAGCACATTGATAACAAGAAAATCTCCAAGTATAGTGACAGCCTAAAAAAGTGATGAGTGATTCGAGTGATCTTCCCTTTGTCAAGATCAGGGTGAAGTACAGAACCGAGAAAGATAAAGGTATACAAAGAGGAGAGACCGGGAAGGGACCAATGAGGACCATCAGATTACATAATCCAACACCCGACGTCATGTCAGTTTCATTTGATGGCTCTCTTGCGATGGAGAACTTTACGCTCGCAGAGTCTTACTGATCAACACGGTGCCTGATCCTTAGTTAACCCAGACTGCTCGCCAGCTGTGAAGAGCTTGATCGTGACTGTTGCAGGTGAGGAAGGTGAGAGCCGTGCTGTTTCTAGTGTGTTGCGCATGATGAGCAGGATCACGGTCAAGTGATCTGCACCGACCACCGACTTCGAAACTAGAATGCGTCAACCCTGAGACGCGCCCCTCATCAAAACTATATTACGCACCCTCTATTCTTATCTGATCACTTCTTAACCAGAAAAATGAATAGGGAGATTCCAGGGTTCTACTATGGTAAATGACGTGGTTCTATCTTCATCCGGCGCATCGATCATTGACCGCTCAATAGACCCCGAAAAGAAAAAGTACTTCAAGATCCAGGCCAATCACAAGGCCACTCCAGGGTCGCAATACACCCAAGATACGGTCAAGCGGAAGCGCGTAGACCAGGAGGTAGGTGTTCACCCTTTTCAGGGTCTCCTATAACCTACTTACCTTTTAAATAGAAGCGCCAAAGGAAAATCCATCTGACGAAAAGAGCCACGAAAGAGAAAATCAAAAGGGCCGCTTTTCTGTCAAACCCTCTACTGGGAGTGCAGAGGGAGATTGGCTCTGAACTTGTATCTTCCAGCATCCGACAAGAGCAGAGGAGCGTGATTTACGCAAGCCAGCTTCGTCGAAACCAACTTCACCAATTCGAGCCGTGGCCTGATGAGTATACCATCAAGCATGTGCTGCGCAACAAGCGCTCAGGCATCTTGATAGCCAGTAAGCTGTTCCCTACGTATAGGTTATTCCACCGATACAATCTAACAACTCAAAAGGTGGCCATCGTGGTGGTGAATCGTCTGTTTCGTAAGCTCAACCTTCCGTCCTGCGCGGTCGTGTATCCGGCAAGCTAACCGCCAACCAAGGGTATGCTTCCCGGATTGCGACCAAGATAAATGGACATATAACCGCACGATGGAGCGCGTTCTTTTCAAAGAGCCGTACAGAGTATATCTACCAGCCTCAGTCACTATTACAAACACACACTAACTAGCTTCCTACAGCTATCCTCCGTCTCACTAAGCCATACCGGCTACTTACTGTACGAGTCAAAGACAGCATCCTCCCATCCTGTGATTGCTAGATAGCTGACAGGATCAGGGCGACGATGGATAGCGGTCCGAACGGCGACTCATTTCTGGCGCCGCGCATGCTGCCGGATCCCGACGAAGGTGGAGATTACCGGTGGCCCACGTCGTGTACGTATCTAAATAGCAAGCCCGTACTTTCAGTTATTGCACCACAACGATCAAGCTTGCTAACTTCCGACCTATTACGACACAGTTTACCATCCAATCCGTCTCCGCACATCATCATCCTTATGGTGTTCGTCCGCCTGTCCAACCGGCGAGATGCCGCTTTTCGCCGTCGGAACCTCAGACGGCCTATACACACTAGAAGGATTCGGCAGCTACTGGGCATTATCGAAGAAGTCCTTCCCGAACGACATACTAACAGGAAAGCCGATCTTACAACGCCGAGTGGACTCTTCCCATGCTATCGTCACGAGTGTCGAATGGCTCTCATCCGATGTAATAGCCGCTGGTCTCAAAGACTCGGCTATATTCCTCCACGACCTGCGCAGCGGAGGCAGCGCAACCCGACTTCAACACCCTCACGCAGTCACCAAGATGCGAAGAGTAGATCCTTACCGGATCGTCGTGGCGGGTATAAACTCGGTACGTGTTCCACCCACACACCGGCATATACCTTGATAAGTATTGCATCTGACATTAAGATTCGAACTACAACAGCTCCAAATGTACGATATCAGATACCCGGCCAACGGCCTCCAACGCAATCCACAACCCAACAAGAAACACCACACATCGACTAAGCCTTATCTTACATTTGCGGACTATTCGCCTGAAGGAATACCGGATTTCGACATCAGCTTGGAACTTGGGCTCCTCGCTAGTGGTGTGTAACCCTTTTACCTCTACCTTCCCCCTCTTTCTTCAGCTATTCTACCTATCCCAGGTGGACGATGCCAATGATTCACTGACAATCCACTCTAGCATCCGACGAGCGAAAGATCCAGCTCTTCTCTCTCCGTACCGGTTCACAAGTTTCGTCACCATTATCAGGTTATCAATACGCGAACCCCATTTCTTCAGTCTGCTTCGAGCCCGGAGACGGATCCCTACATGGACCCCAAACACCTAGCTTATTAGTTTGCGCGCAAGCTACGGTGGATGAATGGATCTGGTCGAACACGCCAAAGACGAAATGAATCATTCATGTGGCCAAGAAAAAGAAGAACAATGCTCTATTCAAATGCAACGCTCATTGGGAATATAACTAGAAATACATGAGTCAAGAATGGATGAATGAGCATGAACACAAAACCCAGATTGATTCCAGATTGCATGCGTCACAATTATATCCCATCCATCGCGGAGGCAGGGAGGATGTTAATCCAACCCTCCGGCCAACCACTCGCCAACCTCGACGCCTACTGTCTTGGCCAACTCTCCGATCCAATCACCCGAGACGTTGACGCACCATTTCTCGCCAGCATCCGAGGTCGTGTTACCGCTACTTAACCCTCCTGACCCGAGCCCCATGCGACCGCCGCTATCGCGACCTGCCGCTGGCACGACGAGCCGTAACCGACGTAATGTAGCAAGCTCCGCATATATCGCATCGGAAACGGCCGCCAGTCGGATGGGGTTTGCAGGGGGATTGGGGTCAATGGCGTGGTAGATAGCGACCAGTCGCTCCAGCGGGAAAGGACGGGCTGTCAGGATCGTGGACGGTCCGGTGATACCGGCGTTGCCGCCCACAGCTGAAGTAGTGGCAGAGGAAGTAGCAAAGGCAGACTCCAGGGTTGATTTCGTGATGCGAGTCTTTTCTCTTTTGCCTTTCTTGCTAGGGGTCGACGGGCCTCGGCTCGCCTCCCGACTATCCTCCGCCTGCGCCCGGGAAAGCACCTTCAACCGTCGTCTGTGATGCGCGCGTTTATTCCGCGCAGATAAGGAAGAGGAAGAGAATTTCGAAAAGAAGATGGTATCGAGTCGTTGGGGTGTATGCGAGGCAAGGTATGCGGAGGTCAAGATCAAGGTCGGGAAGTAAGGTAAGGAAGGAAGGGGTGAAGGGGCCGAGACGACGGACATTGACGGCTTCGACAGGGAGCCATTTGCGGGAGCTGATTCTTCAGTGACAATGTGATGTACAAGAGCGCCTTCGCCTTGATGGCGGAATAAAGCACGGTTTTTGACCAGAAGTCGCGAGAAGTCCCATTCGTTGCTTCCTCCGGGCGGGATATCGCCGTTGGTAATAGGAGCAACAAACTGAGGCCAAATCTTCTCACATATCGATCTGAACGTAGGAATCGAACTCGCCGTAGGCCCAATAAGAGAGTCATAGATAGCGGACACAAAATGCGGGTATAATCTCGAAGCAGCCCCGTCGTCCAGACCACTCACGACCGGCGGCCCAGCATTCAAAATAATAGTAATCGCCTCTTTGCGCGTATACGGCGGAAAGCTAATATGCGGAACGCCGGCAGCCTGAAGAAACAGCGGCCGCGGACTAGAACTGAGAATAAGGACGACACACAGGGACGGAATCTGCGGAGTAAACAATCACCTCGTTAGCAAGGACTCTCATCAACAAAAACGAACTAAGATAAAAACATACCACTTCTCCCAACCTCGCCAGCGCAGACAACAGCGTATGCGGAGCTTCACGCTGCTTATCTATCCCATCCAAAACCAGCACAAACTTGCCCTTGTCATTGCTGCTGCTGTTGTTGCTGTCCGACAACGAAGCAAGACATTCGCCCAGCAGCACAGCCAGAGAGCTAACATGCTCGCATCTTCCCTTGCCGTATTTCTCCCATTCGTCGCGTTTCCCCAGCGCTTCAAGAGTTGCCCAGAGGATCTTCGTTAACAAGTGACGGCCGGTGATGCATTCGGGACTCCGGACAATAGCATGTGGTACTTCGAGGGCGGCGAGGACATTGCGGACGATGGTCGTTTTGCAAGTGGCGGATATTCCGTGCACGACTAATGTAGATGGGCTGGAGACCCTAGGCTATTCGGTCGCGTTATATATGTTAGCTGTTTATTCGGGGTTGTTCAAAAGGGATTCGGAGGATCTGGGGAGGAAAACATACGCCGAGAAGACTGGCAAGTTGCCTGGTCTGGAGCTCTCGACAAGGCCATTGTTTGCTGAGCGACCGGCTGATTTCTGATGGAAGCATAGATATGAGTCGTAGGGCCCTTGGTGGCCTATGTATTCCCTGGTCAATGTTCAAGAGAGTCGAAAGGGCGTAGAAAAGGAGAATGGTAAACGCGATTTCTCAACTCGAGGTTTCGGCTTTCGCAGCGATCAATGAAGAGAAACGCGGGTAACGGTCATACACAGTCACGTGTTCCATACATGCTTTCCACCAGGACTCTTCCAAACACATCTGGTACTGCAAATGCGAAGGAGTTTTCGATCGAGTAGTACTTTTAGGAATACGGAAAGAGCAATGAATCACTAAATAACATCTTGATTGCCTAAAATATGGGTACATCTAATCTACCGGTACTGCTGATGGAACAGGCGGGAAAGGATGTAAAGCATCAGACACCGCAAAGCTGGTTATCCCAACATGCAACCAACGGAGTGCAAGATTTGCGCAAGTTGGATCCAAATTTGATAACACAAGGGTAGTCATAGGCATCATTCGCAGTCTGTCCCAACTTTACCATCCATTGCTTCATCCAGAAAATCAAGAACAGCCGCGCCAAGCGAGCCATGCAGACAGGCAAAGCCTTCTCCCGATGCAAGTGTCGAGATAGCAGGATTTGGTAGATAGAAACAAAGAGACACAAAAGAAGAGGGGGCTAGAAGCACAATTGGGAAGCGAGGACAAATATGAAACAGCAGTCTCTGCTCCTTATCAGACCAGTAGCTTGGTCGACGGAGATGAACTGGTGGGCAAAATGAAAAGAAGAAAAAAAAGAAAACATGTAGGATAAGAAGTAAAAGACATTCAAAAGGTATGGTCGTCAAATGGGTGCTAAACGAAGCTCCAAGGCATCGAAAGAATACAGGACATCAAATGAAGTGCAGTAAATGGCTTTATCATCGTTTACATCTTCTCATCAGATATGATCCGGATATGCAGAAAGATTGCATAGAAATAAGATCTTGTCTTCGTATCGGGAATTCTGGTCTTTTCAGTTTGCTGACAATATGTCATCGGGGCCGTGAGTCATGAAGATCGTAGCGTCGTCGCACTATGAGTACAATTCAATGAAGAAGGACGGGTGAACCAAAGCGCTGCGTAATGAATCAGAAGTACGCATACAACTGACTTTGAGCACCAAGATTGCCGTTGGCTTGTGGGACAGCTGAAGCAAAAATAGCCTCGCTAGGTCCACCAGACGGAGCGTTGGAACCTGTCGTGGAGCCAGCGGTGGGAACAAAGTTCTGATTTCCAAATTGGGAACCGACTGGGAAAGGGCTGTGTTGATACATGAATGACTTCTGTGGTCCTTGAAGGGGACCCGGAAGCTGGGCGGAGTTCATTTCGTTAGGCGTCACTTGCCCGCTGGTTGCGGCACTTCCCCTTCCTGAGCCTTCGGATGCCATCATCTTACCAGCAATACGACGGCCATGGGGGGTTTGACGGATAGAAGGCAATATAGGACGGATGCAATCAACAATCCGCGCTCGAGTCTCAGCATCGGCAAAGTCCATGGCTGTTTGCACCACATAGTTCGCAAATGAGTCGCGGAGCATCTTCTCAAGTTCGGCTCCTGCCAGCATTTCATCGATCATCTGACGCCGAATTTGGAAGTCCGCAGTACGAAGGCACTTCTCAATGACATTCGAGCTGAATTTCTGCTTGGACAGGGCGGGGATGTTGCCTCGGAAATTCTGGCACAACGGCTCGGTGAAATGAGGCTCAGCAAGGTCCAAAATATATTGCACAACGTAGTTTCCGAAAGGATCTTGAACAAGGGCAAATGCGTTTGCAGTGATTTGAGCAATGAGGCGCGCTTTTTGATCACCAGACGCATGGTCAATGCATCGTTGCAGAACGCAACATCCATGGCGATGAGTGCCGACAACCACGCAGTTGGCACCAACGGCATCGTAGATGAATTGAGCGTCCTCAGCAGAGAGACGGTTGAGACACTTTTGGATCACATGGTTTCCGTTGAGATCCTGAACCAGTTCGACAACATGGTCCTCTAGCGAATGGATGACCGTTTGGGTTTGTTCGGCGGTAGAGATAAACTCGATCATCTTTTGGAGCGCCCTGGTACCGTGTTGATTAAGAGCAATCTTAACGAGCTGATGAGCAGCGTTGTTGATTAAATCAGTACGCTGTTCATCATTGGAATATTCAAGCAATTTCTGACACAGGTAATTGCCAAAGGGATCTATTTACGGTTAGTGAAAGCTCTTGCGACATGGGGTTGCGAATGCCAAACAAACCTGTCATGAGTTCAACCACATGAAGGCGTGTTTCCTCAAAGATCATTTGTACATGCTCTGGATTACGCTCTTCCAATTTTCTCTGCAAGTATCTGCAACCGTGTTGGTCCTTGCAAAGGCCATACAACTCGCCTTTATAATGCTCAAGCGGGAAGTTGGTGAAGCGAGAGAGCTGAGCGCTATCGTTATCGCCGCTGCGTCGGGAGGTAACGCTTTTGGCCGAACCTTCAGGCATGCGATAAGTGCCATAGGGAGCATACCCTGCAAAGGGAGCTGCGGCATTGTAGTTCTGGATCTGACCGCTGACCTGCACTGGAGCGCCCATGTAGGCTTGAATACCATACCCATAGAACGGCGCCTGGAATGGGGTCAAAGTAGTTGGTGCGACAGTACTGCTGCTATTGGCAGGTCCGGTGGTGATTGGTGGACCGAAAGGTGTGGCACTAGCTTGCAGAGTAGTCTGCTGGGCCCGGGTCCCCTGCAATCTCGCTTCATCGCGTTCAGGCGATTCCCTTTGTTGGCGGGAGTTCACATGGTTCACAGCAGGAATCCGACCAAGGTTGGCATTGTGTTGAATCTGTTCGGCATGCGTCTTAGGAGGAGTGACGGCGGGATTGAAAGGCTCGCCTTTGACTGTGGGCAGATCGTTGGTCGAGTATGAAGACTGCAAGGATGCAGGTCTGCTGGAAGCAGTAGCTGTCAGGTTTTCAGAATTGTCCTCGGCGCTGTAGAGCAGGTTCGCCTCCAGCGAATGTCTGGCAGCATGACGAGCAGAGTTCGAAGAATGAGCATGATTCTCGTCATTTTGGTTACCAAGCTGACGGAACATGTTCAGAGCGTTTTGTGGCATGCTCTGGTGAGTAGTGCGGTGCCGACTGTGAGTGTTCCAAGTCTCGGGGTTGGGAGTACGTGAATTGGCGAGGTCCAGGGCGTCCGAATTCGCAGACAGCTTGGCCTTATCATTAGCAAAATGTAACTTTCGCCCGTCTTGTTTGAACTTACCAGGCCTGAGTCGTCTCTGCGAGACAGGGTCGGGAACTTGTCGTCAGTGTCGGTCAATTTAAGGATACTCTTGAAGTCGGGTGTTGGAATCCTGTCCTCGTCCTTCAAAGTCGCTCGGTCGTCTTCGTTATGAAACAGATATTTGGAAGCATTGAATGACTCCAAACCAGACGAACTGTTGAAACCCGATAGGGTCGGACGGATCTGTGATCCTAAGCCTGTAGAAGGCATCGAGTAGCGATGGATACTGAGGATGTTATTAGTGAGGGTTGGCTGAGCAGATGATGAGGTTGATAGTAGCAAGGGCTGGGGTTTGAGCTCAGTTCAAGTAGGGTTGAATTGAAAGAAGTGAGGGTAGTGTGAGATGTGAAGAGAATGGGAGATGAGGATTCTTGGAAAAAGAAAGAGGCTGCGGCTCTATTTATGCACTTTCAACAGGAGCGAGTGTTGCAGCACGCCGGACCAGGACAAAGAGGCTGATGAATAGGAGATCAAAGGAGGGGGCAGGGAGAACAATAAGATTTACTTACGATGGGCCTGGACGGAAAGGTGAAGTAGGTTCTTGAGTGAAGTCCTCCTTCTCTGAGTTCCTCCGAGAACCAGGAACAGAGTGAACGGAGAAACGATTGGTTGGTGTTTGAGCAGAGTTGTGATTCACCTGGCTCGGCGGAGTAGTGACCTGAGCAGGTGCAAAGACATTGAAGAAACCGGGAGAAGAAGTAACACTTGAAGTTGAGAACCGAGTAGGGCGGGTGAAAGCAGGATAGCTGTTCTCACGGTACTCTGGGGGTGTTGTAGGTTCGCTGACAGGACCAGACATGCCAACTTTGGCTAGGTTTTCAGCAATGCGCTCCAAATCTTGCTTTTCTTTCTCATGTTGCATGTCTAGCAGCTTCATGTCTTCTTCAAACCTCCTCCTTTGTTCCCTCATGTACTCAATGTGCTGGCGCTTCTTTTCAAACTGTGATGGTGTCAGAGGCGATCTCAATAGTCATCAATAAGCATGTGAACGCATGTCTGAGCACTCCACAAACGGAAGTGGGTCATGGTGAAGCCATTCTCCCAGTGGATCCTCAAAGATAATCGAAGCAACAAAGATAAGAGTGGAGCACCAAAGCAAACCGTATCCAGGTAGCACAAGACAAGCGAAGATCTCAGCGCTAACAGAGCAAAGACCTCATGTATAGTTGGGTATGTGCATCGGGGACTTCAGTGACGTGGCTAAGCTTACCGATGAAAGCAGATCCAGATGATCTGGAGCCGGGAGCTGAGAGCTGCTCCCGAGATGGTTCAGATGACTCCAGGAAGCAAGCTTGCTGGAATCGGTTGTAAATCGGCGCTGAAGATTCCCACGGACATCGCCCGAGGGTCGCGAGAAAGCCGAGACGAAATTGGAGTGGCCCGGGGAGAGCGAGTTATAGCCGGGGAAAGCGGACTCCGAAGGAGGCGACCTTGGGGAAGGGAATCGCAGCTCATCGAGGCGTTCACTAAGTCCGTTCTTGAATGCCATGGTGGGCAGATTGTTCGGGACGGAGAGCACACTGGACTGATATCATCAGCAAGCCATAACGAGTCAGCAGTCAGCTTATATCAGGATGGGGGTGGACAGTGCGAGGCTTAAAAAGGCAGCGATAAGACGATCGTCATCCTTTGGGGCGATTGCAAGCAAAGCAAAGGGCCGAGGATAGAGTACAGGAACCAAGGAGTTGGGAAGGATGAGTTGGTTGGCGGTGTGCTGCTCCAGATAACGGGCAATGTACGGAGTAAGGGGACCCAAGAGGGGCTGAGGGGTGATTTGGCGGAGAAGATCTCGGAAAAGAACAGCGACTTACACGCAATGAACGCCTCGAGAGTTTAAATTCTCAGGAACAGAGAAAAAAAGACTTTTTGCTGCCCACGATTTTTGTGTGCACACAAGTAAGGACCGGTTGATGGGGGGAAGTTGAGAGCCGTCCTCCCGCCTGGCAATGCGTTCCTGACGGTGCGGAGATCAATGATGGTGGTGGAATCACAGGGCGCGGTGGTCGTCGGTATTGCTTGACCCTACGCTTTCTCGGGGGTCGAGAGCAGCGTGGACCAGCAAGGAGGATAACGAGCGAACGAACACTAAGGAGATGGGGGAGAGGGAAATAACAATGGAGAAGGGAAGATAAATTGTTGTACAGGGAGCTCTGGAGTCCAAGAGGGAGAGGGAGGAAGAAGGGGGAGGGGAGGGGGGGAAAGGCGACAAGAAGAGTGGGAAGCGAGAGGGGAAGAAAGACGAGGCGTGGGCGGCTGGGAAAAGCAAGCGGGGAGCCTGTAAGTTGTTTAGTTGCTAAACTCGACTCGTTTGGGAAGCGGAGCGTGAAAGCTGCTTGGGAGGATGGGCGCGATACTACTACTAGTCTATCTGCCCCCTTCCCGACAACTTTCCTGGGACTGAGCTCCCCGGTCGTCTGTCTCTAAACTACCCTGTCAATCCATTTATTGAGTGCATGGGCGAGAACGTAGTCCCCCCTGGGACTAGCCGTGGACATGGCAAAATCAATTCCAGAATTTACAGTCTCTCTGACTCTTTGTTCCGCTGTGTAAATTGCATCATCCCTCTTTCTCTTTCGTTTTCCGACCGTAATCTTCTAGTAATTCTACAACGTTTTGCCCTAATTCCTTTTCTCAAGCTCCAAAAACTTGAAGATCTCCGAAGGAAAGGGAAAAAAGAAGTAAACTGCCTTTGTACGTACCAAGACCGAGCGAGTCAAATTTCTACCAGGCGTGCGTGATGAAATACGAAGCTGGTAAAATTAAAAAAAAAAAAAAAGAAAAGAAAAAACAAAGAGCCCATTCATCACCCGTTACGATTGTTATTAATCAAATCCCACCCCTCCCGAAGCTGGTGAGCTGTCTTCCTCTGATGACAACCAACTCTCTGGTCGATCATTTGCTTTTCGGACGGATCATGAATGAATCGTGACCTCCGGCCCCGTGATTGGAGCTTAGATCTCTGACTTAAAATGCTACTGCACGACTTGTTGCGTTGGGACCAGTAGTAGCCCCTGGGTAGGTACAGTTATTCCACCCGGGAATTGGGTTTGCAGCATCTCAAAGAACATGGATGGATTCTTTGTCCGGTTTTTTTTTCTCGCACTCTGGCTTCCCTCTTCATGGCCGGGTATCTTGATTATTGAGGTCCTCGAGCATGGCAGGAGTTCTCACGATCGCAGATCAGCGTTAACATAACTGATGATTTAATGATGTCCTCCCTGCTGGACAGCGGCGCAAGGAGCATCCCCTGTTGGGTGTGCTGGTCGAGAGCGTGGCCTCTGCAAGTGTTTCTGCATCAGGTGGGGACACCGAGTTGATTAGGGACGAAGGATGTGACGGCGGATCACGCCCTAGCCACCGCACGTACCTGGGCCAGAGCATACCCTAAAAGACGAAGTTGGGCTCACAGATCATCTACCTACTTTGTCTGCTTCATCGACTCCGGACTCATGGGCGAGTAAGATTTCCGGGGCTAATAGCGGCTGCGGTGCAAGTCATAGTTTCAACACTATTATTATATTATTATTTCATTTCCTTACATCTTATTTTCGTCTTTTTTCAGTTGTTAAAACTTTGCCCCCCAAATGGAAGGTTCCTTCCTTCGGCGATTAGATAAATGTCTTGTGTTTTAGGTCTTACTGGCGCATGGATCTGCGACATTATTAACGATCGAAGGCTAACCGAATGGACTTTGTATGTATATTACTATGATTACGGGCTTGCTCACCTTCTTCGAGGGTAGTACCAGAAAGTCAATATTTACGGATTGCCACGCGCGTCCCAAAACGTACGTGACGGACATTGTTTGGTAGGTTGGGAGGCCGGTAACCTCCTTTACCATCCTTGGCCCGATCCCTGAGGAATCGCTGCGAATTTTCTACTGGTGCCACTCGTGGTGGGCTATTTGGTGTGAACCAGGGTTCATCGCCGGATAACCTAACAATGAATCCCAAGCACTGAGAGTGCGGTCAGCCAGATTTCCATGGGTCAGTCAAATCAACGTAATCTCCGCCCAGGTGATCTCGACCGATTCAACATTGGGTGTGTGTCAGTGTAATAAAACCTGGCGGCAAATCGCCGTGGATTTGAATACCCATAGACAATAGTAATTAGGGTAACGTGACTGTCTCATCGCACGGACGATGGCCAATCGATCCCGATGCGTGAATCCCTCCATGTCAAGTCGAACGGCCCTGGGAGGACTGACAGCTGCTGATTGGTGCGGCAGGAGAGAAGCGGTGTACAACCATCCAGGGAACACCAGGCGATGCTGATCCATCCGTCTTCGATGGGAGGCTGTCTCCTTGAACAGCCCTTTCTGGTCGGCTGCCGTGATTTTCTACAAGACTCTCCATTTCGGGGCCTGAACTCAACTGGAAATGTCCTCACGCTGGGCAGAACCCAGCCTTAGGGCCATTTGTGGGGTATTCTAAATGCTTCGCGAACCGTAGTACAAAGCATAAGACAGGTCGATGATGGGGCCGTTACGGCATAGGAACATGGTAAAGCCCCCGGCGGTGGGGTCAAAAGATTAGTATTCGAAAATTTGCGAAGTTGAATACTCAGCATGACTTTGCTCTGCCGAGATTCGTTCGAATGGGATAGAATGATAACAGTCCTTGCTGGTGATGACGATCCTAAATTGTTTAGGTATCGACCTAACTAGTCGCTTGTTGGGTACTTCGCATGAGTCATCTTTCAGACGACTTCGGAAGCTAAGCACGACGGACCTATCTGAGGTCGGCAGATGAGAGATGAGCCCATTAGTAGTACCCACAAGATCCAGGGACGAAGTTCGATTTTATGCTAGCCACTGTTGAACCACTTACCAACCACTGTCAACACCCTGAATGTACCCCTCCTTCTGAATTAATGGTAGTTTCAGTGTTGATGATTCCGTCTGCTGGAGAGCATGAGAAAGCAAGACACACCTGGATGGAGCTCTGAATGATGATAGCGTTTAGTACTTCTCTAGCCTTGAACTGACGAACTAAGTCTCCGCGCTACTGAGTAGTTGGTCTGACGGTCATCTTAAGCGTGATGTGTTTCAGATTGGTTCGCCACCGCCAACGCAGGGATGTTCGCGTACGGTAGGTATCTGACGAAGGTTGACAGACTAAGTGGGAAGAATTAAAAAGGCAGGAAAATTGTATACAAATCGGATTAAGCATACCTTTTTTTTTTGCCAGTAATTCAAGACTGCGGTTAACCTTGTGATCAAGAGATAACAATTGCTAGTCTGCATGTCACGATCCTCAAGGAAATACTAGATAATCAATCATCCATTTCCGTTTACCGATTGTTAGAGAACGGTAATTTTACCCCCCACCAAAGGTAAAATCACCTCATTATTCCATCCAATACACTGCACAAAGTACTGTACCTACAGGATAATACCTGCTAATGGCCCCCATGTCCGATGGCTGCAGGAATAGGTCCGAGGGTCATGAAACAGCGAGCCGGCCCTTCTTGCTAAGAGCCACTGCGCTCATGGCCCATGTCTTCTGGAACTGGCTTGCGCGTGACTCTCCCTATCTTTAGTACTCAATACCACTCACCCACTCACCATGGACGTCACTGGGCATGTTACGCCATGAATTGATAAGACTGTCGATCTCACGTGATGCTGTGAATGGTCCGATATGGTACTTTTACTTCTGATGGTGGATCCATCCTTTGGAGGGGCGTTTCGCCGCTCCGCATTGTGCTTTGGCTACTTTGTATGTGGTTGCCCACTAATCGCCGTGCCTGAAATTCGTCGAATGGAAACCTTTCCGATGGAGAGGTTCGACTGCCAAGTGGCAATGGCTTCTAAAATTGCGGTCAAGAGAAAGCCCACCGCCTCAAACATACTTTGTACACAGTAGTGTCTTCTCAAGTATCATCTCCCCACATGCTCCGCAGAGGACTGAATTGATCTGTCGCCAACTTCTACCCACCTTTCAATCTCATGAGCCATTCCAATTGCCTGAAATATGCAGTCTGCATCCATGAAGCCAGTAACAGCTGTACTCCGTACACCTACTCCAACCAATTTGGTACCGGATACCTCCAGCTCCGAAATGGGCAAAGGCAATTATCCCCTGAAGACTGGACATGTTGTTGCCCAACCCCGCAAACTACGGAGGTTAGCCGACATTGCAGCCAAAATTGCAGCCCTGCTTTCGAAAAGAGAACAATGGCTCCTAATGAAAGTAGCCAGAATTTCGGCTTTCTAGTGTTCATCCGTTTTATCTTTATGGTCGTCGTGAAGTACTCAAAACGGTCCTCACATTATAGCAGCACCTCTAACAGTAGCTGCGGATGCAGTTTTCTAACTGTATGGTCATTGATTGGGGCGTCATTTGCTGGCACCTGACTATCAACCAATCTGACAGTATGGTCTTTGGCTACTGCAGCCATATGGGAGAGCTGGTAGTCCGTTACCATACGACAGAAGAAGCTAGAACTGAATGAGTATTATCCCAATGCACCGCATGATTGGTATCCCTTGCGGGAATTTCGGGATTCCCGCGACATTTTCGATGGTGTTCTGTCAAGACCAGTCCACGGAGGTCACGTATTCACCTGACGTGCTCCCACAGTTGGAGCATGGCGATTCCCTGCAGACACAGACTTGAGTTGTACAAAAGCACAGACGTGTTGATCTGCCAGAATTCTCCGCGTACCGGCATCTTCGACTATCTGTGGAGACAGTATCCTGGCTAGATGCAGCTGATATAGCTACTACTCGGGGTCATGTCTGATAAGCTAACAGGACCTTGTCACCCTTCTTTTTTTGTCTAAGTGTACCAACGGGTAGGAGATACCAATCGTCAGATATGGATTTGGCATTCACGCATATATCACCTGATTCTGCAGGTGTATCTGGCAGGCTATTCATATTTCAGGCATCAATGACGCTTGGATGAGCGGTAACCTACTTCGTGCTTGAGTTGCCTCAAGTGTATGCAACAAGGTGGCTGCACGAGCTGCGCGGATAATCTATATCAACTGGGCTGTAAATCACAGGCTATGCGGCTTTGTATTACCGGAATGAGAACGATGACTACTAACAAGACGCTTTAGATAGACTGCCCGACTAGACGTTAACCGCGCTCTTCGCCCCTAGAATTTCGCCCAAAAGTTCATTTTGCATCGTTCCGTAATGATTACGTTCTGAAGATCTGGGGTATTTTTAGAATTACCTCATTGTCTCTCTTGCCATATGATGGGTGGATGATGGATCTATGGTTAATGAAGCCATCCGTACCATAACCTGACAATACCATCAAACAGCCTGACCAGCATACACGTTTTGACATTGCAGCCAAATTTTAAATGGCACAGCCCAAAGTCGTGACATCCTTACTGAGGAATTGCGGGGACTATTGCACAATCAACTTTCAAACTTCCGCTGCGTCCCCATAAAGGAACCACAGTAGAAATTGCTGCCCTTGAACACACCAGATAACATGCGGCAGCTGCTGAGACTTCCGGTGAGCAATGTTTTCTCTGATGCAGCCGTATCTGTCCCTAACCCTTTGGGTCCTCATTTGACAGATGGGCCTGCATCAATCTAATCATACTTTAAACTCAGGCATCTCCATCGTTTACAATAAGGCATCGGGAAACATGGAACCCGAATGATTAGCCGCATGATACCTTCGGGCATACTAACATGTTATTCTATATTGCAGTTACAGGGAGGCAAAAGAAAACGAAATCGACCACTTTCGGTAATTTCGACGAACGCCTGCCCAAATGATGGCTTATTTTACACAGGGTCTGAGAGCCCACCGTGGCCATCAAAAGAAGTCGCTCATCGAAAATGATGAGTGAATCATGGGTGACCAAATACTGTAAATGCGGGAAGATATTCAGACTTGCTAGTGCATATGATCCTTTCGTTTGCCATGGGTTCGCTCATTAACAAGACGGGGTAACCATGTAAATAGCCACCATGTAGGATGGTAGTAGGGCACCTTGGCTATCAAGGCAGCCAATCCGGCGAGGATATTTCATTGAATTGGCAGCTTGACCAGACATTATCATATTCCGCGCGCGCGTTCTACGTGAGTGCCACCGGTCACAAACGGAAAAAGCATGGGCAATAAATAAATCACTCGATCTGCTGACTGGCTACACATTATCCAAGAGCCTCGACATGGTACATTAAGCAGGCTTGATAATAATTCGAAAAGGCAGCATGTTGCCGGGCAAGATTAGAACTACCTCAGGCATTCGCCTTAAACCCCGCAAATGACAGCCGCTTCGACTAGGAGTCAGCCCAATTTACAAACTTTGCAGTCGCGGTGCTCAAGCCTCTGGGATTCACGGGCTATTTCCAGAAACTGAATGGTTTCCCTTCTTGGGAAAGTCCTCTTGTGACCTGAACAGAGAATTTCTCTATTTAGTTGAACTTTGGATCTCATGAAAGCTTGATGTTATCTGTTTCGATGCCTCTAGCCTCCAGGCTGCCCTGCAAGAAAGCCGTTTGAAACATACCAGTGATATCAGAGAGCCGTTTCCCTTGGAGGTATAGGTAGTACAACTTTTCGAACAGACTCCCGATGCTGACCGCTTCACATACACTCAGGATTGTCAGTAGTTAGTAGTATGCCTCTGCATTAAGCCGCCTAAGTCTTCCGTTATTCGTTCTCGAAACCTCAGCAGTAGTATCATATATGCATTTACTACTATCCAGAATGGAAGGAATTGACCAGCTTCAGCATATCTATAGACGAATCAACAATATCTGCTACATCGAATTGTGATATCACTTGTGGATTGAGGTTCCTGTCCCTGATCCTTTTAGTCGAAAGATGACGTAGCTGAGATATAGGGAAGACTTTTTAATGGAAGATCATGGTTCGAAGGGCATATGATCTATCACTTCAATGCCACCTTTCGTCACCCCGGAATGGTGTTTGCACGTACCCTCCCGATTCCCTCCGCTAAGTTGTATCGTTCAACATTCCTAATATTCTGCATGTACCCAAAAAGTCGGCCCATAGCAGATGCGAGGGACAGATGCATCTAACATGACCTTTTCTATGGCTGTAAATCTCGACGGAACATAGTCCCGGGAAGTGGCTTATGTGGGGTATCATAAAAACGAAAGGTGGATTTTGGATTTGGAGCTCTAGAAACAGCCTTGTGAGGTGCTACAGATATCCATCCCCAGTTGCTTTGATAAGCTAAGCACTGGCTATCACCTCCTAGTACTTCTCTCATTTTCCCATCATGACAATGTGCATTGAAAGCAACAATAACGCAGGACATGGGATGGCCGAACGAATCCGGGGTCTAGACTGGGGTCGATGGTGGGGCGGCGTGGGGTCTGGCCTGTGAAAGGGTCTCACACTCACTTCCTTTATCAGTTAAACCAGACAGCTCATGACTCAAATGGTTATTTGTAGTTCGTCTTAGTTGGCATTCTTCATGTTTTCCAGTCTTTGGCACTCCCTTCTCACCTTACGTCTCTTGCACGGCATTGTGTGCTATTTGTCAATTGACCTCATGGAAGCAACCAACGCCTATCACTAGGCCCCAATGATACAATTACACAAACCCCCCAGATACGTTCTGGCCAGTATACTGTGCTCATGCGGGGGCCTGCTGTTTGGGTAAGGATTTATTTTCTTTAGGCGAGCCATTTTGTATAACATTGACAGAAGTTTCATAGAATGGATACTGGCATCATTGGGCCTGTCACGGTTATGAACAGCTTCGTTTCACAATTCGGCAGCCAATCATCAACAGTTCATGGCTTAATCGTCTCTTCCATCCTTATTCCAGCCGCTTTTTCTTCTTCTTCGCGGGGAATCTAGCAGAGAAACTGGGAAGGCCAAAGGTTATCAGCATTGGTGCCCTGATCTTTGCGATTGGAGCAACTTTGGAGGCGGCTGCTGTGCATATCGGTATGTTTGTTGTGGGACGTTGCATTGAGGGTATAGGTGAGGGATTATAATTTGGAGCCCTGGTCGTGTATGTGACTATCCTATGAATTGTGGTACTTTGGTTTCTTGTTTTCTGATTGATCGACAGCTACATTTGCGAAATCTCTCCGCCGAGGGTTAGAGGAGCATTGACGACCGGGCTCCAGTTGCTGGTTACTCTGGGGTTGACGATAGGGTTCTTCACATGCTACGGTACTTCTCGTATGAAGTCTTCCTATTCATGGCGCACGCCTTTCATTATCTTGGCTTGTCTGGCTACTACCTTCTCTGTAGCTTCACTCCTGTGGTTAAATCTCTCACCGAGATGGTTGACCCTCCACGGCCGGAGTGGAGGCTACTGCTATTTGGGACCACCTTGGTGTCAGCCAGGCTGAACATGAAAAGGCCGAGATTGAGCAGACTCAGGGCGTCCCTCCTGCTTCCAGCGACAAACATGCTCCGTCCGCATCCCATCGTCAAGACAGATTAGTAGATCACAAGTTTTCCGATCTGTTTTCCAAAAATGTACGGACACGCACTTTTTGGCGGTGTTTCTCATGGGCATGCAGCAACTCAGCGGAATTGATGGTGTACTCTATGTGGGTTTTCCGGCTATACCTATTGTCGTCTCCTGCTGACATTTGCTTTAAGTATGCCCCATTGCTTTTCGAGAAAGCAGGCCTAGATTCCTCAGATGCTAGCTTCTTTGCCTCTGGTGTTTCTGCAATAGTTATCTTCGCCGTAACCATTCCGGCGCTCATATGGGCGGACAGGTGGGGCCGACGACGCAGCAGTATCTACGGTGGCATCGGCCTCGCCGTCACAATGTTCTTGATAGGGGGCCTCTACGCAGGGAATGCCGTATACAACTCAACTGGTGCAGGTCGGTGGGTGGTCATTGTCTGCATCTATATTTTTGCAGTCATATACTCTCAGCCGGGCAGTTGGCATTAAGATATATGCAGCAGAGATACAACCACAAAGGACTCGCGCATCGGCCACTAGCCTGGCACATGGCAGCAACTGGGCCGCCAACTTTCTGGTCGCACTGACGACACCCATTTTACTGTCAAAGAACAGCTTTGGTGCATACTTTCTCTTTGGAGGATGCACCCTGATTACGGCATTCATCTGCGCCCTCTTCATGCCCGAAACAAAAGGACAATCCTTGGATGAGATTGAGGAGGCATTCAGATCTAAATTGCTATCCAAAACACTGTTGAAGGCCTTCGGACCTATTACCCAGACAGCCCAGGGATAATTGACCAGAATTGGGAAGAAACATATTATCTATGTCATGCACATGCACTAATTAGCTGCACATGCCAGAAACGTAACCGTGCAGCCTGCCATAGCCGATAAGATAAGAAATACATACCTACTAAATCCAGTTAGCCTATGAATTTGTAAGCTAAACAGTAGGCTAACCGTTCCAGGATAGCTGCTCATTACCTAAGCAACTATTCTGCCGAATTGGAATTTAGCCCGGATATTTCCCCTCGCTGATAAAGAAGAAATTGTGCCCGTCACCCCAGAATGCCGTGATATTCCCCTACACCTTGACACTTGGCATACGGCAGTATTCAGTTCCTCTTGGGGGAGATTATCACCGTTTGAACAGCGATGCCGCCCCGCAGAAGAGCGCCGATCTCTGCGGCGAACCTGCGATCTGCGCAACCTTCAGAGGCAAGTATCAAGTGTTTTACGATTCCCGATAGAGAAGGGTCCTAGGCTAACGGCTCTTGATAATATAGGGTGCAGCATCTTCAAGGCCAGGTGCCGCGGAGACTACGAAACGCAGACGCCCTTCCCAGACCGCACAACCTCCCCGAGCCGAACAACCGCCATTACCCAGTGCGGAGGAACAGCAGCAGAAGTCGACCGAGGAGCACGAGCATTCGCATTCTACATACCGTCATCGCGATCCATTTGATGCGCTTCTGGAGCCTTTCTACTACAACAAGTCCCTCACGGATCCGATCAACACCGCGAAAGACAAATGGAACCTTCTGCCGGCTTTCCTCAAGGTCAAGGGATTGGTGAAGCAGCATATTGACTCGTACAACTACCTTGTTGAGGTCCAATTGAAGAAAATTGTCGAGTCCAGCTCTACAATTCGAAGCGATGTCGACCATACCTTCTACATCAAGTTCACCAATATCTATCTGGGTTTCCCGCGCCGTGCCGACGAACCGCAGGATGCGCGGGCCGACTTCACCTATTCGACCGTGTCCCCGCAAGAGTGTCGCCTGCGTGATACGACGTACGCGGCTCCCATTCAGGTCGATTTCGAGTATGTCCGTGGCCGTCAAAGGGTCATGAGGAAGGGTGTCGCCATTGGTAGAATGCCGGTTATGCTTCGGAGTTCCAAGTGTGTGTTGGCAAACAAGACGCCGGCGGAGATGACGGTGCTGAACGAGTGTCCTTTGGATCCTGGTGGTTACTTCATTGTGAACGGAACCGAGAAGGTCATTCTCGTCCAGGAACAGTTGAGCAAGAACAGAATTATCGTTGAGACCGACCCCAAGAAGGAGATTGTCCAGGCATCGGTTACAAGGTGAGAGGTCCTCATGGTTGTCTGTTGAGGATTGTAAAATTAATTTGATTACAGTTCTTCCAACGAGCGAAAGTCGAAGAGTTACATCGTTCTCAAGAAGGACAAGCTCTACGTGAAGCACAACGTGCTCAGCGAGGATATTCCCATCGTCATTCTTTTGAAGGCGATGGGTATTCACACAGACAAGGAGATGCTTCTGCTGGTCGCGGGTGTCGACAAGGTTTACCAGGAAGACTTTGCCATCAACTTCGAGGAGGCGATCAAGTTGGGTATTTACACGCAACAACAGGCTCTGGATTGGATTGGTGCTCGGATTAAGATCAACCGCAAGCAGTCGCCTTCTTACCGCCGTACCCATGTTCAGGAAGCCGTCGAGGCCATTGCCTCTGTCATCATTTCCCACATTGAAGTGAAGAACATGAACTTCCGGCCCAAGGCTGTCTATGTTGCGCACATGGCGCGTCGTGTGCTTATGGCCAAGAACGATGCCAGCTTGGTTGATGACCGTGATTATCTCGGAAACAAGCGTCTGGAATTGGCTGGTCAACTGCTGGCTTTGCTCTTTGAAGATTTGTTCAAGAAATTCTGCTTCGACATCAAGATGAACATCGACAAAGTTCTGAACAAGCGCAACCGTGCCGAGGCCTTCGATGCTTACAGTGTCATTACCATGCATAGCAACCATATCACCCAGGGTATGAATCGCGCTATCTCGACGGGTAACTGGAGTTTGAAGCGTTTCCGCATGGAACGTGCTGGTGTGACCCACGTGCTCAGTCGACTGAGTTATATTGCGGCCCTGGGTATGATGACCCGTATTAGCAGTCAGTTCGAAAAGACGAGAAAGGTCTCTGGTCCTCGTGCATTGCAGCCTTCGCAATTTGGTATGCTTTGTCCAGCCGATACTCCCGAAGGTGAGGCCTGTGGTCTCGTCAAGAACTTGGCACTCATGACCCATATCACAACCAACGACGAAGAGGGCCCGATTAGGAACTTGATTTTCATGCTCGGCGCCGAAGACATTCAGACTGTGGGTGGTAAGGAGCTCTATGGGCCTGGCTGCTACACGATCTCAATCAACGGAACACCCACTGCACTCACACGTCGTCCGAAATACTTCCTTGATGCGTTCCGCAGACTGCGTCGGATGGGACGTATTTCTGAGTTCGTCAGTATCTACATCAACCACCACCAGAGGGCCGTCCATGTCGCGACCGACGATGGAAGAATCTGTAGACCTCTTATCGTCGTCGAAAACGGCAAGTCTCGTGTCAATGCCCAGCACCTTGAGAAGCTGCGTAATGGTACAATGCAATTCGATGATTTCCTTGCTCAAGGTCTGGTTGAGTATCTTGATGTCAACGAAGAGAACGATTCTTTGATCTCCATCTACGAGAAAGACATCACAGAAACCACCACCCATCTGGAGATTGAACCCTTCACAGTCCTCGGTGCAGTCGCCGGTCTTATTCCCTACCCTCATCACAACCAGTCCCCCCGTAACACCTACCAATGTGCCATGGGTAAACAAGCTATTGGCGCGATCGCCTCCAACCAGTTCCTGCGTATCGACTCGATCTTGTACCTCATGGTTTACCCGCAAAAGCCCATGGTCAAGTCTCGCACCATCGAGCTGACCAAATACGACCAGCTTCCTGCCGGACAGAACGCCATTGTCGCCGTCATGAGTTACTCTGGTTACGATATTGAGGATGCCTTGGTCCTGAACAAGGGATCAGTCGACCGCGGCTTCGGACGCTGCCAGGTGTTCCGGAAATACGTCACCAATCTGAAGAGTTACTCCAACGGCACCAAGGACCGACTGAGCGGACCAACCTACGAGAACGATGCGCCAATCCGCAAGCACGCTCTCCTCGAGAGCGACGGTCTCGCCGCTGTCGGTGAACAAGTCAACGCCGGCGAAGTCTACATCAACAAGTCCACGCCCGACCAGTCCATGTCCTCAGGCTTCCCCAACTCCGACGCCGGCCGGCCCGTCTCCTACATGCCCACGCCCATGACCTACAAGCTCCCAGACCCCGCCTACATTGACAAAGTGATGGTCTCGGTCACCGAGAACGAGAACCAACTCGTCAAGGTCCTAACCCGCCAGACCCGTCGCCCGGAAGTCGGCGACAAGTTCTCCTCGCGTCACGGACAAAAGGGTGTGGTGGGTATCATCGCCGACCAAGCCGACATGCCCTTCACCGACTCCGGCATCAACCCTGACATTATCATGAACCCGCACGGTTTCCCCTCTCGAATGACAGTCGGAAAGATGCTGGAACTCGTCGCCGGAAAAGCCGGCGTCCTGGCCGGCCAACACGGCTACGGTACCTGCTTCGGCGGCAGTCCCGTGCAGGAAATGTCCCAGATCCTTATCGACAACGGCTTCAGCTACGGTGGCAAGGACTACCTCACCTCGGGTATCACGGGTGAAGCACTGCCCTTCTACGTCTTCACGGGTCCCATCTACTACCAGAAGCTGAAGCACATGGTCCAGGATAAGATGCATTCGCGTGCTCGTGGTCCTCGCGCTATCCTTACCCGTCAGCCCACGGAAGGTCGTTCCCGTGACGGTGGTCTGCGTCTGGGAGAGATGGAACGTGATTGTTTGATTGCGTATGGTACTAGTCAGCTTCTGCTGGAGCGTCTGATGATCTCTTCTGATCGTCATGAGATCGATGTCTGCGAGCAGTGCGGTTTCATGGGTTACCTGAACTGGTGTCAGCGGTGCAAGTCGTCCCGGAGCGTGGTGAAGATGGCTATTCCGTATGCGGCGAAGCTGCTGATTCAGGAGTTGATGAGTATGAATGTTACGGCGAGATTGAAGCTTGATGATGAGTTTCCTGAGATGAAGGGGCGGTAAGCTGTCCTCCTATTCCGTCTCAGTGATGATAGGCCAGGATATATGGATCAAGAGGAAATGAACAAACACCACAACAAATACAACAATTGATGAGTGGAAAAAAGAAGAAAAAGTTAGGCGTTTCATTTGGTTCATCGGAGTGTGTACATAAAAGCCGGTTCTGGATGTGTCTTTTCTTTGCTTCTTGTTGCATGCATAGCGCTCGGCGATCGTCGGTCGACTTATTCTAAATCTTATTGCAGATATGCAGTAAAACATCCCCTCCATCTTCCGTAACCTTATAAACCCCCGTCTAGATAGTATCTTCTATGATCTCCCCAACAACCCTCCAATACCTCCTCCCATCCACCCTCATATGCTCAACATGCCCACTCCCCCTCCCCCACTTCTCCCTCCTCACCAAACCACCACCATCATCATCCCCAAATACCCTCTCCGCCTCCCGCGCATGCTCCTCCACATCCCTCCACTCCACCAACCCATCCCCCTCCGAATAAACATAACACCGTCTCACCCGTTCCCCCACAACACTCTTATCATTCAGCAATCGTCTCCCCTTACTCACCCCATCCTCACTCCCAACCACCAATCTCACCCCAAACATCACCAGCAACATACACCCCAGCAACAACCTCCCCACCCACTTCAAGATAACATTCTTGGGAAGACCGAATGAGAACGCGCGAAACGCACCAACCAGTGATGGTTTCCCAGGCGCGCTGTCAATGAGCAGCGATGTGATGGGGAGGGGGTGTCCTGTTGTGGTTTTGTAGGAGGAGAGGAGGGTCGTGGTTGTGTAAACGCCGCCGTTGGAGAAGAGGTGGATGTGAATTCTCTCGGAGGTATTGGTGGGTGGGTGGTGGAGGAGAAGGTAGTCCAGGGCTGGTTGAGTGGGATTCTTGTTCTTGTTGCTGTTGTTGTTGTTTGAAGTGCTGGTGAAGCTGGATAGTAGTGAAGGGAGGCGCATAAAGTCGCCCGTGCTACTTTGGAGAGTCAGGATGCGGGCGCGAGGGTAGAGGGTGCGGTATTGGGTGGTGTATTTTGTGAGGGCCCGTTGGGGGGCGTTCATCCAGTAGGCGAGGATGATTGTTTGTGGTGCATTGCTGGTGCTGGTGGATTCGGGGGTGAGAGGGTCGTAGGCGTGGATTGTTGGTGAGAGGGTTATGGGTTTGGGGAGGGGGGTCATGTCTATGGTGGGTTGGGATGACATGGTGGTTGATTGAGTGTAGTGAGTGGAAGGGTATGGAGTGGGTTGGAGGTGAGGTGAGGTGAGGTATTTGACTTAGTAGATTTTGGGCGTAACACAAGGGAATGGAATAGATCTGCTTATCACTTCACATCTGTCTGGTTCGGTTCCTGGATGATTTCCGGGGAATCTGCCGATCTTCGGCCGGGGAAAACGCTGTCGAGCCTCGCGGTTAATTGTTCTACTTCTAGTGCCGTTTTAGTCACTTTAGTGGTACTTTGCAGGTCCGTCTCCCGTCGCCAAGAAACGGCCAGTTCATGGCTTAGCGATGGATAGATAGATAGATAGATACATCCTATCAAGTAGTGTTGGCATTGCAAGTGGATCAAGCCTGATGTGATCGAAATAGCCTCGTTAACGCCTGTCCCCGCTATGCTCTAAATTCCCGTCCTACGCTTTCGCGCTGCCTTCTATAGCCCATCCAATGACTTAAATATAGCGTGCCTGGGAAGCCAGCGGTCGTGTCCTGGTAGAATGATCAGGGGCTGCTTCCCCTATACTTTGCAAGGGAGACCCATATTCTCATAGCCGATCGGCGTTCATTAATCCAGCCTTGTCTGGTGTTATCTTAAGTAGGGGTTGCCGAGCCACTTGTATCTTTCTTCTTTCCTCGTAACGTTTGACCAGCTCCCTGGAACCGAGGCTTGTCCTCGAGTACCTGTCCGCTCTCGTCGCGCTTCTTGACTGGCTTGATTGGATATCCAAAGAATAGCTGGTTGTGGCCTATCCGCAGAGGCTGCGGGCCATTGGTCTTCCTGACAGGAGGGGGATGCTGCGGGTTCGTCGTCCCTGGGGTGGGAGTAGACGGTTTTGGTGTGGATGTTTTGCTTCCCTTCTTGGCATTCAGACGCTGTCCTCCAGTGAGGAAGTTTGACGAGACCGCCCGGGCACCAGCCGCGGCATCAGTCGACTCCGGGGCAATAGCAGCGTAGTTGATCGCCTGTGCCATGGTTCCATGGGGATGAAGCAGCCCTCCAGAGGGCAGCTTGTTGCCCACTCCACTACGAGGAGTGCTGGTGCCGCTGGGGCGTTGAGGCTCCTCATAGCCCACCGGGGGCGCAAAGTCCACTTCTAGATCTGTCTCGAGTACGGAAATGGCATTGGTGTCGGTGGATGGCTTGGTTTCCAAGACTGCCATCTCGTAAACTTGATCATTGTATGCAAATGTGAACACATCTCCCTTGGTTAGGCAGGAGAAGTTACGGAAAGCATTCTCCAGCACGGCCTTCGGGTCGCTTATATCGAGAAACGAGGTAGATTGAGCTTGCAGCTTGATAAATTGACCGGGTGGGAGATCGGTTGACTTGACCTGTACGAGGTCACCGGGTTCCAGAAGGAGGGTTTGCATGAGCTGCGGGAGATCAACCAGTCAGTATCCTGCAGAGTACCTATCATAAGACGACATTACCCAGAAAGGTAGATAGATCTTCCCCTCTTCCGCAATGAACTCTAGCACACCAGCGTGCGTCAACCTTTCTCGTGCGCCGTTGTGAAGCTCGAACAACATCGGATACGTGATATGAAGGCGAGTGAGCTTGTCAAGAGCGCTGGGCGGCATGATGACCTTGCCGCCGTGGTTCACGTTCTCTCTCTCCGGGCCGGGCATCATGGCGACAGGATAGCAGCGATAGTATTCATCGAAGCGACGAGCAGCTCCATGGCGGAACATGGAGCCACCCATGACTCCGTTCATGGGATCGTCATCCCAATAGCCAGATCGAAACTATCATCATTCGGGGATCAGCATGTACACACCCAAGTACGTCACGGCGCCTAAGCGGGGAACTCACCATGATCCGAGCTAGAGTGGTACCCTATAGGTCTTCAGATGAGGATCAACTGATATCACCGGTTTTCGCTACAACCTTAGCTGTAGTCAGTAGCAAATAGGATGCAATCCGCTGTGGTTGCGAGAAAGCAGGGAAGAAGCTAGCAGGGAGAGCTGTTCGGGTGAAGGTCAGGAACGAACGGAGCGATCAGATCGCAGTGACGCAAACGCCGCCGCGATGATTTTCCGACCCGACCCCAGACAGCTCCATTTGCTCCGCGCAACCACTCTGCTGGAATCCTTCATTTTGACTTCTCCAGAACCATAATTACTACAACATTCGATGCACATGCCCCGGAAGGATCCGTAGAATCCAAGAGACACCTCATATCTACCGCGCAACTCCATGTCCGCCTCTCAGCCACGCCCCAAGCGAGCGGGTGAAGACTTCACCCGCACCCACCACCACGAAGATGACGACGTGAACGGTGCCTCCAAGAAGCCTCGCTTCGACTTGCGGAATCCCTCCGCCCTTGCCCCCGATGCCCTCGAAGACGATGCAGTTTTGGACGCAGACGAAATAGGACGCCGTGGACAACAAGTTCGCCGCAAAGCTGTCAACCTTGACGGTTACGACTCGGACAGTGAAAATGAGGGATTTTCGGCGCGCATCGAGGCCAAGTCGAAAGCAAGCAAAGAGAAGCACGATGCAGAAGATGACGATATGTTTGCCGAATTGCAGGAAGATTTTGGTGCAGAAGAAGTCGACGCCGATGAGGCCATGCGCAAGAACAAGAAAACGGTGCGATTCCTACGAGACGACGAAATCGAGGGCCAAGTCGCGTCATCCAAAGGCGGAGGCACTGTACATGCAGATTTCAGCAAAGGCGCCGACGAGGTTGACAATGAAGAAGACGAGAGCGAAAGTGAGGTTGGAGATGAGGAGCGCGCAAAACTGGACGAGGAACTGGATGAAGAGCTTGGCGCTGGCGCAAAGAAAAAGCATGCGCCCGTACTGGACGCGTTCAACATGCGCACCGAACAAGAGGAGGGCAGATTCGACGATCAAGGCAACTACATCAGAAAAGCAGCAGACCCGGATGCGGTCTATGACAGCTGGTTAGAAGGCGTGTCAAAGAAGGACATCCGTCGCGCCAAAGAGGCTGCAGAGAAACGAGAGGAGGAGAGAAAGGAAAAGGATAGGCAAGATGACAGTGTATTGACATCAGACGCCCTGAAGACCATTATCTCACACCTCGATCGAGGCGAGACGATCCTGGAAGCGCTGGCAAGGATTGGCAAGGGAGCTCCAAAGAAACCTAAATGGCAGGCGAATCGCAACAAGAATCGGAAGAAGCAAGAAACTGCAAACGAGGACACCGAGATGGCCGAAGAGGATCCCAAGGAAACGGCTAGAAAGCAAGCAATTGATGCTATCACAGGCGCAGCCGATATTCTCATGACGAGAGGGCAGGCGGATATCTACGACACTGAACGTGAGATGCTCACTAGGCAATACCGCCGTGAAACCGGGGAGGACTGGGTTGACCCGTCGCCTGGGGACTCAGGGCCCAGTGAAGGAGCTCCTACGATGTGGGAGTTTCGGTGGGCGGACGCCCGTGATGGCGGCGTCACACATGGTCCATACGATAGTGTGACGATGGAGTCGTGGAAGAATGCGGGCTACTTTGGCGAAGGTGTCGAGTTCCGAAGAACAGACACCGGTCAGTGGCAGAAAGAAGCAACATTTGCATAAACATCGTACAAACTTACGTCTACTGGCATTTACGAATACCATATGCTGGGAAACATTAATTGCATCATTATCATTCGAGCCTAGGCTCTTTGTTCAAAGTTGAGACCCAAATATCGCAGTACCCACAGCAGATGTGTTTTGAAAAAGCGCCAGCATTATCATACACCAAGCAATTCATCTGGTAAACGAAAACCGAACAATATAAAAGACGGGAAATGGTCCTCCGTAGGCCTTGCAAACCATGCCTCAGTGCCGTCTAATCATGGCAGAGGCTTCCCACGCACCAAGAGTCATTGAAAATCTCTATGGCAGAAAGGACTATGAAAGCTCCATCGCATCACCGTTCGTAGGAGCAATGAAGCTGACGGCACCTTGATCGCCGATGAAACGCTGTTCGTATGTGCTGACGAACTTGGCACTCCGTGCAGGGTCGTAGAACAACCGGTAACTGCGCTGGACGTCATCAATGCTAACCTCCTTCGCCTTGCGCTTCTGGCTGAGCAGGTGAGAGGTGGTGATGATATTGCTGGCATAGCGTAGATTCGACTCCTGGCCGATCTTGGTGAGCAGCGCCAGAGCGTCCGGAGAAAGGTCGATCTCTTCCTCTTGAGCGCGAATCGCCAGAATCTGCCTAATCTCATCGGCAGAGTAGGGCTGTGTGCTGACAATCACCACGCGGTCGAGGAAATCAAGGGGCAGGCCGTGCGGAGAGCTGTATGTCGTACCACGAATCCGGGCGTGGCCCCGGTTGCTAGCCATGATGACGATAGGTGCCAGTTCCGCCTCCAGAGCGCGGTTGATGTAAGAGAAGCATTCAATGTCAAGCATGTGCACTTCATCAATGAAGAGAACACCCGGAATGATCTCGGCTTTTCCTTCTTCCTTCCACTCCGCCACCTTGGTGTTAATCTGATCCCTCACTTCACTCCTGATCTCACCGGTATCTCCAGAGAAGAGAGCCAAGAATCCTTGTGACCGCGAGTTGATCACATCAATCTCGTGAAGGCTAACGGTATGCACGATTTCCTTGCGAACCTGGAGTTCACCCTCGGGGCATTGGACAAACTTTGTGTCAGCTCCCATCGCATCATAGTCGCGCGACCGAGCGTAAGAACGTCCCAGCTTGGTAATCTTGCCCGAAGATTTGTCAATGGAGATAATGTCACCGGCCATCACTCGTTCTTTGGTCATTGAGTCGATCATCTTTGTTCCCATGTCGTAGATCGTTTCCATGTCGGTCGTCTTGATGGTGAGCTTGCCTTGTTTGTTTCCCTAAGAAATCGCGAATGTCAGAAACTCATCATTGAGAGCTCGCCCGAGACCTCACTTACACCAGTAACACTGCGGTCAATCTGAATTTCAACCACTTCACCCTCGATGATCTCACTCTCCTCCTTGATACGAACGCCAATCGATTTGCGGAAGGCTTGCGTGAGCGCCTCAGTCTTGGACATCTCCATGGAGAAGATCTCCGACGCTGCGAGCATTGTGAAGGGGACATCTGATCCGAGGGATTGCGCCATACCCATGGCGATGGCTGTTTTACCAGTGCTGGGAGGGCCAGCAATCAGCAACGCGCGACCGGCAATCTTGCCTTCCTTGACCATTTGCAGGATCACAGCGGCAGCTTTCCTCGCCTTCTCCTGGCCCACCAGCCCTTGGGAGGATGCCCTGGGCTGTAGACTGTCTGCATCGACACCAAGTCCTCGAATGTGTGAATGAGCAGCGATGAGGTTGAGACCCCGGAGCTCCTTGGTCTCCGCGACGGTAGAAATTGGCTGTCGGAGAGTCAGCGGTGACAAACACCACGCATTTCTTCTAGATTGAAACTTACAGCAGCCATCGCGACAACTTGCAGATCGTAAGTATATCGTCAGGTCAGAAAACAGTCACGAGGTTCAAGGAAAGCAGCCAAAAATGGAGAGGTCTGGCCAGCCTGAGAGAGCGCGGAGTGGAAGAGCAGGCGAAAGAGCTGCTGGCCGGGAAGCCGCCTTGCAGGCCGCCCGGCAAAAAGAGCGATTGACCGTTTTTTCTGCCGGCGCGTGTTTTTTAAGCGCAAACGGGGTTTGGTTTGATTGCGCCAGGAAATCTCCGTTTGTCCCCTCATTGACAGTTGCGCATTCACCTTCCGCTCAAAGTATACATATAGAACAATAGGAGAATGATATGTGTCTGGACTCGGCCTGTCGACCTTCTCTATTCCCCCGTTGTCCCGCCAATGTTGCGGTTGCCATCGCGCCGTCTTCATTCCCACTCATTACGTTAATGTAGGCGTTTTTCCATTTGGGGCTTGAATTCAATCAATCACATTTACCTTTTCTATCTATCTATCGTGTACTTGTCTTACCTCAAGCCCCTCCTCCCACCCCTTATTTATTTATTTTCCCCTCCTGGCTTCCTTCATCTACGTTACGCAAGGCACATGGGATGTTGTCAAATAATTGGATTTGATTGTCAGGCCAACTGAACTCTTGTGACGTCGTGATATGGATACAGACGCCGGTGCTACGCGTGACCCCCGTCTCGCCAGGCCCTTAGCCAGGCCGCCCCTGAATCGCCCTCCCTCTGTGGATGCTACTTCAAGCGCCTCCCCTACGCGCTTCAGACCTGGATCCCAGACGGTCGGAAGCTCCTCGCCCGTCGATGCCCAAAATGCTACTGCCGATCAATTTATACGTGGGATCTCCGACCTGGTCCAAGCCGCCGTGATTGCTGCCAACGGCAAATCCGAACAGGAGAGGCTTAAGAAGAAGAGAGATGCCACCGATACCCTGCTTAGGAAAGCTAAAGTTCACTCTAGCTTTCCGTCCACTACAGCCTTTTTCCAGCAGTCCAAGGAGGAAGAGGACGCTGATCTGGCTCAGCTTGATAAATCCCTCGAGAAGCATGCCAACGACTACAGAGACCTGGAGAATGCTTTGAAAGCCAAATTTAGCTCGATCATGTCACTGGAGCCCCTAAACAGGGTGAATCAACTACAAAGTGAGGTACAAAATGCGAAGAAGGATATCATAAGGCTGCATGACTACAACATCAACCTGGAGGGCAAGATGTCGGCAGTGCAGGACAAGGTCGGCTCATTCATTAGCCTGCAAGATAGGGTTAACTCGCTTGAGAAGGCTACCTCATATCACGCGAAACTTGCCAGAGAGAATGCGGAGCGTGTCACCAAAATAACCGCGGATCTGGAAACCACGTTCGCATCGAAGGAGCAAGAAATCAACTCGGCCGCTTCCAAGACACAGATGGATGAGTTAAGGAAGCAGACCTCGGACTTGACCAGGCAGATCGAAGTCTTGCAGAAGTCCCAACGTGAATGCTCCGATTATTTGAATAAGATGAACAAGAGTATAGATGATCATCGCCGGCAACAGGACACCCGGAGCATGGAGAACACACGATCGTTGACATCGCTTACTGCACGCCTAACTTCGGTCGAAGAGAAGAATAACCGGCTCCCCTCCCCTGCTGCAGTAACTGCGCCTGAGCCTTCAGCCATGTCTGAAGAACTGGCGTCCCGATTACAAAAGCTGGAAGCGGAACTCTCGGGACAGCACGAGCGTCGCATCAAACAAATGGAAGATCAACTCGAAGGACTGCAAACAATACAACAGATGAAAGACGACTTCCAATTCAAGGAAATCGAAGATCTCAAGAAGGTGTGGGATAGAGGCGCCCAAGAATTCGAACAGATCAGGAGCGACTATGCCCGGGTCAGTGAGGAGCTGAAAGGCCTGAGCCAAGCTCAAGCAGTAGCAAACCCCGCTGGGGTTCAGGCGCATATTCAAGGGATTGCGTCCGGACTTATGAACATGCAAAATATGGTTGAAACTTTGAGAGTTGCATTACATTCCCTCGAAACTCGGTACAACAATCTGTCTACGGATACCATTGTGAAACACATGGTGGTGGCTATGCAAGAGATGTACCCATCAACCGCGCAGCTGACAGAACAAATAAATCTTATTAGAGCATGGTTTGAGCGGGATGTTCCTCCTTTGAAAGCGATAACGGAACGTCTGCACGTGCATCAGGTGAATTTGGTGGAACAGACACAGAAAGACATGGCTTTGAGAATGGAAGAGATCAATCGCCTGAGGAGCCAACAGACCAACCTCTCCCAGTCGCTCGCCCCGGTCTGGGAGCGACTTACCGCTCAAAACCAGAACCGTTGGCTCACCGCTGATGATCTGCGGCAAATGCAGAATGATCTGACATCTCTGGCGGCAAAGATTGATGAACATACGAACAAACTCGACGGATACGTGGAGTCGCGCGAGGCAAAGGATCAACTGCTCCACGACGACCTAACAACGGGAAGAAACAACCTGCACATGCAGCTCCACGCCATTGCCGAAAGGCAAACGGAACTTGAGAAATTATGTTCCGAATTCCAGAAGGCCAATAATCTACCGGATCAAGTCCGAGCCCTTGCCGTGAAACAGGAGGAGTTCATGAAGGGTTTCAGCAACTCGCAGAATGACGATTGGAGAAACCAAGTTAAGGAGCTAGCTGATAAGCAGGAAAACCTGGCAAAAAGTCTGTCTTTATATCGGGAGGAGGGCCTGCAAGATCAGGTGAGGGCTCTGGCAGATGAACAGAAGAAGCTACTCGATAAATTCTCTGATTCTCAACAAGACAAGATACGGAGGCAAATCAAGTCCCTGATTGACGAACAGAAAACATTGGCTGGGAGACTCGTCAAAACCCAGGAGGAACACGATCAACTTAAAGCTCTTGTCGAAGCTCAAGAAGACCTCGCAAAGAAACTTTGTGAGATTCAATCGAGCAATGAAGACGATTTGAAGGTGTTGAAAGCCTGTCCAGACGAGCTCAAAGCAGTACTTGACCGTGTTTGTCAACTTGAAACCTCCACGCTCGAAAAATACCAGACTGTTGTGGAAGAACATAAACTTCTGGAAGGCTCAACGTCGAAGAATCTTACGGGTCTAACTGAAAGGGTGGATGGCCTAATGAAACTGGTCGAGAGCAGCCAGCAACCCCCACAACTAGAAGCGCCCCTTCAGCAAGAAGACAATCCCGATGCAATGAAAGATGAGGATGAAGCCAACGATCAGGATTCCGAGGTCGCCAGGTTCATGAGCATGGCTGAAACAACCCCAGCGCGCGCCCTAAAAGAGAGGAAGAGAAAACGGCCTGTTACATCTAATAATGCGTCCGACGAAGATCGTTCCAGCTTAAGTCGGCCCGAATCACCGAATTCCAATGCTGCAGGCTCTGCTGCAGGAGGAGACGCCGGGCCATCAAACGACAGGAAAAGCAAGAAAAAGAAGGGAAAGAAGCGGAAATTACAAAAGAATAAAGGACCGCAGGCTTCAGGCAACATAATAACGATTGACTGAAGGGGGGGGGGTAGGTGTATAAGGCTGAAAGTTGACCCCCTGGAGGGAGCAATTTGAGGCAGTACACATCACGAGATTACGAATGTTATGAATCAGTCGTTAGTCTGAAGAAAGAAGGAAAAGTTGGTTTCAATTATGCTGGATATCCCCTTTGTCAATAATTCTTTTTCTTTGTTTTCTCCTCCACTCTTTTGTGGTCCTGGGCGCTGTAAGCCCAGACCTCTCTTACTTTCTTCTGTTCAATAGGCTTTTTTTTTTCAAGGTCACGGAGGTAGGGGGAAAAGGGACCTGCACATAAGCAAGAATGTACAAGTGGAGTCTGAGTCAGTTCTGTCTTGTCTGTCTATACATCCAACCATCAAACCAAGCATGACTGTAGCAATCAATCAAGGAGCTTCCTGAAGGAACTTCAGAACAGCTATTAAGCAAAAAGCACACAGATCAGCAAATTATCCTACTCAACCAGATAGAATCAAATACTACTACTCACCTTGCCTGAACCCTTCCGGATTCTCCGAAATCAACCAATGCCCAGCCTCCACATCCGCAACGCTAGCATTGGGGAAGAACTTCTTAATCGTCGGCACCGACTCATCGCTCACATATCTGCTCTTCGTGCCCCTCACAAACAGCGTAGGGCCCTCATACGAGACAGACCCCGGCTCCCGGTACGGGAAGTCAGCCATACCGGGGATGGCTTCGCCGAGGACGGCGAGCGGGACACGGAATTTCATGGTTTGGTCTTCTGTCGAGCGGACCAGGTTGGTGAGGAGGAATTGGCGGATGGGGAGGGACTGTCACATATTAGTTTAGTTGATTGTTATGTGCACACATTGGGCTCAGTTTGCATTCATTCATTACTCGTACTTACCCCCTCATATCCCTTGAGAATCTCATCAGCCTCAGACTGCTTCGACACATTAGCAGCCTCGACGTGCTGCATGCCACGAACGTAGAGGCCGAAATCGCTCTTCAGGGGTGCATTCACGGGGGCATTGTCAACCGGTACAAGAGCCGAGACTAGCTTGGGTGAATCGAGGGCAACTGTCATGGCGGTTTTGGCGCCCCTGGTTGTTATTATCCATTAGTATAGCTGTCTGGTTGTGTTTGTCTTCATATGCATTCTGCTGAATGCGTGTGGAGTATCAGAGACATATGTAGTAGGATATGACGTACATCGAGTGGCCGATCAGAACGGCCTTGTCTAGCTTCAGCTGCTGGATGAACTTGATCACGTCTTCGGCCATGACGGAGTAGTTGTGTTCTTGTGCGTGGAACGATTGGCCATGGTTGCGAAGGTCCTGGAGTACAACACAAATATGAATCACTGTTTTGATTCCAAACTTCTCCTTCATAATTGGTTACACACCACTGTGAAGATCTCACGTTTCAGATCACGTGCCAGTGCTCTGCATCGTGGTTAGTAGCTTTCCTTTTCACTGGATGTTCGTCTTCTGAGGACAATTGATTGATAAAGGAATGCTTACTTGCTAATACCCCGGTTATTTTGCTTCGAGCCGAACAGTCCATGAAGGAAGATGATAGGACTCCGATCAATAACATCGGCTTTCTCGGGCCCAAACACCTGGTAGGACAGGTCTGTTCGGAGACCTCGTGATGTGGAGAATAAGCGGGCGCCCTGGGCGGCGCTTCGAAAGGTCGTACGGATTGGTTGGAGCATGATTATGAGTGACGAGTATGATGGTGATGACGATGCTATCTGAGAACTGCGATTGATCTGAGGGTTTATCTTGAGTTTGGTGCATTTAAGCATTGAAGATCAGCAGCTGCCTTGGGGATATGACTAAGCAGCTGGGGAGGTGGTTTTGCCGTTGTCCCGTCGGCTTAATGGGATTGTCGTGCAGCAATATCCGGATGTCTTGGCTTGACAGGGGTATATATGTCGGAGTTGCCTTGTCGTTTGCTTTTTGCTTTGGGAATGGTTTTGGTTTGTGCTACGTTGTACTGCCGGTATTGCATTGATGATGGAGTGATTGGGGTAGTGGTTTGTAGGGAGTACTTGGATCTTATCTGATCTCGGGTCAAAATATATATCGATAAATTGCATCATCACTCTCTACTACCGTCGGATTTGTCCAAAACATTCACCAAACAATGATGGATCTATGCTAAACCCCTCACCTCGGATATAAGTCGGAGTGTCTCGCTGCAACAGCGCACTCCCTACTTACGCTTAGGCCTCTAAATGATCGTACGACGCGAAAACAGCCGGGAAATTGAATCTGGGACTTACCATCTGCAAACTGAGATGGTGATCACGGCTGATTTGGTTCTTCTGTCAGAACAACACATTTGGCAGGAGCCCATCTTCATATTGCACACGCCAGCTTGACTCCGCTACTTCCAGGTCACACTGATTTAGGTGAAGTTCACAGAAGTCTGTGAGACAGCCCCGTTGTCCCCCAGATGTACTTGTCATGTCTAAATGCGCGCTCTAGGGTGGTTCTCCTTTCACTATTCAACACTCAAATCGTAAATCGTCTATTTCAGGAGCTTCATCGAAGTAAATGTATATACAAGACATAGATATCGTCGTCATATCCACCATGATATCCCCCGCTTATTCCTAAAATTGGTACACTGACACCTCATATTTAGGCGTCCAGAAGAGGAGGGACCTTCTCGCAAAGGTATTCAACAATGGCGTCGGGGCCGCGCTCGACCTGGAGACCCTCGGGGATAGCGTGCAGCTTGATGTCGGGCTTGATCGACCGGGCAATGGAGTGGATCTCGTTGGCCTGCTCGGCGGACCACATGGAGGCGCTGAACTGCAGAGGAAGTTAGCCATGAGTCATTATAACAGTAGTCGCTTTACCCCGCATTGTAGAGGAAGCTCGAATGAAGAGAACGTACCAGGACATCGGGCATGTGCTGCTTGACCTTGGACTCGACTTCTTCGATCTCTGTTCGCAAACTCAGTTAGTATCACCCATCACTAAGTCCCGTAAAGGACTTCAAAGTCACAGGTACTTACTCTCGCAGTTGTCAATGTGGATAATGGTGTAACGGTCCGAAAGGGCCTCAGCAACCCGTCCGATGAGGCGCTTGGCTCTCTCAGGAGCGGTGTTGACAGTGACGAGCTTGAAGGGTCCCTTGGGAGCAGACATTGTGACAGATTATGTGCAGAGTAGTTTTCTGAATGACTTGAAACAGACTCGACGACTGCGACACTGTTCGCTTTTAAACGGAGAGCATGCGATTTCGCAGTTCAACCGGCACGACAAGCCGCGGGCGACATCCCCACGTTGTCGTGGGGAAGTGGGCTGTTTAGCGTATTCGCCGCCGGCTTTCGCCCGACGCTCGGAAATCGAAAGCGTTGAAGTCAAGTCCTGGAGGGGAGCAAGTGTTTGGTTCCTGCGAAGGAAGTCGAATGCGGACTGGCTGCTGAGAAACGGGTCGGTTCCCACCGGCAAAGGTAGTTGAGGGATTGCCCCTCCCACTTTGCTTGCCCCCCCACCCCGCGCGCATTGAGCTTCCCGGCCGGCCACCAGAACTGCACCCCGCGACGATATCGGGGTAGAAATATCCCGTGAGCGTACTTCAAAAGAGACAGCGCCTCAATTGATTCCTGCTCCCTGACTTGCATTTCTGTTGTTCATCAATACCCCCTTCGTCTTCACAAAAACTCATCATGTCCAAGGTCGCATCTACCTTCTCGCGTATGTGGACACGACCTTGCTTCTGCAGCTGTGTTGCTAACACCATCTAGGCCTCGTGCGCTTCGTCCCCAAGTCGAACCCTTCTAAGGTTCTGATCGGTGAGCCAGTCGACGCCGCCGTGGATGTTGGATTGGCCGTCTACCAGGGCAAGGATGTCGCTGTGCGCCCTTTCTCTGGTAGCTCCGTTCTCAGCCCCGGCCAGAAGACCGACTCGACCGAGACCATTGAGCGCGTTCTCTCGCCTCTGGCGCAGAGCGAAGTCGGCTCCATCAGATGCATTGGACTGAACGTAGGTTCAACATTGATCGCAGCATAGCTGTCCAGCGGAGGCGCAAGAAACTAACCGATCGCGCAGTATGTCTCCCACGCCGCTGAGATGAAGCTGTCTATCCCCGATGTTCCCACTCTTTTCATGAAGCCCTCGACTGCCCTGTCGGACCCCTGGCCCGCCCCGACCGTTCTGCCCAAGCTCACCCAGATCGACAACACGGGTGACTACGAGTCGGAGATGGTCATTGTGATCGGTCGTGATGCGAAGGATGTCAGCGAGGCCGAGGCCCTCGACTACGTGCTCGGATATACCGCGGCCAACGATATTTCTAGCCGCACCTACCAGATGAACCAGAGCCAATGGTGCTTCTCCAAGGGCTTCGACACCTCCTGCCCCATCGGTACAGTTTGCCTCTTATAAAGGTGATATTGCTTTTCGTGCTGATGGATGAACTTTCGCAGGTCCCGTCCTCGTTTCCGCTGCCCAGGTTCCCGATGCCAGCAAGTTCCACATTCGTGGATCGAAGAACGGAAAGGTCCTTCAGGATTGCCCCTTGACGTATGTCTTCCCCTTTTACCATTCAAATAGTGTGTATCAAAGAACAAAAGCTGACCAGCAACTTTGAACAGTGACCTGATCTTCAACGTGCCCCAGCTCGTCAGCTTCCTGTCCCAGGGCACCACCCTGCCTGCCGGTACTATCATCCTCACCGGTACTCCCCCCGGTGTTGGCGCCGCTAAGAACCCCAAGGAGTTCTTCAAGCACGGCGACGAGTTCGCCGTCGAGCTGCAGCCTCACGTCGGCACCCTCATCACGAAGATTGAGAACCAGGCATGAATACTATGGTAATGGTACTATGAGACGGGTGGGGATTAACGGATTACGATGAGACATACTACAAGAATAGCATAGAGATGTATATACTGTACGGATACCAATGAACAGGTTCATTGTTCCAATGCATAATAACATGCGTAAATAAGAGGAAGCCAAGTGACAAGTCCTATGATGCAAGGAGTCATCACATTGTCGCCATAATCCTCCGAGAAATGACAACACTCAACAGATGTGGGTGGTTTGCCTCCCACCCACATCCACACCCCACGCTGACTAATGTCCCCACAATCAGCCACTTTCAAGCTTTTGCCCAGCACTCATGCATTTGCAGCTAGCTGCTGCAGGCCGGAAGCCAGGACAGAAGCAAGGAGAAGAAGGCAGCTGACAAGGAGGAAAGAGTTAAGCCTGATCCCAGCACACCAATTATAAGTCAAAGCCTCAGGCACTTAATCACCAATCATTAAAGAGCCAGAAACCGTCCTGGAAGCAACAACAAAAATCCGTATAATCCACGTAGTCTTCTTCCCCGTGTAACTCCTTACCCATCCCTTCACTACCATCACTGCATGGGATGGATAAACGAAACTCGTCCTCAGAATGCAAGCTACTCAAAGACTGCACCACGAATTGCCGATTCACATACACAAAATCAGTCAACATCTGCAGGAGAGGATAAAATCTTATCCTAGCGGAGTAAATCAATTCCGCTACTATGCCGAGAGCGACTGCGTGACCAGTCCGAACCGGAGTTTTGTGGTTAACTTCCGGGAGTAACCTTGCATTGCTGGCCAGTCAGCAAGTAGTAGCTTGAGAAAGCCAAGTAATCGGGCCATGTGCTGAATTCTTCCTGACAGCTGGTAGATCAGTAAATGTATAGATTTGTATGTCTACAATAGCAATAACATAGTTCATCAAAAGAAACGAGTAATAAAAACTAAAGACATCCCGGCAATGCAATAAATCAATCCCGTGCAAGCATCCCGTAAAGGCGCAATTAGCGAACCGGACGCCGTGAATCCTTCCCGATAGCAGCTAACATCGGCGGACATCGGGCCAGCCGATCGGGCCAGTAACTGCACAATGTAGGCATGGTCTGACACTAGCAGCAACAACCACACCACTACGGGTGCTATTCATTTACATTCCCCCCTTCGCTTTGCCGATACTATCAAACCATAGTATCGGACGGGCCACTTTTTCGGGGGGAATCGCTTTGCAGCTTTCGAATCAAAATTGCCGTGATCCATCGAATAGTTATCTACTAATGAAAAGTTATGTCGAAATTTTCTTCAATGTGGGTTTAGTTCCATTCCCATTCCTACCTCTTTTCGGAGTGAGTATATAACTACGGCGGGACCTGGGAGGGATAAACTCTTTATCCCCTGGGTTCTTTGGTTCCTTTTTCTTTTTTCCCTTTCGCTTGACGTCTTTTTTTCTATACTTCTATACTATACTATACTTCTGCTGATTGTCTTTTCTTTTTGTTGTATTCAATTCTTGTTCACTTCCATCGAGGTTTCGGATTCATATATTGTGTCTTTGTTTGCTTCGCTGCTGTGCACGCTCATATCGTTATATGTCTATATACATGCTCGCCATCTATATCTAACATCTAGAAGGTCTATGCTCGCCAAGGTCGTCTCCGAAAGCAACACGCCAAATCGACTCTGAGGAAAAAGATATATGCAAAGTTGTGATTAAAGGAGGAACAACGCAAATGAAGATGAAAAGGGATTCGTGTCATCGATTTACTCTTCAATGGGCGGACGCCAGCTCCGTCCTTGCCAGTGTACGATCATAGTTGGAATGATACTGACACCCGCAACGAGTGCCGCACAAATGCCAGCACTCGGTGCTACACCAACACTCTCAAACATGGATGGGAACCTAAACGACACCGATTAGCGTTTGCCCATATGTGTCCAGCACAGGGATGCATCCGATACTTACCAGAACGGTCCGAGGAATCCCCAAATTTGTCGGACAAACGTGATGTATACTCCGACACTGCCGGCTTCCTTGTGGTAACAATCCACTGCATACGTGACAAGAACAGTCGTTACGATTTGGTTGCCACCAGCGCAGATGGCAATGCCGACGACCGGCTTTACGTTCCAGTGACCCTCCGTCGACTCCTGGGTGCAGACAAGGAATACGATCAAGCCCACAATGCACAGGACGAAACCGATGTAACTGAGCCACAGGCGGTATTCAGGTTCCGGCTTGCGGTGGATTTTCTTTGCACGCAAGTTCATCCAGCGGTCCGACAACACACCACCAAGCTGCTCACCCAAAAGAGATCCGATGATAGGACCTAGGAATTGGAGTCCCAGCTGTTCAGCATTCAGATCAAATTTGGTCTGCAGCAAACTGGGGATTTCCACAGTTGTCATTACATTGCCCAGACAGAACACCATGGCGTATGCGGCAGTGGGAATGGCAATACAAGGATGCGTGACCATGCCCAGGGGTCTGAAGAACTCTTTGAACGACAAGGGTGTAGGATCAATGCGTCGGAGCTGAGCATATTCCCGTACCCAAGCGGGTTGCTCGGGGTTATGGTCACCTCCAATATACCGGGTCTCAGGACCCAAGAAGAGATACAAGATGAACTGGACACCGTTGATCTGGATTTTCGAATTAGGTCAGCGGAAGACTCTTCGTTGGAACAGTAACCCGACCGGGGTTATGGGAACACTTACAATTGCCAAGATCCAGTAAATCCATTGGTAGCCCAGCCGATACGTAACGAAGCCAAAGATGAAGGGCCCGCTGGGGATTCCCAGTGTAATCAATAGCGTCCATATACCCATGTACCGAGCTCGGTCTTTCTTGAATGTCGTCTCCATCACTACCGCACTTCCGATCGCTTCCGCAGCCGTTAGCACTCCTTGTCACGATAAGGCAAGCATTGCGTCTTACCTGAAGCAGGGGAAATGAAGAAAGCCTGCAGAGCCCGACATACAGCCGTGGATGCGTAACTAGTGCTTTCCGCACATCCTACGTTACAGACGAGACTGCAGATTAAGGAAAGGAGGAAGATAGGGCGACGTCCCCAGCGGTTAGACAACGGTTTCCAGAAAATTGGTGCTACACCCAGGACTGCAATCTGGATGGAGGTCAAATAACTCGCGTCGTTCACCGAAACACCGAAATCAGTTGCAATTCTGGTCTCATGGTCAGTATTTAAGTGCAATGCGGAAGGCTCCAATGGAACCTACGTTTGGTAAGCCGGGATGATGCCTGCTGCCGCAAAAGTGCCCATGCACGCATGAAACGCTACTAGGAGAAGATTTGCTATTTTCTAAAACGCGTCGAAAAAAACCCGTTAGCATGGCCGCTTCTTCACGAAACCTTTCAACACTCTGCAAAAAGATCCTTCAATACCACATACCTTCCACGACGGCCAATTGTAAGGATCCGCAGGATCCATGCTGGGGATAGGATCGAGTTCCAACGTCCCATGACGTTCCATCAGATAGTCACGGTGTGCCTTGGAAAGTTCAGAAGACACGATATCGGCATACGTCGATGGGATGCCTGCTTCTGTGCTCTCTACAAAGTCGACATCTTCCTTTGCAGGTGTCTGAGACGGGTGCATCTCCATGGCCCCAGACATATTGTGAAAAGGAAAACCCTGAACTTGGGGCTTGTGGGACAATGAAAATGGCGATTCTTGCTAGAGACTCACGACACACTTGAGATATCCAAGAAATGCAGGTCGTCTTAGGAGTCTAAAAAGGGGAACGGAAGAATAACAGAGAGGAGAAGATGGAGGGAACCTATGTGATGCCTAAGAGGGAAGAGCCGTGCCTCCCTATGCAACTAATCGGTTCACACAAAATGTTCCTAACCGGGGGGAAGAGGGAGGGTTCCACGCTCACCGGGGGATTGACCTATCACTGGGGGCGCTGGTGGTACCCTTCCTGGGGGTTGATTCAAACCTGGAAGTGACGAGTCCCGCGAGTCCCGCGTACTGTTGGGGCAACTCGTGGGGAAGATGCGGAGGATTTCCTACGGCACAGTCCAGTCACGAAAGCAGCAATGGTCACTATGTTCTGTCATTGAGGATAGCGCAAGATCCGCTCATTGGCCGGACCAAGCCAGAGAGTGTATCGCCGCCAGAAGCAACATAACCGAGGGCCCGACTACGGATGACTCGGGAGATCCAGAATCCAGAATGGTTCTAGTTAGCGACCCATTCGGCCATGGCGGCGGCGGGTTAAGTCTTTGGAGTGGATGCGCCCCTTCCGGGGAGGAGACATGGTAGACCAATGTTTTGCCTCCAAATCTCGGTTATTCCGCTGACCAGATTTGGGGCCAACTTTGCCGAGTGAAACGGATTACAAAGTATTTGGCCAAGCAGCCGGCGTCAAGCGATATGCGGACGGTAACTGCTCGGGCAGATCTCATTGTGTGATGATGCAATCACCGTGTGACCAGGAATTGATTTTTATGTCTGCCTGGATGAAGTGGATTATCAAACACTAGTAGCTCCTATGCCCTACAAACATGCATCTGCTCTATGCAGATGTAAGGGGAAAGGGAAACAAGGTGTGATCGATCAATTTGTGGGAAAGGATGTTTAGGACGCGTCTAGTAGGGACTACAGTTGGGCTACTGCTAGTCAAGATTAGGTGGGTGCTAATTACCCACACCAAATACGTAGACACGGGGTCTGGAGTAGGAGCGAGTTTGAGTGGAGTTTAACGCCTTGGCCCTTGACTCCAGTCCGTCTTCCAGAGCCGCTAACAAGTGCCGGGGTGTGACACGTAAGGAACTTACAAGCTTCAGCGCTTGTACAAGGCAAATAAACCCGGCCGCCGTGTACCGATACGGTTATGTAACGTCCACGTGCCAAGAGCCAAGGCAACAGCGTTGCCACCACATTTTCTGCCCCACAACTCAGGTCGGCGTCTCCTCTCTATTGTTGACACAAAACCACCTGCTTAGTTCCCTCCTTCTCCACGATTTCCCCCCCTTTCGCCCCCAGCCTGTCCAGCCTGTATCTTATTTGGCTTATCCCTCGTTATCACCACTTTATCGTGGTGACTGGCTAGCTGGCTGGCCCTTGCTTCGACTATCTTGCTCGCTGGGTAACGTGGATGGGTTGTGTGTCATTATTAGTCGAAATCAACTTGATCTAGATCTATCTATTTTTATGGCTCCTTTAGTCGCCATGCCACAATCAACCACATCATCCCCTACCACCACCACATCGGCGGTCAAGACACTGATCTGCCGCGTTTGTCAAAAGGGCTTCTCTAAGGCAGAACATTTGAGGGTAACTTGCCCCTAGTGCCAATCCCATGGTGTGGAGACATCACTAATGCTGGCTTGTAGAGACATGAACGTTGTCGTAAGCATACCGCCATTGTTGCCTTCCTTCTTGAGCAGACATGATCGCCACTGCATTCCGCCCTAGTAATTGTGGGAGGTCTTCCATGCAAGTCATGATGGCTAACTTGCCGCGCCTAAGATACGGGATCGAAGCCATTCATCTGCAAAGAATGTCGGCGACCTTTTGCCCGCCAGGACGCTCTGACCCGGCATGAAAAGCTTCACACCCGCGCGGCCAACGCCAAACAGGCCCAAGTACAGCAATCATCCGTACATGTTCCTCCGCAGACGACATCTTTGGATGCTCTGCCCTGGGATGCCAGTCGCGCCCCAGCACCGCCCATAGTTTCTACCTCAGCATCTAATCAGGCATGGGAGACGTCCCAGGCTGAGCAGCATCCGGGTCTGCAACATGCAGCTTCCGATCTTGATTTCGCCCTGATTTGGCCCGATTCAGAGAATCTCTTCCAAAGTATCATGTCATCCGATGCTACCGACCAATGGCAGATGCCATTAGGGGCTTTGCCCTTCCCGCCAGTTGTACAAGATGTTAATGGGATGAATTTTGGGTCACCGAATTCGTTCGACGATAGAGGGTCATCAATAGGTACAATTCCCTCAGGTGGAAGCCACCAGGCTGTGCGTGATGTTACCGAGATGGTGACAAGTTCGGTGGGTGTTCCCCAGGCTTCTTAGTCTTACTACCCCTTACTGATCCTATGAAAATCGCTAGTCATCAAGTGTCACAGCTGCAATCAAAGCGACCTCGATAACATCCGTCTTCTTAGATGAATGTCTGCACATGTTCTTCGTGCGGTTCATCCCCACGTTCCCAGTTCTACATCGAGCAACTTTCGTTTTCCGCGAGTGTACACATCCTCTTCTTCTCAATGCTATGGCATTGGGTTCGTTATACTTGGGTCCGAAAGATTCCGTAGCTAAGGGGGAGGCTTTATGGCGCTTAGCACATACTGCTATAGCAACCTCTGTAAGTATCGTAGACGCCTGCACTGATATCATTGTGCTTACATTTATCTAGTGGCAATCGTTGATCACCCATCGAGGCCCTTACGATGTCTGCAAAGGAGTACAGCTCCTCATTACCGCTCTGCTTGGCCAAATATACGGTGCTTTGTCTAAGGTGAATCAAAGTTGCAAGAGTCACTTCTACCACAAATACTAACGAGTTACCTTTCATAGAACCGGGTTATCCGTACGACGAGTCAGGTCTTCCGCCCACTTGGCTTCCTATGGGCAAGACACTGTGGAATGTTGGATGCCGACCCTTTTCCAATGGAGAACGTGCCTTTCCCAAACTCACCCAGCACAGAAAAGGAGTATAAATGGCGCACATGGGCAGCCCGAGAGATTCAACAACGCGCGTTACTCGCGTATCACATATTGGATGGCCTCGTAGCGCAGATGTCTGGTGACAGTGCATCTACCCGGCATGTTGCCAACCCTCTGCATCTCCCCAGCAGCGAAGCTGCCTTCGATGCCGGTAATGTCGACGAATGGATCGCTATCATGCGTACTCAGAAGGTGGAACAACCATCCTTCCGGTTGGTGTTCCGCTCCCTCTTCCCTCCCATCGGGAGCTTTCGACCTCTAGACTTCCAATTTTCTGCCTTTGCATTACGTGTTGTCCTAGAAGGCCTACAGTCTCTTGTTTCGGATTCAGACGAAAGTGATCTTGCTGCAGTCGGGGTTCCCGGCCGGTCTGATGTCCGGAGAGCATTGGCTCAAGTACATGAAACTATTACCATGAGTATCCATCTCTCTGCACCGGAGCGTCTTGAGGTTCTTCTGCGTTGGCATACGATATGTCTCGACACCATGATCAACTCCACAGTACTCTGCAGACATGTTTGTTCCCGATATGACATTACGCAACACGTTTCCGGAGGCTCCCGGACCATCAAGCCAGGATTCGACATGGCCAAATGGGTCAATACTGAAGATGCTCGTCGTGCTTTGCTGCACGCTATTGCAATACAAGATATTGTCGAACAACTCCCGAGAGGCCGGGCCCATGTTATCCACATGCCAAGCTCATTGTTCTCGGCCACAACAATATACGTTGTCTTCTCTCTTGCTGGTGTGGCGAATATTCATCTTCCACGCACGATTGTCTGGCAGGACGCCCTGCTTTCGCGCGCTGATCTGAACCTCGGGTGCGAGAACATTCGCCCCTCGACTGGTTCTGAAACGCGGCGTTTTGTCGAGGAGGGACGAACAGACTCTCCCCCTGGCATGGGAGCGGTGCGTAATCTGTTGTATGAGATGAACTCGTTGCAGAAGCTGTTCCGCTGCATGTTCTCCCAGTGGGGCATTGCGCATGACATGGAGGAGATTATTGATCAGTGGATTACTCTCTGCCACTAGGTGGTATTAGATTCGCATGTACAGCGTGGTGTTTTTCTGTCTAGCATTTTTGGCGTCAGGTCCTGGTGACCTTTTTGGTTATACGGCTACATAGAGGTTTGGTTTGTGACTTAGGTCGTATATAGACAACCAAGGGCTTTACGTAGGAAGGAGCCTGGCCATCGGGGCCCAACCTTCTCTTGAAGATAACAGTATTCCCACTAGAACTGTGCATAGAAGGCCTAGTCAATTGGACAATAACCGTGTAAGATTGTGCCACAAACCGTAGTTACCTGCTCTGCCTGGCAGTCCGTCCCCATCACCCACATGTTCCATCGCTTGCCGCTGCCGTCCCCACGTCGACTCCCCACAGCCCGACTTCCTCTCTCAACTGCACCTTCCACACAGCTTCTTTCTTGCAGCACCAGTCTCCCCTCTCTCCACAATTCCAGGCTTTAATGATCTCTGGTTCATGATCGACGCTTTCAGATTGTCAATGCAACATTGCGATGCTATTCTCCATGTCTCCCCATGGGGAATATGCACTCCACGGTGCCACAATTGAGAAGTGGTACGATGCTGCTTAGAGCCTTAGACTAAGAAGCTCAGACGCTAGTAGTGAGCGGTCCGGTCCACTTCTCTCAGCACTGCTTCGGTGCAGTAACCAAGTCAAGTAAGATTGTTTCAGTCTGATGCCAGGATCCTTGCTAGGTTACTACGTATGCCTTCCCTCTCATTTCTCCAATGTCTTCTCTCAAGATCAGTCAAAATGTGGAGATTTCTCTTGTGTTACCCCCTAAATCCACGCAATATACTTCATATCGCCCGAGCCTTCCTTAGTCTGTTCAAACTAAGATCCTAGTATGGACTTCTTCGCAAATTTCAGAGCTGCCACTCTTCGTTTCACAATACCAATTGGCTTGCACACAAACCCCCAGTATCTCCTGCAACTCTTTGGCTTCTTGGCCAGAGCCCTTGGGGTCTTGGAGCGTTGATCGATGGCACACCATACAAGCAGGTGTGTGATTTGACATCTCACCTGTGCAATCCCGCCAATGCATGCTTTCCGGACGGGCAAGGCTGCAGACGCGGTTCGTTCTGGTGCAGGGCTATGTTTCCCCTCACCACAATGGAGAATAGCCCGCACACCGTCGACAAAGGAGCCAAGCATCCAGACATCAAATGGCGCAGACGGACAGGATACTCCACACCACGTTTCTCGTGCCCAGAACAGTGTTGCTCCTAGACCATATTTATGGTATCTTTCGGGACAGCTACAGTCAGACTGACATTCGGTGAAGTCTCGATCCCCAGTGAAGCTCCCGTGGTCTTTTGTACGTGCTGTCCATCTGTATAGCTCCTCAGGCGCAGACTCCCCAAACAGTGCATCGTGCCAAACTCGAGCATACCAGTGTTCGGGTAGATGGGTAGCAGGATCTTGATCGACTTGTCCGCGTAACAGGTCAAGGTGCGCATTGGCACCCCACACAAACGATGCTAAGGCCGTGTACCCTGCAGAGTAGGAAATCTCATCGAAAGCGTCGGGCCTCGAATCCGCAAGTTGCTCCAGCGGCTGGCGATCGTAGCTGCAGGCACCGTACAGTGCATCTTCCTGGACCGCCCGGGCGTGCCCCATAGTATCGAATGCGCATGCCGAGTCAACAGCATACTCATGGATCCGGTTGAGCATCGCGTAAGATAGAGTCGGTCGGCATCAGGAGAGCTGACTGCTGCTTTCATTGCAAACTAGAAGCCATCAGTCAAACGCTCACGAACATATGCGCCTCAAATGAAGGGAACTTCGTCTGTCGAACAGGCCGGTCTTTGCGGGCCCTTGTTGAGAGAACACTGTTGAGAGCAGGGCCGGCCCAGGACGCAAAAGGCACGGAACTACAATCATAGACGTTACCAGCAGCTGTTTGATCGAATTGTGACTGCAGCTCATTGATCATACACCAGCGAACTATTGGAGCTGATAGACCGGTGGCCTGGCCCGGGCCTGTCATGACAGCAGAAGCATGGAATGTCGCGATTCCCTTGACATAAGGACTTAAGTCTTCGTACCCTGGAGGGAGATGCACCTCTGAAGAATTGCAGAGCGACGTCAAACCTTTGCGAAATGAGCTCTTCAAGTCACCTTCAACACCAGCAAGAATATCCAATGCTTTATTAGGCATCATGCCATGGCACCATTTGAGAGTGCGCTGCCGGCATGGTCCCAGGCATTCCACGGCGAGGTCCTGGGTAATGGCGTTCTGACTTGTTGACAGCAAGTACTGTCTTGAAACACACTAAAAGCTGCGACCAACGAAAGTGCTATTAGCTCCCGATCTTCGCTGGAACTTAGAAGCCAGGAGCGGAACATGAATATGACACCAGTTTTGATACAAGCCGCGCAGCCCTCCTCTGCACCAAAATGGAGCAGGGTATGCCCCAACACCGCTGCTTGGTTCAACTCCGGAACATCTTCCCTTCCCCAGAGCTCGGCCCCACAGGAACATACAACATACGCAGGCAATCCAGTTCCCTTACTCCGGTAGCGATGTTTCCTCTTGCAAGTATCACTCGGAAGGGACGCTAGAGAGGCGTCTTGTAGAGCAACGCACTCGTCTCGAGAGAGCAGTGAGAGGAGCTGCCCTCGGTATGTCTTCTCTTCGAATACTTTTGTGTAGGCATTTCGACACTCGGCGGGATTCATTGTTAGAAGTAGAGAGAACAATCATAAAAGATAAGAAGTTGTGTTCAAATTGTCTTGATAGTATAGTCAGATATCGCATAGACTGGAGAGTATCTCCTCTCCGACAAGCTAATGAGACCGTGAATTATATACAATGAACTCTAGTACTTTCCATCTCGTGGATTGACATCACCGCCAGTCGCTTACTCCAAGTCAGAACGAGGCAATTTGGCGTGTGATCTCTGTGCTCCATCCCACAACACAACATGGATGATATATCCCTTACCTGTAAAGGATTTCGCGTAACACCCCAAGACCCCAAGTACTACCATCCCATGGTCAAGTACATCAACGAAAAGGGTACAGTACTAACAACACAAGAGAAAGAAGAGTAAAGCGGAGGGGATAAAGGATGATTTTACTCTCGAAAAGAGAATGAACATAAAATCAACCTGAACCATTTCCATAGAATTGAATTGAACTAACCGAAACAAAGGAGAAAATAATACAGATAGCAAAACACATTAACAGCCATCCCGACCCGACACACACACGCTCTCTTTCTCTCTCTCCCTCATACCCTATACAAATGACCCATATAGGCCTGTGTTTTCACCCAAACCATCATTAACTGAAACACATCTCCACGATTATCCACACCAGGGGAGGTAGTATACCTACGTGTAAGGCCTGCCTGCCATCACGCCACCTCTGAAATGCATAAAAATTGGCTAACAATCGTGTAACTGAATGTGTTGGTTCGCGAGATACTGTTACATATCATGAACATTCGCTGATACTATATAGATCTACGTGCATCATACAAATGTTGATAGATCGATGGCATATAGCATGGTAGCAGCGCATGCAGTAAGGGAAGAGAAAAGGCGTGGTGGTGTATGTAGTACATACATAATCAAAACACCGAAACAGGCATGAAGTTCGGACCTATTGAGGGAAGCCACACAAAGGGAGAGGCGAAAGAAGGAAGAACCTTTTGCAGCTACACGTCGTAGTAGGCCTGCATGCGGTTCTGGCGGGAGTGACAGTCGGGGGTATTTTGTGGGGAGGGAGAGAGACATCTTCGGGGTTTGTGCTGACCACACATCTTGCAGCCTGATATGTAGAACGAGTCAGCTGGAATGAAGGGCACATCGTTAAGTACTAAGTCTAGTAGATGTTGAATGCCAGTTTAGGGTGTTGTATTATACTACACATCAAAGGCTGTAAACCCACTTTGTAAAACCACGTTTTGTCCATTCTATTCATCCTATGCAAGCTATATGTGCAATAAATAACAAATATGCAAATATGTTCACTCCAGTGATGTAAACCAAACAATAAACCAACGTAAAGACATGACATCCGGGCTCCAAATGCAAAGGGTATCTCTAGGGCAATCAGCTGCTCATGAGAACAAAGAAGATATGAGTAATGACGATGCAAATGAGGCAAAACAAAACATTCCAGGTCACACAAGTAGAGATGACAAGACGAGCAAACTCAAAAACATGACACAAAACCACCCATTAGGATCATGCGTAAGATCAATGTGCAATAAAAAACTCGCTAAATGCTGAATATGTGCTTGGATCAGTTCGGTAACTGATCTTGAACTGCAGGTTCGTCCATTCGGACTAACGCCTTTGCAACCGCCACTCCGACATCTTTGAAAAGATCGCGCATTATGGCCTCGCAGCTCCCAGGGGCGTCCTGCTGTTTGGCACCCTGGGCCCGGAATCGAGCAGATAGCCGGTCAATCAGTTTGCCGAAGGTGCTTTCAAAGTAAGACTCGACAAGCTTCCTTTTCAGGTGGGCGTTGTCGGCGTGTTCCTCGGCATAAGGACTGCCGGAAGGATGGCTCCCAGGGTCTACACGGATACGCTGGGCAGGACGCTCAGCGAAGGAATCATCTAGCTCGCGAGGCCTTTTGGTCCCTTGTAAGGGGTCGTGCAGTGCAAGAGAGGGCTGATGAGGTTGGGGCAGATAGGCCAGAGCCGGGTCCGTCAGGCCATCACCACCAAACTCAGGCTGCTCTTCACCATTTTTGGTTTTCTGAAAAACCAATCGACGCTCCCGCCGGACTTTGGAGCGAGACATCCAGTCCGCCAGAGGATCGACATACCCCGTCCATGTTCTCATGGCTTCCATGTCCTCCAACGGCGGGAGACTCTTCAACCAGACCAGAACCCGCTCGATTTTCGTCGAGATCTGTACCAACCCCTGCTCGGGCACCATCCGAACGGGCTCCGGGACCTGAGGGGGTTGAGGTTCTACTCTGGTGGGTAGTGCAACAGACGCCCCCAGCGGAGCTTTGGCTGTCACATCCCGAGGTGTGTTGTATTTAACCAACCATGAAGTCAGTAGGTCCCAGACTTCAGTATCAATGTCTACACCCGGATACGGATCACCGTTCGCATACGCCTCCCAGTGGGCCTTTCGTTTCGAGATGTAGGTCTGAATACGGCGGCGGCATGACTGCCAGGAATAACGACGGCCGGTTTGCAATTCAAGTTTGTTGGAGATCTTGATCCAGAAGGATTTCGGATGGTTGTGAGCATCGTCATCGTTCATGGACGCCGCGCACAAATTGACCAGGCAAACCTGCTCGGGGACGCTGAGTTGTCTCCCGCGGCCGGCGAAAGGAAGGGACTCTATCGGGGTGGATTTATCCAACGAGGCCGAGGGCTTGATGATGCCAACGGCGGCTGCTTTGGAGGCAGTGGTAGAGGGGTTGTTCGGAGACTGCGGTGTGGTACCCCATTGATCATGATCGGGCCGCATGGGGTTGGGAGTGAAAAGGGCGGTGGTAGCAGGGTTGTTCATGGCTCACTGGGCGGCGGGGTTAGGAGTGCCGAGTGCCGGGTGCCGGATCCTCGTGGAGACGAACGAAGAAGCCAGCAGCGCCCAGAGAGACCTCTCGTGGAAGAAAAGGGGGAAGGAGAGGGAGAGGGAGAGGGAGAGGGAGAGGGAGAGGAGAAGATATAGAAGGGAGAGAGGGAGTGAGGATGAAGATGAAGATGCGGGCGAAAAAAGAGGCAAAAACCGAAATAGGGAACCGGAAGGAGGAAGAGCGAAAGGCAAAATGATTAAGGCGACGCCCGCACCGCGTCCGCGTCAGCCCACGTGATCGGCAGTTGGGTACAAACGATTCCCTGATCCATCGCATGATGCCGGTCGGGTTTTGCCCCCTTGAACCCACATTCTCATCTTATATCAGTCGAGAGGAAGTAGTCTGGGTTTAAATGCTTCTATACAGAGCAATTGCACAAGATGACTTCTTAATCCCGAGTCAAAAAAAGATGGGGAAAAAAGAAGAAAAAAAGGAGAAACACCAAAATGGTTTAAGCCGACGGAGTACTTTGGTCGGTCCGCGTATCATATTACCGCATCGGGAGATCGCCTCGTGATCTGCTTCTCGAGTCCATTTTGGGAGGAAAAGAAAAAGTAAAATAATAAAAATGAAAAATAAAATGATAAGGCGAGTTTCAAATGGCATCTCCATTTCCCCAACTCACGCTCTCCCCTTCTACCTCTTCCCCCTCTTTCGCCTTCACACTTCTACTCCGGGGTACACTTCAACCTCGGCTTGTCTCACTCTCTAACCAACCACTTAGTGTCTCTCCGCACTGATCTCCATCGGAAGGGTTATCCGCCCGTTCCCGCTCGACGGATCCGTTCAGCCGACGCGCTCCTCATGCATTCATTCCACTCATCGTGTTGAGCTATGAGCTATATGAGCTATGCTGGGCTGCCCTGGATTGCTTCGGCTCCGGCGGGCTGATCCTTCTTTCGCTACCCCCCTGCTATGGATAGGCTAGTGTTTAGCTCCCGGGAAATTAATTATTGAGGTTCAGACTTCAGCCGATGATCTTCGTTAGTGCGTTGCGCGAACCCATGGCTGCCTCTCCGCCATGGGCCGTGATTTGTCAAATCCGCGTGCGGTTAAGGTGGTACATCTGGGACATGTGAACTTACCGTGAGTGCTTCGTCCATGTCATTCGCCCTGTGGGGTAATCCAGACTCTTCTGATCCCTTACGTGGAGCAACGTTCAGGTCAAAAAGGACCTCCCACCCCTCGTGCCTGTCCTCGCAAGCCAAGCATTGAAATTCTCCTCAAATCCCCTATCCCCCTTATCACTCTCCGACCAAACAATCTCTCTCTATATACTACTAGGTGACTATACGTGCAGGCGAGCAAGGATGTCATCACGAGTTCGACCCAACCTGCTGGATGTGGTTTCCTCTTTGTCCTCCGTCCCGGGGACGCGGAACCAATATGCCGTGAAGATTACACGGGACTGGTGTACCCAACAGTACGTCCGTTTGACAGCCGCATCCTTGCTCCATCACTCGACGGGCTGAGTTGACCAGAGCAGCTCTGTCCTTGGGGGGTTTTCTACTGCGATCATGCTGGCCGCCGGTCAAAGGTTCCTCGACCAGGAACTTGGCGTAGGCCGGTATCCCGACCCCGTTCATGCGTTCGTCCAATTTCTACACATGGTTCACCCTGGCCCGTCGATTATTACTTGCACACTTTTACGAGTGTCCAAGAAACAATCCGTTCTACAAGTTGAACTCGCGCGGGCCCCTAAGCCGGGAGAGGACTCCGACTCTTACCCAACTACAACTCTCGGTATCTTCACCTACGGCGATATTAGCAAAGAAAAGGGCCTCACGCAAGAAACGCGGCCGGTAATTACCCGACCACCCCCTGATCGGCTCACGGAATGCGTTACTATCGATGACCCCGTCGTCAGTTCCACCCCTGTGACCGCGAAGATGAACTGGGTCGCCCCACGATCTCCACAGGGACTCTGGGGCCACCGCCTCGGCGGCCACAACCGCGAGGTCTGGCTGTCCTTCCGCGACGGCTCCAAACTATCTGACGTGTTACATCTGGCGTATCTTTCCGACTTGGTAAGTTGCGGTTCATCCCAACATTCTTCTAGTTGTTGCTAATACGCCGCGTGCAATAAGCCCCTGCAGCCACCAGCAACTCATATTCCGGACTTCTACGCTAAATATGCGATCTCCACCCTGTGTCTGTCGATCGAGTTCAAAAGGCGGCCCGACCCGTCCACTGACTGGATCATGGTCCGCTCCAACTCCAACAAGGTTTCCAATGGCCGGTATGATGCTGCATTGCAACTATTAGATGAGAGGGGGAATCTTCTCGCCTTGAGCAACCACGTTGTATTTACCTCAGACTTGAAGCCGAGGCCGGCTCGGCTGTGAGTGGGGCTGTGGATCTTTTAGTATTTGAGCTTAGCGTTAGTCATTTGTCACTGCAGTATGCGATGATATAATTAAAAGCGAGGTGTTTAATTAAGAACATTAATCTGTAGTTACAAGTATGCATTAGCAGCACAATGGATTAGTTCCCGCCTTGATTCTTCGTGGGCAGGGCAGGGCACTCTGGATGGAAGCAATCATGCCATCAGCGAATGTACTCGAGAGGTAGGCACCTTTATTAGGTATGATTCAGTCATACTAACTAGTTGTGGAGCTTCACCTCACGACTAAATATAACCCATAGACTGGATTTCTGTAAAAACGCAAGTTCTGCTCCGGTACGAGGACATGATCGTGATGCTTAGTGGTTAGTAGTGGACCACATTCTCCAATCACCACTGCAATTATATATTACTAGTAGCAGTAGTATTACTACTAGTAGTAGTAGTACCAAAGGTTAAGATATACTTTCATGATACTACGAAATCAGTGCTTTGTCTTCCAACCTTCGAGTTGAAATATATAACAAAATAGTATACTATTGAAACCTCCGTTGAGTGAAGAAGCGACCGAGCGTAATAAACATCAATATCATTCGCGCGCATTAAAAGAACTGAAGATAGGCCAGGTATGATGGTAACTACAGGGAGAGTAAAGTTTAGGATACGATATGGATAGTAGAAGAGTACAGGGAACGCCTTTCCAGTAAAGAAAAAAAACCTAGAACCGAAACCAAGGAAAGCTAGATGGATTATGCATGGAGAATCAGATCGACTTCTTCCAGAAACGAGAGATAAAGCAGCATTGTTTTGATCTCGGTTCTCATGCAACTTCACTCCATGGATCGTCCATCTCGTAGGCTGAGCTACTACTATGGGCGAACCCGCCTATACTGGATATGCCGAGAGTAATATCATTGTTACTCTTTCTGTTGCTGAAGACGCTTGATGTTGATGGAGTAGTATTCGTACCGTTCACGGGCGTATCCTCGGATCCCGGCAAGCGACTTTGCTCACGTTCGCGTTTAAGAGTTGAGCTAATTCCATTGCCCACGCTGAAGCTAGGATAAGAAGGGAAGCTTGATGTGGAGACATAGAAGTCTTCAGTTTTCCCCGTTTTAAGTGCCGGAGGCGAAGGAGGCATTTCAATGATCTCGATATCGCTTTCGTCGGAAGCAGGACCTGCCATTGTTGAGATTTGCGCAGACCTGGACTCCGCTTTGAGTGGAGGCTTCATATCGGTCTTGTCATCATCGAGCATGTCATCTTCTAGAGAGATTGCATCCATAATAGACTGTCCGGCTTTGCTTGAACCGGCTCCGCTTCGGGTTGGTGTTATCAAGTTGGCGGGTGTTCTGGAAGCGGGTCTCCTTCGAGATGAGGAAGAGGAGACAGGCTTCTGGATTCCGTTGCGGCCCATACGGGGTGTTCGTGGAGCAGGAGAGGCAATACTGCCGGTAGTGGATTTTCGGGCCTTCGCAACGGGAGGATCAGTGATCCCCCGTTCTATGGCTTCCTGTCGGAGTTGGTCGGCGAATGAGTGGACTTTCCGGAAGCGGTTTTGAATTGCGTCGTACGTTGCTCCCTGTCCGAAGTAGGTAGCTATGGCATTGTAGTCGAGCTTGCTGGAACGTTAGTGGGATACAGCCATGGGGAATGAAACTGCCGTACCTTTAGACTCGGATGGGCTACGACGAGCGCCGCACAGAGACGGTCGGCTGACTCGGGTTGTTTCCAATTGACCATTGTGCTGTGCTTTCAGTATTTTGCAACGGATGTCAATTGCAAATGTTCAGAGATGAGCAAGTGCGAGATGATTAGGTTAGATCCTGTTGTGCGAAGTAAAAGAAATCTTAGTAAATTGATGCCAGAGACGGTGTGGAGGTAACACACATATCGAGTCTCCAGATGTTCAGTGAATGTCAAGGCATGATGGCTAGCCAGTCTTGGGACCACAGCTATGACCGCCAGTCAAACAGACGGCCGGGCGACAGGTCAGAATGTTGGTCTGGGGACTACCCAGACACTGAGATTTAGTGACATGACTTTTATTGAGCTGACAGGCTAAACCCCGCAGACTCAAGAGAAGGGGAAGTACCTCTCTCTCATTTTCTGTGGAAGACTGTGTACTGCTCCACTGAATCTGTGGGAAAGGAAGAGAGTGTGCTGGGTCCAGCCGAGAAGGTACCTGTCCACTGCCCACAGAGTTGATGTGTAGCTTCCACCAGCGGGGAAGAAAGGCCGACTGGCTGCACAGAATCCCCACAACAGCACCAGATCCGATCAGTCATTTGGAACAGTAGATAGAACAGATTCTACTCTGAAACAAGTCTGCATCCGATCCACGGCCGAGTTCGGGGAAGTATTGTTGCAGCATCCGCTGCAGCCAGAGGGAAAAAAAGCCAAGTGGATAAGATAAGCACATGCAGGAACATCCACCCTGATGACAGGGATAGTCTGTCGAGACTAAGACGGGATCTGCATCACCGATTCCAGCATATCTACAAAATACCCAGTGAAATAAAGTGCGCAGAATACACTTGATAGAAACTGACCACAACCGGTGCTGAAGAAAACCAGAGGTATCTCTACAGTAGACAGCAAGTAATACAATATTAATAAAATAACTGGTCAACGTCGCTTGAATATCGCTAGTCACTGTGTGAACCACAGCTATTCACTATAGAATAGTGAACACAGGAGGAAATGTAATTTCACATACCCTGAGCTGCTTTCCACTCCTTCCATTTCTTGTAGTCTGTTTTTGTCTCTTGTCAAGTTCTTCTTTTCCTCTTGACTTTTCTCTTCCTTACATACTTGCTCTGCTTTTGTGATTAAGTCTCTACTACAAACTCTTCTCTATTCTACTTCTTCAAAAAATATCGCAGCTTCTCTATACATACATAGAAAACCTTATCTGCACGAGGAAGAACCAACCATGAAGTGGACTCCTGAGAAAGATCAGCTTGTAAGTTTACTCCTCTTTCCCCTCTTCCTATCCAACACACAACCTACACCATCTACACTATTTCCACTACCCACTTTATCTACCTACTTTACTTACTCTACCCACTCTAACCCCCCCACACCATATCGCACCATCCTCCCCACCAACAAACAAACAACTCACCCACGCATCCAGCTCCTCCTCAAAATCCTCGAAACCCACTCCCTCTCCGTCGACGCCAAACGCGTGGCCGAAGCATGGCGTAAGTCTATTCCCCCCACCTCCTTTTCCACTACTTATCCCAATCCAACCAACCAAACCCAAACTAACCACCACAAACCAGCTAAATCCCTCGGTCCAGACATGCCCACCCCCCGCGCCATCTCCGAGCGGCTCGTTCGCATGCGAAACACCGCTCGCGAGTCCAGCGGCATTGAGGGGCACTTTTCCATCGGAAAGGGGCTCAAGACCGGAAGTCCAATGACCAAGTCTACTGCTAGTGCCGCTTCCAGCCCTGCTTCTGTCTCTACTCCTCACAAGTTGCGCGTCAGTAATGCCAGAAAAGGGTCGGCTTTGAAGCGGAAGCGCGACGATGATGATGATGACGATGAGGATGGAGATGTGGGGGAGTATACGCCTACCCCTGCTAAGATGAAGGTGGAAGGAGATAGTGATACTGAAATTGAGAATGGGATGGACACCCCTACCAAGCCCATGAAGGGGAAGGGAGTGAGCGCGAGGCCCTCTGCTCAGTTGAAGAAGGAGGTGGTTGACTTGGAGAGCGAGGCAGAGGTTGCTCCCGTGAAGCGTGTTCGTAAGGCCAGTGCGCTTGCGCCTGGAATGGTGGAGTGGAAGGACGAGGATGATGAAGGAGATGGGGAGAGCTCGGCCAGCGAGTATGTGCCTGAGGTGGAGGCTAAAGGAGAGGGAGTTTATAGTGCTGAGGAGTTTGATGATGGCGATTTGTACGATGCTTAGGTTTGCAGGGTCAGTTTATGGAGGTTGTTGAGAACTTAAAGATCTGGTGAATGATCTGGACGGTGGATTATGAAGTTATGATGATTCTGCTTTTCATACCATGTACTTTAATTACTCCAATACGAGTCAAATCTGCGAATGAAGATGCCTAGCTCAATTTCAATAGCTCGGATACCACTTATTCTAAGGTACAAACATCACCCAACCCAACGCCCTCTCCATCCCAAGTCATCATCCAGCAAACGAAAAGAACACAAATAACCACCATCCATCAAACGAGCCAATTACATAACCATCAACTTCCCCAAATCACCCAATCCATTCCCTCAATCACAAGCCATCTTGAAAACAAGAAAGCCACAAAGAAGCGAGAAGACCAACACCACCATCAAGCATCATCCTCCTCCTCACCCTTAACAACCGGACTCTCCTGCACCTCCTCACCACCAGCTCCATCTCCCTCACCAACACCGCCCTCCTCAGCCCCAGGAGTCTCGGGAAGCACCTCCTCCTCCTCATCGCTAACCTCCTCATTCTTAACAACCGCAGCAGTAGCAGTAGCAGTAGCAGTACCATCAGCCTTCTTAGCCCGCTTAGCCTTTGGCTTCTTAGCAGACGAGACAGTAGTAGAAGTACTAGCTTCACCACCCCCAACAACGGGGTTCTTGCGGGGTCGACCACGCTTTCTCTTCTCGGGAGTAGCGGGGGTGGGAGTAGTGGGTGTCTCGTTTCCCGGGGAAGTCATGGTAGTACTTGTAGTAGCAGTAGTGACGGGGGACGAAGCGGTACCGCCGGGAGTAGAGGTAGAAACTTTGTCCTTGAGACGCTGGATGCGGTGTTGGACGGCGGAGACGGTGCAGCCTACGGTATATGTGTTAGTATGGATGGATGGGTGGTTTTGGGGAAGAGGGGGAAAGATATACCGGGACCCATGAAGTTGGCCAAGGCGTGCATATCAATTTTCACGTTCGTGGTGGTTAAGATGCCGACTAAAAGCTGTGTCAGGATGTGTTAGTTCTGTGGTGGGTTGGGTTTGGGGAAGAGAGAGAGGAGGGTGGACGTACTTTCGCATCATTTGTTTCGTTCCAAGTCATGGGCATTTTGGCGGTTTGGGCTTGGTAGTCTTTGGGTTTGTTGTATTGTGGGGAGAAGGTAGATGGAGAGAGGAGGATTGTGGTTGAGGTAGAGTAGGAACGGGTGGGAAGGGGGTTGAAGTAAGTTGGAGAGAGAGATTGTGGTTGAGGAGGCGAGGAAGGGAAAAGTAAGAAAAGATGAACAAGGGGATGGAGAGAGCTGAGGGAGTGTTCTACTTCAGAAGGGTTGTGGGTTGAGGTGGGGGTAAGGGAATTTGATTTTGATAGTTACATTCACTTGGAGTATCGCCAGTGTTAGGACTCAGATTTTACTCTTAAGTGTGGAGATGGATTTAAATTGAGGTTTGTGGGAGGTTTGGGTTGCAATGCAATTATTTGATTGTGACTGGCTTGGATATCATTATATGGACACTGGTTGAGCCATGGCGCGGTGGTATCATCAAACATGACAAGAAATGAAATGAGAAAGGCAAGGAAGATAAAAAAATCTCAGCGTGCCTTCTCGAATATAAACTTGTTGTACTCCGCCGGATGATAGGATGAGAAATAGTCGTTATATCGCAGCTCCTCCCGGCTCTTCTGAGCTGTTTTCAAGTCGTCGAATTGTCGGAAAAGTCGACCGAGAGTCACGTACAGCTCGCAGTATGCAAGCCTACAGATGTCAGTACAGTTCAATCTCACATGTGAGGTGACCTACGGCATTCCAATACATTGCCTAGACCCCTTGCCGAAAGAGAACAAGTACTTCTCAAGAGACTTGCCAATTACCGGGTCAGTCCATCGGCTTGGGTCGAACGTTCCCGATTGTGGGAATAGATCTTCATTATGATGCATGGTCCACGAGCTCATGCTAACAACAGTCTAAATATATGTTAGCGGATTGACAATAGTAGTATCATGGTCGATGCACACCCCAGGAGGAACATGATAGCCATTGAACTCAGCGCCGACGTCAGGGACGACTCGTGGTAGTCTACCAGGGACTCCACAGGATAGCCTAAATTGAGTGAGCGAATGTCTTTCCCGGTTCATCAGGTATCATATCACCTTAGAGCCTCCTTGATAACAGCGGTCTTCCAACGTTAGCTATGGTTATATCAATGGGAGTATCTGACGCATACCAAGTAGGGCAATCTTTCCAAAGCCACAAAGTCTATTTGCCCTTCCGGATCAGGAAACGCCTGCTTCAGCTCCTCCGTTAAGCGGTTGTAAATTTCTGCATTCCGAACCACGTTGTAGGCAGCAATGGTCAGCGCATTTCCAGTTGTGTCTGCAGCCGCAGCCAGCATGATATAGGCTTCGTCTTCCAGCTCGTCCACCGTGGGCACCACATGACCCTCAGTAGCCTCTGGGTGAAGAAGCTGGTGAAATATAGTTGTTCGGCTTCCTTTGTCGCCCCGATCAACAGCGTCCTTCACCTTCAATATTTGGCGACGAGAACCCTAGGAGATGTCAGCCCTGGTAGGTAGATCGAAGACATACGACCAACCTCACGATGCAACATCATCCTCGTCAACGGCTCACTAGTCAACTTGGCCAACCAGAACGGTGTGCTAAGTGAAAGCCCCTGTATAGCCGGGAATTGCTGAAAGAACCAAAATGCTGGACCAAAACCTCGGATCATGTCAAAGAACTCGGCCCCAAAGTTCTTCTTACCGAGAAAGCCGTAACAATTGCCAAAGGCGTAGTCACTGATGACATCCACAGAGATAGCTCGAAAGGCATGATGCAGGTCAATACAGCCGGTCGAGCTAAAAGACTCCCTCATGCGCCTGACCAGCTTGTCTGCCTTCTCCTGCACAATATCCTCCAGCTCAAGCACCTTTTTGCGCGAAAAGAAGGGGTTCAAGGCCGATCGCTTGACTCGATGTACGTCGGGGCTTGGTGCCGTAAAGGTCGCCTTGTGGGTGCCGAATGCGCCATAGAACTGAGGGTCCTTGCCATATCGTGATCCTATGTAGTAGATCTTCTCGCAGTTTTCAGGGTCGCTGAGGTGGATCTCGTCAGGTGTGATGCGGACAACGGGGCCTAAGCTGCTTAATCAACTGCTGTGCACAGGAGAAAATCAATCGTATCACACGGTACAATGAGCATACCATATTGCTCATGCAGCTTTTGAACCTGAAGATAGAAGGATCCACCTTGCATATTATACCAAAAGGCATACAGGTGCGTGGCCCGAGCAAGAAGTGGGCCCGGTAGATGGGCCAGGGGGTGGAAGAACAGCCGGTACACGATCGTCCAGATGCATCGTAGGATGAGCACGATGGACAGGACGGACATCGAGAGTAATAATACATGGATTGAAACCATGGTGGACAGGTGGCCTGGATCAAGCCTCATGTAGGACCCTGGAGGGAGAAAGGTGAACACCCCTGTCAGAGAGATCTTCCACTGCTTTAAATGGGGGTTATCGGGTGACCAGAAACCCTACTACCCCATCGATGCCACGCGAGTCTTACCAAGCCTGAATAATGATGGCAATCATCAGAGGGTCCTGCCTCATGGGGATTTGAACGAGCAGACCCCGCAAGGGGGCTAGCCTGGATGGGAATGGGTGAGCCGTCAGTTGGGATAGAAAGATGAGCAAGACGGACTACTAAGAAGATGGCATTAAGTCATGCGCTGTTCAGGCCTCGGTAACAAACTTCTCTGTGGCAGGTCCAAACATCTTGACTCGCCTCGGAAGCCCATCCGGTGCGAGAAATGGGCTCTTTCCAGCATACGTTCGGCATACATGAGGTAGGGACAACAGGTCATACTAGCCCTTCAGTTGCCTTCTGCAGTGCAGCCAGCAAAAAGCAATGGACCCAGTGGTCTGGTCCCAATTCCCGGCTGCAGAATTGCAGAATGTCCCGGAAAAGGGTTAATCTAGGCTCTTGGCGAGGATTGACATTCTTCAGACCTGTCATCCGCTGAGCAAGCCCAAGGCCCCATCTCGAATCATCTGTCGATTAATTTTAAACGGCCGTTACTGCTAACGGCTGGCTTTTAGTCAAATTAGCGGCCTATGCGACCAGTATCTGTGGTCCAAATGGCCGGGGTCTGACCCACGGCGAGCGATGACAAGGACAGCAGAGACATGGGAACGAAAGACGCGAATAGTAAAAGAGGCATTGAGCACAATAGGAAGACAATAGTACAATAAAAACCGGCCGGGCGGGTCGGAGGTCAATCCGCGTCCCATCATCTCCAAAAGTCCCCAATAGACGTGCCATGACTGGTCAATGGGTCTAGTTCCGGGTGGAGCTCGACTTTGGTTCTGCGAGTGTGCGGCCTTCAGGAAGAAGATCGTCGTCTGACCACCCCCAGGAAGTCAATGTCTCTGCGGTGTATGCTTGCAGGTTTGCAGAGAAAAAGAGGACCGGTGGATGGGATGCACAAGGCGGCCAGGCAGACTGTGAGAGAAACAAGGAAGGCCACCTAACTAAAACTGCTCTACTCGGGGAAATGGTATCGTCACCATCATCATCACCATCAGACGATGGTGAGCAAGTTCGTGCAACCAAGGGACTGTCCGATACCGTGCAGAACCATAAATCATAATTGGGGTTGAACTGCAATCATTGGATGTTCTCCAGCTACACCGGCGGCCGTCATCCCCCGGTCGCCTCCACCATCCAAGCTCCCGACAACCAATCGAAGGCGCGTGCAGCGCATACTGAGCAGGACACTAACTCATAAGTCCACATTAAACCCAAGCATTCCCGGCCGCCCCGACCTTTCATGACGGGGGACGTCGAGCCCCGATTCGCACACCTCTGCCAGACTAGTCCTGCCTGCTTGCAGTAGTCTCCTGCGCACTGCATTTCCTCGGTTCTTATTCCAGTCAGCCGTGCCGCAGTGCATTTCGTCCCCAAACTCTAATAGGCACTTGTAGGCTTTTGTCCATACACCCCAACCCTGTTATACCCCAAAGGGAAACAGTCCTAAGTTAGCTTCGTGCTCGTCCAGTCCAGAAGGTTAAACACGATAGTGTCTTACACGTTGAAGTATGCGTGAGTATTCGGATCACGGAGGCCTTTTCGCATCTGGGCCAAGAAGACCTGCACTTCGGCATAGCTCCACTAAAACCAGTAAGGATTATCCTGTCAGCCTGTGTCCGATTGGCTGCTGTCAAGGGTGGTGCGCAACGCAAATACGAGGTATGACACTCTCAGACACACACCACAGAAGAAAGCATGCTCAAATGCTTCATCATCGAACTGCAAATGGAGGGTGGACTTACTCCCATGACTCGGGTCAGCAGTGCCATGGCCCATCCTTCAATTCCCTGCTCACAATGAACCAAGTTCCACATGCCTAGTTTCTTCAGCTTCTTGTCTCGACTCCACTGACCGACAGGCAACTTCATGCGGTGTTCCGTCACGTTGTGAAATCCAGCCTGCTGCATATAGCCCTTAGCAAGATCGGCAATGCGAAAGGTCTTGCCGAACTTCTCGCCCGCCTCAATGAAGGTCTTCGACCAGACAGCTAGAACATGGTCGTCTGTCACCGTGCCATCATCCGATCGAAATTGTATGGACATCTCGAGCTGGTCAAACCAGCCCCCCGGCCGCAAGCGACTGGAAAAATGGTTAGGGTTGAAACGTGCAACAGGAGATTTTGTTGAGGCACTCACCTAAGAACATTCTGATAGAATGCGGGCCAGTCCGCGATGGCACCATACAGTGCACGAACGTGGATCAGATCGAAATGGTTCTCTGGATAGACCCAGTCTTCCGAGGCGTCGTCGATCTCGAACTGTAGATTGGGTGGAACAAAACCGGGCTGTATGGGTGACAAATCGGTGCCAATGACTTGTGCTGAAGGATATTCATCTGCGAAATCACTGTTCATGGGATGATCAGATATGCTCAAATTGGCCCATCTTACAAGTGCTTCTACTCACATGGCCCAAATCCCAGTGCCAGTGCCAACATCCAGCGCTCTCTGTCAGGTCAGGACCTCAGCGTTGGCTAAAAGTGTAATTGCCGTAGTTGAGCTACATGATACACACCTGTATGTTGTCGCTGATCGGCGCCAGTAGCAGTTTCCCATCGAGAAGCAATGTAAACATATGGTGACTGATACCAGCATTAGCCTGCGCATCAAGGGTGATTCTATGGAACATACGCAATATCTAATTGCTCATTTTGCATTTCGTCATTAGGACCCCTGCGACTTTGTCAGGATAGTGCGCACGCCGAAGCTACCAAATGATAGAGTCATACCAATAAGCCCCCTCCTTGTAGGCGTGATAGCGTCGTCCATTCTCAAATCGGTAGGAGGTGATCTCAGAGTTTAGCGACGTTGTATCGCTGGCGCTAAGCACTGTAAGCATGAGGGGTCAATGGTGAGGGCGATTGTTCGACTTACAAATCTTCTGCATAGTCCGAGAACTCTTCTTCAGGCTCTGCCTCGTCCTGGTGAGTCTAAGTCAGCCGACAATTGGAGGAAGCGAAGGTCGGCGATCAGTGGTAAGCAGCGTACTGAGTCTGAAGATTCACCATCATGATGCCCTGCGACGGGCGCAGCGCTCTGGGATACGTTTTGTGGAGCCGAAGCCAAAGATGAGGTGGGTTGTGGGGGGTCATTAGCGGCAGCCCCTTGAGAATCGGGGATGGAAAAGGATTCCGCCATGGGGTCCAATTTTCGGGAAGCTCGTAGCGAAGTCGAGAAATAACAGCTGGGAAAGGAGACAGCCTCTAGGGTCAATATGGGGCAAGCTCCAGCAAATTGGTTTGTGTGTATCGAGAGAGATGGATGACGTTCGATCGGGGTCGATTTTCTGATTCCTTCGCTGTCAGGGTTGTTCCTTTTAAAGAGAGGGGGCTTCCCGCTTCCCGATTCGTGGCGAGCTGCAACTAGCTGAGGTGGTACTATTAGATTGGACTACCACTTCAGGTGCTAGGCTGCCTTCTTCGAATCCCCCTTGGAGATAGTCGTCACAATAGTAGCTCAGGACTATTTTCTCCCTAGCAAACAAAGATGATCGTTTTTCGCCACTCGTATCTTGTCAGCGGAAATCAGATGCAGATAAGATGCAGATGGATCGGACGACTGAGTTTCCAGCCTTGACACGATTTGACATCTATCCAATCCACGCGTGGGTGGAGACTCAAAAGTGGGCTGATCGAAGAACTTTTTGCCGCTTACTTGTGTAGTTCCAAATGCACACGATTCAGAAAATTCTCTGTACTTCCGGAAGTCCTCGGCGATGCATGAACAACGATGTAAAAGGATCTCTCTTTCTCTTGGCTCACGGGTCAGCCCCCACTTAAAGTAGGTGGATCGGCAACGTGTAAGCGTCTAGAAAGTACTCCCTGCAACGTCTTGTTCATAAATTCACTCATGCTCAAGATACCCTGTATAAATATTATCTTCTGGAAGTGTCCAAACATCTGGAGGACGTTGTTTCTTACCGGACAACACGGATACCAAGCACCTGCCGGCAGTACAGCCATCTATTTGCTATATCATATATTCCCAAGATGCTTCTGGTTCTACTTTTGTACTGAATAAGGAAGGTATATGATACAAAATCAAGTTTAAAGTGCGGTGCGAAAGCTTTTCTGGCACGGGTATGGCCCGTGCATGCAGCCTACTTAGTACTTTATATGCCAGTAACAACTAAATTGAGACTGCAGTACTAGGCCAAATATCCGGTGGAAGCGCCCAGGTAATTTATCTCAGGTCAGAGCACTTGATTCTGATCATTGAAAAAGCAAGAATGCACAGCTGGCCATGATTCGAGAAATTCAGTCGTACAGAGTGGTTTGTCAACATGTGCAAACTGAAATACATAAACTGCAATGTTTTGTGCTTAAGCTCGTAAATCTTATCTGTTCATTCCATGACACTTCTTCTCCCGTTCCTTATTGTTCGCCCATGCTGTGACCATCTGAGATCGCTTCGATCGCTCTTTGCAGCAGAGATAGATGTTCCTGAAGAGTTCCAAAACAAAGAGAGGGGGTTATCAGATGAATGGGGTTTCTCTTAGATGATATCTAGGATTGTGGACTGCCATGACTATCAATGCCATACCAGATACTCATCATAACGACGATAGGTACTCTTGGCCATGATGAGCTGGTCCGCATCCTCTGTCTATCCAAGGCTTGGCCGAGTATTTCTACCAAAGCAATGGGAAGGCAAACAATTCGGATCCAAGGACGATTGATGTATACCTCTTCCAGTGTCTGCATAGTGTTGAGGAGAGTTGCTATCCAGGTAGGATGGTGCTGTTCATTGAGAATTCCCGCAACGGCACCGTGCATATGATGGATCCTGTTTTCTTTTGCAGTGGGAAGCCTCACCCCTGTCGAGTTTTCCTCCCCCGCCTTCTCTCACCCCCTGGAATACTACGATGCCAGTGTTACGAAAAAACTTGCGCATACTTGCGTCTATTCTCATTGTTTTCTTACACACTTATTGAAAACCAGCCAGTGACACAAATATGCGACCTCGAATGCGTTTCGACGATGTGGCCTGGGAACAAGCCGAGGAAGTATCAGACAATTGGCTGCTTCAATTCCTCGACCATGACGTCCTAGTGCCGATCGGATATTTCATGCTCGATCAGAATGGATGCAAGGGGAACAATTTCAACGTACTCGAGAAAGGCTCTTATAACATTTCGTTGCGATTGAAGAACGAACATGAATCTACCATTATTCGCCTGTCGCAGCCCGGCGCTGTCTTTTTCCCAGAGGAGAAAGTCATGAATGAGGTTGCTACCATGCGATTTCTCGCGGACAAGACATCAATACCTATACCGTTTATCCATCTCTCGGGAACAAAGAAACAGAGTCCACTCGAGTTGAGTCCATTTATCATCATGGATTATATCGAACATGAGACAAATATGTACCACGCTCTCAATACCCCGGGACGCCCGAAAGAAGAACGCGGGGTCCTAGATCCGGCTATCGACGATGACAGGCTTGGGATGCTCTATGGGGAAATCGCGGACATTTTACTTCAGCTTTCCGTTCCCTCTCTTCCTCAAATAGGCTCTCTCAGCCAGATCGATGACTTTACCTGGGACGTAACACGACGGCCTCTATCCATGAACATGAACGAACTCGTCCGAGTAGGAAGCCTGCCCCAATCAAAACTTCCAAGTATACACACTACATACACCACAACTTCGTCGTATCTCGAAGCTCTCGCAGATCTCAATATCGAGCATCTCATCCAACAAAGAAACGATTCCGTGGACTCTGCAGACGATTGCCGACGAAGATTTGTGGCGAGGCAGCTTTTTCGTAAACTTGCCAGGGACAAGCGACTCAGCAATCCTGCGCTTGACAAGGGGCCATTTAGATTATGGTGTGATGATTTACGCCCAGCTAACGTGCTTCTGCATGGTGATTTTAAACTTGCCGGCGTGGTCGATTGGGAGTTCACATACGCTGCACCCGCCGAGTTTTCCTATGCGCCTCCTTGGTGGTTACTCATTGAGAAGCCCGAGTACTGGTCAGAGGGTCTCGAGGACTGGACCGAAAAGTTCGACTTCCGGATGGAGACGTTCCTTAAGGTGATGAAGGAACATGAAGACATTGCGATACAAAAGGGTCAATTGAACGAGAATCAACGGCTGTCGAACCACATGCGTGAGAGTTGGGAAAGTGGGGATTTCTGGGTTATGTATGCAGTAACGCATAGTTTTGCCTTTGATGCGATTTACTGGCAAAAGATAGACCCACGCTTTTTTGGACCTACAGCGGACCACGAGGAAGCATGGAGAGAGAGACTTGATCTGCTAGATGAACAGGAAAAAGATAAGATGGAAGAATTAGTCTCTCGGAAGTTGGAAGAAATGGAGAGTAGGGTTTTGGCTTGGGACCCGGATGAATATACGATGGCCTTTCACCAGCAATTGAAGAGGCGGAAAGAGAAGGAAGATGGACGAAAAAATGAAGGCGACTAAAGTACAGAGATGCGATGTTAGGTAGTTACTATATAGAACCCACGCGAGGGTGAGTGCGAGTGGTTGCCGATTGTAGCCATCAATTGCATTTGGTCAAACAACAATATGCCACACATCATAATTAGCATGACTCGGTCTCGCGCTAGCAGGAACATCCCCGCTGTAACTCCGTAGAACGAACCATTATTGAGAGATTACGGTCTAGACTGTGAACCATCATCTGTGGCTCTATCGTCTCACATAGATTCTGCGCTCCCGTCGTCAATCACCGGTACTGGTCATATCAGTAGACACCGTGCTTCTGAATCTTGCGAGGATGAAGCCACCAACACAGCTATGCCTGGAGTTAATTGACTCGTCAACGCATCTGTGACTTGACGAGGGCGTAAATGCGTTGTGCGCGGGATGTGGGGAAGAAGGAGAAGAAAGGAGGGGGGGGGTTTATACTCTACAGAATCGTGCCTCAGGACCATACAACTCGTCACGAGATGCAAAGGCACTCCAGCAGGAATGATGGTCTAATCAGCACAGGATCCAATACTAGAGTCTATGCGAAGCGAAGCGAAACGGCTAAATATGTTTGCGATGAACAGTAAGCTACCACTCCATGGCCTTGAGAAGGGTTAATTAGATCAGTCGTTGTGTCCGTGCATGATGGCCGTAGTAGTGGCTGTGCGATATACTTATATTCCACTGCACTCTATTACACTTGCCACCTCACAAATTGGCAAGGTGGTTTGGAGAAGGTTACCCGGAGGGGGTGCAGCTGCTGACGTTGACGATTGCCAACAAGGCTGATTATATCCCCGCTTCACGGACGGGCATGGAATCGTCATGGTGGGATGGGACAGGGATGTGGCAAACAAACTAGATGCACGATGCGGTACTCGACAATGTGTGAGGACGGGAAGTCGAACGGAGCCGGACATGCAACTCTTCGGCATCCTGCATATGGATATCCGCGTCTCTGCTGGTCTTATGATTCTGATGTTGGTATAGTACTGGTTGTTGATCATCTACGATAGCCTCGGACGCAAGCAGTCCGAGTTGCCTGTCATTGACAGAATCAGATAAATAGGTAACATGGTAGGAGACTACGTAGATCATAAACATATCTCACTTCCTATGGCTGACAGGAATGGAAGAACCGTGGTTGAGGGAGCGGAAGGACGGGCCCGCTCGTTGGCCCGAACCTTGTTCTTGTTCTTGATCTTACGGGAATGCCGCATGTAACATCAGCTTACTGGAGGCGTAGGAAATGCGCATGAATTATATGTTGACGAATGGGTGATTATGTCAATAAAAAGAGTTGAAGAAAGCCATAGTAGCTTATGGAATAATACCTTTCATCTGTCCTCGTTACATTGTGTTCTGAGCTGGGTCAGCATCAGACGCCAGTGCTTCAAGAAAGCTGAGATGGCTGTCACTTGCTTTCAGAAAGAGCTCGGGAATAATAGTGGGGAACAATACCTTGGGTGTATGTTTTGTTGTTATGAGGACAATAGTCATCACTAATGAGAAGGTAAGGGTCTTGGTAGCAGGTCTTACAGGGGAATCTTTATCAAGTAACTAATCTAATCCATCCATTTAACCATGGTCCGCTGTTCCAAGGCTTCCCATTGATGAATCTTTTGTGTTAGGAAGGAGCGACCGGGGGAGACAGAACCCGAATACGACTGGGGTACCTTGGTTTAGAAGTCAGAGCCGAAGAGAAAGAAGACACTTCGACCACAATCATCATTAATGTCTCACTCTGTCCAGATGCGTTAGCTCGCAGCCAGATATGCGGCTGAGTTATAAGCTAACTAGTAGTTAAGCTGCCCGCGGGACAAACGTAAGCCAACAGAGACCAGAACCAGTGGTTTTGGCCTGGTCGCTTGCATGCGATATTCATAGCATCTGTTACAGATCGAGATCGCACCCGATGCTGGGCACCAAGCAAAGCGGGCATTCCGATGCAAGGAAAGGCCAGACAAACAATAAGACCACGAAACTGCAAGAGGGGTAATGTGTTCATCCGCTGGGAGACATTTCGCCCCATCAACAGCGTGCCAAGAGGAGGATTCGCCAGGTCAAACAGTCTCCATAGCGGGGTTTTCCTGGGATAAGCCACACCACAGGTTTTGGATCCGCGGAATGCAAAGCGCTGCCAGCCAACGGTCTCCCAAACTCTCCATAAGTTTCTTTATTTGCCTGAGGCACTCAGCCCTGTCAGGGGCATTTCCAACGTCTTGGCCAGCAAGACAAGAAGTTTGAAACACAGCCACTCCGCCCGGAATCGCTCAGTCCAGAAATCCAGTGTTGTCAATCAGCCTTATGTCATTCTTTCGGCTCTGATTCACTTGCCAAGGGATTATCCCGTGGGGCGTCGTTGCGCCCAGTGACCGTCAGCCCAACAGAGCCTTGGACGACGCATCTGCGACCAGCCGGATCCAGCACCAGCCGCAAATGCTCATCAATGACAAGCATGTCGCCATTCCATTTTCAACGCACAGCGGGGGGCATGACATGCACCAAGCGCCATACCAAGACTGCTGCCTAGGACAATAGGGAATCGGACGACTAGCAATGGAGATGGAGCCCTGTCTGTGGCTGAGATGAAGGGGGAAGGACCCTTTCAGGGTCCACCGCTGACCTGTCTGCCAAGAAGCCTCGTTGAGCACGCGGAGTGGGGGGAATACTGGCCCCAGAGACCACCATGAAACAATAATTGTCGATTCTATGGAGCAACAAGCCACAATAGTGGAGATTTTGGCGCCTTTCTGGGGCTAGCAACGTTGAACTGTCAAATCACCGTTCATGGTGCTTCACTCCATACTGGGGTTGTTGCATAGCATTCCCCTATCCCAGGAAGCCCCCACCAAAATAGCCTACCTACTTACCAGGTTGTCGACAATCAATCAATTGAGTGCTCAAGCCACTGGCAAATGACCAGAGGCCAAGTGTATGATATCCATGCACAGCATCTCTTGGTGACTGCGATGAGCCGACTCCACTGATGCTCGACGAAGTATAAAAACCCCCTCCATCCCAAGTCCAATCTTCTTCTCCTCCATCAACAAAACAAACCACAACCACAAAGCAATCAATCTCATCACACATTCATCTTCCGTCTATTCCCTCATAACCTCTTTCACAACTCCATCACAATGAGCTTCTACCGTACCGCCGATAACATCCGCGTCGAAGACGACCACTGGCTGGTCGCTAACGTCGCCAACGAAGAGGGAGAGATGGTGGAATCTAGATTCGATCTCAACTCTTGCATTGGAAACGACGAGGGTATGTGATATGCTACCAAGCTACCAGAGCTTAGCCATCTTCTACTTTGGTTATAAATTAAGCTAACCATCTACACCCAACAGGTCGCTTCCTGTGGGGCGGCAACGACTTCGCTGGCAGCGCCGGAGAGATCAGCTTCGCCATCGAGGGCGAGGACAATGTTCCCGTTTTGAGAGCTAAGCTCTCCAACTCCGAGGGCGAGCAGTTTGACGCTGATGTCAATCTGGCCGAGCACATCACCAACGACAACGGTGAGCTGAAGTACCAGGAGGAGTCCCTGTTGTAAGGGCGGATTGTATCATTGAGTGTATCATGGCAGACAGGTATCATGTCTTGATAATTTTATGTGGAACTATATGAAATACCATTACCTCTGAACAAGCAGCATGCTTCTATCCCATGATAGAGTTTTTGTTTCTACCGCTTGCTTCAGTTGAACTTTCGTCTAATATTGTTAAGATTGCCCGCATAAGATACAAAGTAGATGTAACTTTGGTAAAAATTGCAAAGCAGCCCACTCGTAGTCCCATTGCCCACCCTATAGAAGAAACTCCCCATCCCCTATAATCAAGCCTTTATCGATCCCGAACTCCTTGACCAAATTACCCAGTGTGTATCATGTAAAATCAAGAGAAACAAACTAGATAAAGCAAACGTAATCGCCAACAGGTCTGAAAGATAAGTTTACCACGCGTGTCTCCCATCATTGACGTCCAGATCATTCCCATTCCAGTCTTCATCGCCACTGAGCTCGTCGTCGAGGAAATCCCCCTCATTGTATTGTGTCTCGGACGGACGCTGATTGTCAATACGGACCATCACAACATCACACATGCCTTGTCTCGCATTCAGTGGTTTGTCGCTGGCCTCCCGGGATTGCTGCTTCTCTGCGTTTTCGGTTTCATCATCGCCAGTCTCAGAAAATTTCCTCAGAGCAAGACGCGCGCTCTTGCGTTTAGATGGCGTCGAAAACCCGCTATGTTGGGTGTCAGAGTGCGTATGAGTCTCCTCGGCTTGTGGGGTACGACTATGGGTTACATCTGATTGCGGAGCGGCGCGAGGGATAGATCGGAGGTTCGGGTCCGGGGGTTGACTTCGTCGCAAAAACGTCTTCTCTAGCTTTCCGATCCATTTTTCTCGAAAGGACGCACGATCTCGCCAGCCGATCTTGAGGATTGCACTGATCACAAGTCGTCGCAAACTTCGCAGTTCAGACGCCGCATCGATGAGCGTCCCAAAAAAGACCTCAGCTGTCGTATCATCCCATTTGCGTAACTGAATCAATTCAATGTCTTGCAGCGTGGATGGCCAGGTTGGAACACCGGTTGACAGGTCAAGCAGGGTTTGAAAATGGGGTTCGACGTCGTGATAGCTCGACGCATCATACATGGATATATCCATTCTGAACTTCTCGAGATTCTTGCAGGACTCTGCAAGATTCACAGCGAAGGCTAGGCTTAGATGGCGGTTATGTCTCAGATCTAAGATTTGAAGATGATGGCCATGAGAGAAGAGAAATGAGCCAAGATTCATGGCAGTGACGTTGTCACAATTGTTAATGGTGAGTGAAGTAAGTCCCATCGGCAAGTTGGGGAAGAGGTATTCGTTCACAATGGAACATTGTACAAAGTCCAAGCGGCGCAGGTCCGGGAGTTCTCGTAGTGCTGTGGCGAGAACCACTTCATTTTCGTCGGAGCCCAACTCGTCACCATCCGCATCCTCCGAAGTTAAGTGCAACAATCGAAGTTCCTGGAGTCTATGAAATGCGGGCTGCAAGTGTTTTTCTAGCATGACGGGTAGCAGCTGTCTGGTCTCCATGAAACGACTGTTCCATTCCCATGATCGTAGGTGTATTGAACTGGAGACCAGTGATGCAAAGAGAGAGTCTGGATATGTCCATCTCGACCTTGGGTTCAGCCAGGGGGAGCCGCCCAGAAAGTAATCTTCTTTATGGTAGAGACGCAGTGTTTTGACCTGAGGGGTTTGTTCAATTAGCCTCGACAACTCAAAATATCCCAGAGTCGGTCCGCTCTTGTAAAATAAAAGACTCTCAACGTCAACATGCAGTTCTTTGACCTTGCTAACATAGTTAGTGGAAAGAGAGTCTTGGGGCTTAGCCAGTAGCTGTAACAAAGCATGGGCCTTAGCTGCTGGCAGGAGGGGAGGACAATGATAGAGAGCCGCCAGCGCAGGTTCATGAAACGCATGACACATCAAAGCAATGTTCACGAGCCACTGGACGGAGCTATGTCTACTCGCGGTCTTTTCATCCATTAGTGGACTCGCTGCACAGGAGAATATATCAAAGAGTATGTGGTATGGGAGAGTTTGCCATGGTGGAATGACCCCCGAAGTAACAATCGGCGTATTATCTTCCTCAACCTTCCTACGTTTTTTGAGCGGTCGGCCAAGCTCGATACGTCTCCGACCTGTGCGCTTTTCCACGTTCTTTGTCTGGGAGCGAGTCTTCACCGTTCGGTTGCGCGGGGCTCGTGATGGCGCGGATCGACTGTTCGTCTCAGTAAACGGGTAAGTAAGATGCTCAGGAGCGTCAATCGTAGGGACTACAGCCTCCGGCTCATCATTGGTGGCATCAAAGTCATCGTCAGTGGATTCCTCACGGTAGGATTTGGGCATGCGAGCTGAGTTGCGGGGGCGCAGCGAGAGCGACAAGCGCCTCGCTCGTTCCTCGTCTGACTGGGTATCCTCGTCATCACGACCTTCGGAGCTGCTTTCTTCATGGTAGGATTGGACTTGGGTGCGACTGGAACGGATGGGACGAGACGATCTCGATGCCGGAGCCATAGCGGGACGAATGAATTTATTTAATAGTAGGCGGTGTGAGAGACCACAGGGAGTGGCAGGCGGCACAGGAGCTGTTGCTGCTAGTGCGGCTGCTACTAAGCTCCAGGTGGTGTACGGTAGGCGGAATGCAGGGGAGAGGATCGCATTTCATCTGGATGAACACCAAGGAAGATGAGGGAGAAAATGAGAAGAGCAGCTAGGGAAAGAGAAGGTGAGTTTGTGAAGACGGATTGGCTGTAGGGGAAAGAAAGAGGAGGTGAGTTACGGAGTAGTGAGTAGAAAAGGAAAGAATGATGTCGCCGTTCCAGGTCCATCGCAGCTTCCCAGTTGGGGAAGGCGGAAAGGCGGACAGGCGGGAGGCGGGAGGCATTATCGATAAGGGGGGTTCGGGGGATTCACTAGTGCTGAAGTAGACTAGCGGGGGAGACATGTGACGAGTGTGACGGCGTGACAGGACCAGGCATCAAGTTCCCCCGCCCTGAGGCCACAACGCTAGACTACAACAGGCATCGCAGCATAGGCCTGAAGTCCCGAAATAGAAACAAGTCAAGTCAGCTCCTCCCAATCGAGTTATCACCGGCTTTCTTTAAAGCGCCGCCGTCGGCCAGCCACCTTCTCCTCTTTTTCTCCTCTCCCTTCCATTTGGCGCCTGGCGACAATGCTCTGTCGGTCGAACCTTCGTCGCCGTCGTCGTGGATTGATGCTTACAATCCCGAGCGGGTATCATCTTTGCTTGTTCTGACACTTGCGAGACAAACACCCCCCCGAACTCCCCTAAACCATCGATTGTTTCCCATGCGCACTACTCGTCATTGGGCTGGTCCCTAATTTTACCCGTGCGGTTTGCGATCTGATAGGGTCTTACGACGTCGGCGCGTGCTGGAAAGAAGATCTGCCCTATCTCATCTCTCATTGAGTCAAAAGCTAAATTCATATGATACTACTTACTCCTCCACCTTCCCTCCTATCCTTCTTATTATTCTGATTATCATTATCATTATCATTACTACTTTCTGTGTTTATCATTGCACCAACATCTCTCTATTGAATATATAGAATCGCTTTCAATCCGGCGATTTTTCTCTCCTTTCTTTTTCCCTTTTCTTGTCCACATAATCACAGTGTTTGCTGTTTGCTTGCTTTCTGTCACAAGAACCATCAAGATGGAATCCTCCTTTCCCAACGTGATGAACCAATCTGTGCCGCCGGAACGGACTGAATTAGGGCCTCCACCCATGGTCATCCAACAGTACGCAAGGTATCCTCCGGCTCTGGAGCCTGGTTTACATAGCGCTTCTCCCATAGGCAGTGCTCGCACTCACATAGCTCCCTCAAAGTCTCCACCTCTGGCGCGCAAAGCTACCCCGCGCAGTCTTCAGGCATCGCCAACCGGCCCACGGCCGATAGCGCCGCCACCTCCACCTGCAATGGTGGCGCACTCAGGACCCTCGATCTCGCCTCCAATGTATGATTCTATTCGTCCACGGCCGCCACGGGAGTCGATGGACCAGACAGAAACACGATCCCTGCCATCTCGCGATCTGACTGACAGCTCCATTGATGACGCCTACATCATGTTTGTCTTCTATTGCAATCCAAATGTCCCTTTGTCCGTGGATACCTCAGAGCTCCGCAAGAACTTTCGCTGCCCACCCCGGAGTGATGGCAAGAGTTTCAGTATATTCGCATTGTGGGAGCTTATTCGGAAGCTAGATAGTAAGGAGCTAAAGACATGGATACAACTGGCGATCGAGCTGGGGGTAGAACCGCCTTCCCTGGAGAAGAAGCAGAGCACCCAAAAAGTCCAGCAATATGCTGTTCGGCTCAAGGTTTGTTGCTAATGTTATTCCGGACAGAATGTATGGCTAGAAGACTAACCAATCGCTAGCGCTGGATGCGCGCAATGCACGTTGACGCATTTTTCGAGTATTGTCTTGGTCATCCGCATCCCTATTACACCCACCTTCCGCCTGCCAATGTGATCAGCGACAGCCGTGATGGAGTACCACTGGAAGAAGATCTTGCGCTACGGGCTCTGGTTCCGCAATGGAGGCCGAAGAGGGGCCGGAAGCGAGCCGAGGAAGAAAACGAAAGACTAGCCATGGCGAAAAGGCCCCATCTCGATCCAATAATGGGCGTGCTGCAGCCAGGGCCATTCCCAGGTCCTCCAGCATCATATCCACCAGGTGCGCTGCCATTTAGCGCCTTCCCTGACGAGATGGGATCGCATGATCCGTGGATGGGCAGCGCACCTCCATTCCCACCGGAAGGGACTTCTGAGCCTTCGTCGCAGTCGAACCAGGACCTGCGGTGGCGACCTATCGAACGAGATTCGTCCCCAGGGAGTTATCCGCATTCTGCTATAGCACCCAGGAGCCAGCATGAGTCTGAAGTCTTCATTCAACCTGCAGAGCCGCGCTCAGCGGTCACAATGTCTTCTTCCGGGGAAAAGGCGCGGCCTAAACGACGCCATGGCCCCGCAGTGTCATCTGCCTGGCCTAGTAACACCGGTAGCAATGGAAAGACCAGAGGTCGGCCACCAAATCGAGGGACTGTCTCTGGACCATTCTCCTCGTTCCCAGTTAATCCAAATCGCACTGATCCGTCCCATTTACCGGGTCCAGGGCTTCGGAACTCCCCTGCCATGCTCCTCGATCAGGACCCTGCCGGTCGATTCAATCACTCCCCTTTCCAGCAGTCCCCTACGCCGTTCCATTTCGGTCCTAAGCCAGATAAATTACAGCTTCAGGTACCGCCTCATCCTGGCACACCTGTCCGTCTGGCAACCCCTCCTACCTTAATGGTCAACGGTATCAACAATGCTCCTGGGTCAACGAAATTGGAGGGACAAGGACCGCAGCGTAACGGTACTCTGGCTCCTCTAAACGACTTCATGAGCAATGTGGGCGTCACCAACCCATCTGCCTACGCGAACCGCAATAGCGTACCACATGCGGATATATCTTCCGATGATGTTGTACGTGCACTGTCAAGTGAACTTCTTCGCGGAAAGACCACCGGTCGGTCTGCTCACATTAGCACTGAAGAGGCCCGGGCTCTAGCGATGTCTGTAGTGTCCAGCTTGACCACTACATATGCCAAGCTACCAGTCGGCTTGGCGGCGCTCATGTCCGCCTTGCATCTTGGGCTTGGACAGCAATTTGGCTATCCAGGGGTGACGGACAGCTTGATGACTGTAAATATCGAGTCAGGCCCTGCTGTAACCTCAGGCACACCAAGCACGGACGGGAGCCCCAACTATGTGTACACCATCTCTCATGAGTATAAGCACGGACTTCGGTTCTCAACGAAGGTTACGTACGGAGACCTGAGCATCAGCACCCCAACTCCGGACAGTCACAAGCTGGACCTTACGCCCCGGGTAACCGAGGAACTTGAAGCCGGCATCGCAGAAGCCGACAGCATGACAGATGCGGAATTCGAAGTGGATGCGGAGAATTCCACCCCCGACGCAACGTGGAAACAACGATACCTCAAGCTCCGTGCGCAGGTGCAGCGAAAGGAGCGAATGTTGTCGCAATATAAGCGCAAAATTCTTGAGTCTGTGATGGCAGACATCTAAGCTCTGAACACTGGTCGTTCACGGAGAATCACCCCTTTCGCCCTCTCCTAATCCCCTCCCAAGCCCCCTCCCTCGACTTGTTGTGATACCCTATACAGTATATTCCTATGTAAATTGTCGAGGTCCACCTGAACACACTTATAAAACTTCATTTTCTTCTATGCTCTTGGTTGTGTGTCTGTTTGTCTGTTGGCTGGAGCCAAATGGCGCTTTCCTGCTGTTTGTTGGTTTCGGTTCGGTCTTCTTTACAGATACCCCTTGAGCGAACTTGTCCGATCTGCTTCACAGCCTGTTAGGTAGTATAGAGTATCTTGATACCATCAATGTTTAGTTTATATTTGCAGTAACTAAAACCCTGTGCAAGTCCTGAAGTCCATCATAGTATCCTGTCGGAGTATCGCATGATTTGATATCCATCCTTTATCGCCCAACCTAATAACAAGCAAGCCTGCAAGCGAAAGTCACAACGCATCCAATCTCCTTCTGCCCCCATCATTGACAAACCAGTAACTCATCCTCCCCTAAACTTGAATTGCATCATCCACCCAACCAACCAGTCAATCATGTAATCCAGAGTAATAAAAAGCAAAGCCCTCAAGCCTCATCCACCTCCACATCACTACCCTCAACCCCCTCCTCATCATCCACAGCCTCCTCCTCCTTCACAGCCAACTCTTCACCATCAGCACAAACCCGATCAGAGAGTCCCTCCTCCCACAAAGCCGCCCTCACCTCCTCATCCTCCTCAGTCTCATCATCGTCTTCCTCCTTCTTGATCCCAACACCAGCATGCTGCTTCTTCTGCATCAACTTCTCAGCCCTAGCGACAGCCATCTTCTTCAGCCCCTTGGCTTTCTTCGATGCATCGCTGATGCCATCGGCCTTGCGCTTTCTGCCCTTAGTAGGTGTGGATGGAGTCGTGCTCTCCGTAGCGGTAGTAGTGCTGGTACTAGCCCCGGTCCGTTTCTTAGCGGGCGTGTTGTTGGCAGAGGAGAGCGGGCCGCCTGAGGTGTTGATGCCGTGTGATTTCAGGAGGCGTTCGTAGCGCTTGGCTCTGTTTGTATGTAGGGGAGATGGTTAGTGGGGTAGTGCGCAAAGTATAGTACTCGTGTTTATTTGTGAAATGTGGAGGATCATGCGATTATGATATGGGGTTGGAGGAAATATATATTTAGTATGTGTGTGTGAATGTGTATGTGACTGAGTTGGGAAACTGAAGGGACAGGATAATTAACGTACGCAGCGGCCTTGGTGATAATATTGCATTCTTGTGCGACGACGGTGAAGTCAATCTTTTTTAATTGTTTATATTAGTCTGTTTTGCTCTGGGAGGATATGATGAGATGGAGTGAGGAGTACGCACCTTGCCGCTGTTAGAGTGGCGGATGCAGCTGAGGAGGAATTGAAGCTGCTCTTCCGGGGTGATGCGGTTGGGCTTGGACGGGGTAGTTGTGGTAGACATGTTGAGCTGGATATATTTTTGCTCGAGTCAAGTTGCAAGAACGGCGAGGCGTGAGTAGATGTGAGTGAGAATCCTCTCGTTTCGTGTGATCTTGGACTCGGTCGAGTGTTAGGGAAGATGATCGCTTGGGAAAGTGTGAACAGTGGATATAGGGACGAGGGTAGGTGAGATAGAGTAGGAGGATGGAAAGAAGTAGGCAGAAAGAAGAGAAGAAGAGAAAGAAGGTGGGAGGGCAGGAACACTGAGACGAGCGGAGGGCTGAGGGAATGTTGTTAGCAAAGTCACTGCTGGCTTCGCTTAGGTTTCTTGTGAATGAATCAGATAGTCAACATCCGTCCGGGAGTCTCAGACTGGAAGGTGGAGAAGTGAAGGGTCTCTAGAGAATAGTGATACGATACTACGTTCTGGCACTTCTGAGCAATGGCTATGACGGAGTGGGCAGTCAGTAGGCTAATTTTCTTATTTAGCAGGTATTAGTGCTCTGGGGCTACAGAACCCTCCCAATCAACCCAGCTGTTCAGAATCTGTAAAGAAATTAAGAGTTGTAGAGTAAACTTCCCAACACCAGTAACAACGCAAGCCCTGCAATGTGGTAGGGAAATACAAACTGCGTCAATCTCCAGTCCTTCCAGATAGTCTTCCTTAAAAGTTCTTCGCGCTAAATGGACCTTGCACGACAATGTAGACCAAATGAAGACAATGAAATGAACAAACTATATGGACTCGGTTGTCTGAAATCCATATAAGCGTTCAGCAGAATCGCGCGTAGAAGTTCAAGCCGTAGCACACTCCATGTCAACATCCGGGGTATTGTCTTCCATGAGACTGTCTGCATCGTCTTCCTCTTCCTCCTTCACAACAACAATCGATTTAACCCCGCGCTTGCGGCCCTTGGTCTCCGACTTAAGCGTACCAGTGGCAGGAATGGGCTTCGAAGTAGTAGCCTTCGCTCCCTTACGCGCGGCGACTTTTCTGCCCTTGGGCTTGACGGGAGTAGGCACGTCGGAGTCAGACTGCTCTGCGACGTCATCACCGGCCTCGGTAGCACCTGCAGCGCCTTTATCCTTATCGCCATTGGCACCTGCACTCTTGAGTATGCCAGAGCCGGACTTGGCCTCAATATTGTTCAAATTGTAGCGCTTGCGAATGGCACGGAAACGGTTGCCGACTGAAGCAACATTGCTGTAACCCATCATGTCTCCAACCTTGGTAAGATCGATCTGAAGAAAGCAAGTTGGTGTTAGTAGAGCCTATATCTGCGATGAGAGATCATATTACCTGTTTGTCGTCCCCCATGCACTGCAGACAGGCGAGGAAGAACTGCGCGTCTGCATAAGGGATATCTAGACCGGCGTTAACGGACTTCGCGGCCTTTGATTTCGTAGCCTTATCCATGGCGAAGGTTAGAGTATTCGATTTTCTAGATGGTATAACGTAGAGAGGCTGTAGGTTAGATGATTCAGATATGAGGAGTGAGTAAAAGTAAACGGGCTAATCACCAAGATGGAAAGGAGATGAAGAGGGACCGTTCGGGTGGTGAATAACAGAGACAAGTGAGAGGTCAAGCCACAAAGCCCCACCGTATAAAACGCCAAAATGTGAGATGCCTCACAGATCAGTTCGCTACTATTTCAGGTTAATCGGCGAGGCCAACTCCCGGTCCACTCTCCCAGTGTAGCTGGTAATATCTGTTGGTGGTGGTATGAGGGAAAAGTGAAGCGGGTTATAAGATGCTACGCGACATCAATGGCAAAACTACCGCCCAACTAAAGAATAACTTCATAAGCAAAAGCAATATTATATTTCTGCTATCAGGATAGTTTCAGCAAAGGGACATCGGTCCTCGTGGTCGTTTGTCGAAGCCAGCAACAAATCCCCAGAAAACCCGCTTCCAGATCCCACAAGGACCGAGTTCTACCTGCCACTATCTATCTCAAAATGCAGAAACAAGAATTGAGACTGATGTCCGTCAGTCCTCAATGACAGTAATCTCCGACTTTCTGTCCGATAATTCCTCCTTGGCCTCCCTGTCTACACTTTTGCCTTTGTCGACCGGTTCTTCTTTGATCTCGTCCAGCTTCTTCTCCTCGTCTTCTGGATCAGATTTATAGGCCTCCCAGCCAACTGAAGCCATAGAAGATGGCAAGTACTGCTGCTCATGATGCTGCTGCTGGTAGAAACTACCTGCAAATCCTCCCATCGGTGTGTACATGTTGTATTCATCCATACTGTATCTGTGCGGGTAGTAGAACCCCCAAGGATATGCCATATGGGGGAAGAACGGTCCCGGATGCATGGCATGAGGAGGAGCGAGAGGTATATCTGCCATACGAGGCATTGTCTCACCGTAACTTTCCTCCTTGACCTCCTCCTTGATTTCCTCCTTAATAGGGACGAAAGGTTCAAAGTCAGGGTAAGAAGTCGCCGGCACAGTCGTGGCCCCTGCCCTACTGGAGCTAGCTCTGGCTGACCTTCTGTTCTCGACTCTCTTAGGACGCGCCACTTTCTGGTTGGGCCCTTGATTTTCCAGCTGGCCTTTGAGCCGCGAGTACCGCATTCTTGCAGCATGCCCATTGGAGATATTCAGCTGCGAGGCAACCAAGGCCCAGTCGATCTACTCAGCTGTCAGCTACTATTACTGTCTTCCAGAGCTTCACTCACGAACCGTTCTCAAGTCCAACTGTTTCATAATGGTGTACAAGAACTTTACAGCCGGCTCATCGACCGACATCATAGACTTGGTGCGTCTGTAGTTGGAAGCGGTGGACGTAGCAGATGATGGATTCGTTGGAGATGCGAAATCATTCTCGGCTTGATGATTCATGGTTAGGTCAGGCTTCAGAGTACCTGCTATGCCAGAAGCACTCATGTCAGGGAGGACAACTCATAGGGGGATATTGAGGAGGGGACGTACCAGACGCACTAGGCTTGACGGTGGTTTTGGTAGGAGTTGGGCTCCGGCTTTCCATCGCCTCAGCTACTCCAACGTATGTACGTGAGTAATCTGGTGACCTCCTGTGCAAGCACAATGGAATATGGAGTGTTCACTGTGGGAGAAAGATGTAGGAGGTGAATGATGAGAGACCGATGAACATGGCTTTAGACCTGGTACTTATAGACCTACATTCCAGTACCGGAATAACTTTCGGTATCTTCTTCGTGAGTGAATCGAAGTACTGTATTCATGCTTGCCATGAGGACTCCACTTTGTTTCTGACATAGACAGGGTATGTGCAGTTGGGCATTGGCTCCATACAGATGCCTAGCGCCCTGTTCCTATTAATCGTCACGGAATACCGAGCTTGATTGGTGCTACTCACCCGTGCACGCGGGCTAGTGAATCGGACTGCTGGCACAGGATTGGGGGACTGGGTGTAGCCCACCAGAAAACAAAGCCAAGGTTGGGTCTAGATGCACTCTAGGCGGTCGGTTCTGGGTAGTCTATTCATGTTCTGTGAATACAGACAGGGTCTTAGTCCAGATCTCCCATTTCTAGTAGGTTTTTGGCACTAAATATATGGGCTCGCTAAGATATAATCGTACTTGTGAAAGATAAAACTATGCAATTGAACTGCTATCCCATTAAGAGTGTGTATCATGTCATATCTCATGGTGAGATGCTATTACATACTACTAATATCTCCGTAGAACTAGATTGGGGGAGTTGGCAGAATATATACTGAAATCTTCACCAGCCAAGGGCAACTGGTAACGCGTGAAAGCTACTAGTAATCAATGGCCCTATTTGTGGCTCTACTTTGCCAATGGAAGTTTCTCGAGACAGCTGTACCTGAAACATTATCTCCAAACATTACTTGTCCTGTCACCTTTAGACTTTACATGCTTTTACAAGTATATTAAGACAATCTTTATGTTTGAGTAGGCAATGTAGGCACAGATAGCTGCATGATAAATTATACTAGTAAATAAATCATACTAATATTCCGGAAACGTACCTCTGCCTGTAAAAAAAAGTGGATGATTTATCTTTCCATGAAACACCAATCACACCAAAACAATTAGCAGGTAGTACCGATGTCTCATGCTATTTTTATATGTCAACTAGACTTATGGAAGATGCCGTGGTTCTGTGCATATGCGCGTGGCTCTCTCCGCGATAAATAGATACTACTAGTACTTCTCTTTGGGAGAAGCCGCCAACCGTACGGTTATTTCCACAAATGCCAAATCCTACACAGTGAATACTCACAAGAAGGATTCAACCCTAGATTTGGTGTTACTGTTACCTCTTCAACCATGTTTCCCTAGTACTGTTTACTCGATCGTGGATCTCCAACTTCCAGCGATGATGTCGACAGTGGGTCCTGACTAATCCCACCACCGCAATACCCCTCTCGGCATACAAGGTGCAGATATTCTGCTTCGGTATGCCATTCCTCTTTGCAGGAGTTACCAAGTGAACAATATGTCCTTGGTCGCAATAGGTGCATGCTATGTGGATACAATCCTAACGTTCGTTGGCGCCCTCTACTGCTAGTTCCCATCTTTTCAGTAGCTAACTCTTCGTATCAGAACACCCCACTATCCGGGAGAAGATGATAAGCTACGAGCTTCCAGTATCTCCCGTCGGCGGGGAGGTAACTGTCCAAATTCTCTGGAAGTCTTGAAGCAGTTGACAGCGAACAACCCTTCAACTGCTGATGTCTCCCTGAACCTGATTGCTGTCCTACCTGCGAAGGCGTCTACTGCTGCCCAAGAGATTCAGTCAGCATTCAAGCCCCACGTTAACCTGTCTCATTGTATCTTTCGAGAGGCCTTCAATGAGCCTGCCTCAAGTTACATCATCAAGAGTGAATCGTCTGGCAGTCGTACCATTGTCAACTACAATGAACTGCCTGAGATGACGGTGGATGAGTTTACCCAGATTGCAGGCAATCTCACCAACCCAACTTGGTTCCATTTCGAGGTTTGTCATTACATTTATGATGTATTCTCTGGAGCTAACAACTTCGTTAATAGGGTCGGATACCTGACGTGACTTTATCATGTATCCGATATCTCCGTCAGCGGTACCCATCCGCGACTGTTAGCGTCGAGGTTGAGAAGCCTGGGCGCGAGGGTTTGCAGAACCTAGCAGAGGAAGCTGACGTAGTATTCTACTCGAAGAGCTGGGCTCAAGTAAGGGCCCCTTGATCAAGAAGTCCATATCATGCATCCCTCTAATCACCGACTCGCAGGGAAACGGATGTCATACTGCTGAAGAATGTGTTCGGAAAGAATCGACACTGACACGAAAAGCGTATGGTTCTTGCTGAAATTACACGTTGAGACTAAGGGTACTAATACTACCAGGTCGTTGCTGTGCTGCACTTGGGGTCAAGACGGTGCTGTGGCTTTTGAGCCCAAAACGCAGACTTCAGTTCATAGTCCTGCATATTCTGCAGCAAACTTTCAAGTCATCGAGTAAGTCGGCTATGTTTTCATCACTCTCTTGGTCCGGGTTATTGTTTGTATCCTTTGCGGCAATTGTGTGATATTAACGATAGTTTCTAACATCGAACCAGCCCGATTGGCGCAGGTGACACTTTTATAGCCGGTATGCTATACGCACTAATCTGTCGAGGAAGTGAATGGAGCCTATCAGAGAAATTAGGCTTTGCCAATCGACTCGCCGGTATGAAGGTCTCCCAGGAGGGGTTTTCAGGTCTTGCAAGAGCTTTGGAGTCTTTCCCTTAGAGTCGTTGTGTATACTATTGCAGAGAGTAATTTTGCAGGGTAAGGGTAGCAATTTGAGCAGTGAAAATATGTTACGGTGGGCACAAGAGTAGGAGAGCAAAAATCATTAAGAGTGCAGCCATTATGTTTCCTGATGAACTAAAAGCACCCATTGAAGCTGCAATATCAGCAACTTAATAAGCATATCGGGCATATTATAGTTAGTTGAGGTGATAAACTATCAACATGATTCTTATGATCACACGTGATAAGGATCTAGATTCAAATATAGGAAAAGGCGGTTATCACGTGAATAGCAAAATACATATGCGGAAGGCGGTCACAGCCAAAAATTATTCTGCCCGCAGCTTTTTCTAAATTTGCGGGCGATCATCAGATTCGGAGTCTCCAAATCCCTACAACCCATACACCATGGCATCCGTTTACAAGACTATTTCGAAGAAGGCAGCTCGCCAGCTCGCCAAGGAGGAGGAGTTTGATGAGGAGGATGTTGAGATGGAGGAACTTCTCGACAATGCCGACGACACCACCGACAGCGAAAGCGATGAAGAAACTACGACCGAATCGGCCAAGAAGCAGCTCGCTCAGGGTTTCATGCCCAAGACTCGTGTACTGATGCTGACCTCCCGAGGTGTGACATACCGGTATGCTTGATGTCTCTGTCCAGATGGTATATGTTGAAGCGCGAATGTAATGCTAATATTTTCTGTTTGCTGCAGCCATCGACACCTGCTCGCCGACCTTGCGTCTCTGCTCCCTCACACTCACAAGGAAAGCAAACTCGACACCAAGAAGAAGACCGCTGGATACAACCTGCTCCTTAACTCTCTCGCCGACCTTCACTCCTGCAACGTGATTTTCTTCCTCGAGGCTCGTAAGCAGGGTCAGGACTTGTACCTTTGGCTTGCTCGCCCTCCCAACGGACCGACGATCAAGTTCCACGTCGCCAACTTGCACACAATGGCCGAATTGAATGCTGGATTCAGCGGCAACTGCCTCAAGGGTGGCCGTGGTCTTGTTGTTTTCGATCGCTCTTTCGACGAACAGGGTCCGCTCATGAGCCAGCCCGGCAACGAGTACCGGGGTCTGATCAGAGAGATGCTGCGCGGTGTCTTCTGTGTCCCTAAGCGTGGTGTTAAGGGCATGAAGCCGTTCATTGACCGCATCATCGGTGTCTTTGGTGTGGATGGCAAGATCTGGATCCGTGTCTACGAGATCCGCGAGTCTGAGGCTGGAAAGAAGTCTGAGGATGGTGCAGATGCCAAGCCTGCTCCCAAGAGCAAGGACGGTCAGCCGGAGGTTTCTCTGGTCGAGATCGGCCCCCGCTTTGTTCTTACGCCTATTGTCATCTTGGAGGGTAGCTTTGGCGGTCCTGTCATCTATGAGAACAAGGAGTACGTGAGCCCGAACCAGGTCCGTCGCGAGGTCCGCATGAGCAAGGCTGCTCGCTACGCCAAGCGCAGAGATGTGCAGACCGACCGGTTCGCGAAGCGGTCGACCCTGGGACTGGGAGAAGGCGAGAGGAAGCCGGATGCGCTCGACACGAGGCAACTGTTCAAGTGATGGATTCCCGTTTTGTTGGTTCTTTCTGTTGTTTTACGCCCTATTAGACTTGATATCCTCAAGGGATGTATATGTATTGATGCGAGGGGTGAATGCATGGTCCTGCTGGCGTCTGGTGTGAAATAATAATAAAAGTTTTGATGCTACGGTTCACTATTATCCTGATCCCATGGATCTAATCATAGAATAAACAACCCCTAGACTTACTGGGTGGATTGACATCGTTGCTATGGGCCTCGGTGATTGGGTAAACGGGGACAGGTCAGTCTTTCAGCTTTCCAAGAAAGGGTATGACTTGCAGCAAGGGAGGCATTGAACTAATGTGCTGTATGTTCTCAAGCTATATGTCGCAATTTGACTTAGAGTACGGAGTAGCTGGTGAACCAATGGAGCAATGGCGCATCTGCGGAGGAGCGTCGGTCTGGCTGGAAAGCGGAATGATGAAGGGGATCCTGTCAAGTGACTTAGCGGCGGGTCTCCCTTTGCCTGCCCCGGATTTCCTCAGCGCAACTGCACCCTTTCGCTCGTCATCATGGCATCCCTTTCGCAATACAGCGCTGGGTGGTTGCTGGGTGCTCATGCACCTTCTTCCACAATGGCCTCCACTCTGTCTTGCTTCCACTGTGTTTTGATCACCCCCAAGGGCGGGGTCGCGACCTAGAGTTAGATCGTGATCGCGACGGCGTTGACTCACTACAGCGCCGAGGCTACCTCTGCCTAAGACTCGCAATTGAACAATATACCTCTTTCCATACCATTTGACCCAAGTTAACTGTACTAGGTACGCGTGGCCGGTCTATAAGACCTACTGGTGTACTCCGTATTTGCTGACGCCTCTAGATCCTTGAAATCATTGAACCATGCCCTTCCATCAATTGGCCACGGAGCTATTGCTCCATATATTTCGCTCATGCGATTCTGTCACCGATGTTATGAACCTTGCAATGACTTGCCGACGACTTCATACCGTCTTCCACCGGTCCAATAAGCTACAAATCCTCGTTGATGTTGCCGAGTCTGAGTTCGGTCCATTGGATGATATCATCCAGATCGTCACACAGAATACCAGCCAACGTGCCCACCTATTTCGTACCGCCCCTATAACCAACTCCCTCCTTAAACAAATAGTCCAGATCGGGCACGTGGCCCAGAAGTGGGAAATTATATACCCAGTTAAGAAATGGAAGACCGATTTTGAGAATCGTCGCTCGCTGGATGATGATGAGCGGTTCCGTCTCCGCCGTGCAATCTATCGTCTCTGGCTGTACCACCGAGCCTTTCATACGGAGTCTTATAGTCGGTTCAGCCGCACCCTTCCACACATCGTTTCCGAGCGTGCCCAACTATTGCACAACTGGTCTACAGCTGAGCTGGCCGAGATCGAGGACGTACGTTTGATCATCGGTGATATCGTACAGAACCACATCTGTCCCAGCAACGGGACCATCCAACGCAAGTTCCGAAAACGCTACCCGGAAAGTAACTATCAATTGACGTTCAATATCCATCTAAATTACCCTTCAAGCAGTAGTCCCGCTGGTGCACCTAGTCTGTTCGAGAAGGACCCCAATTCAGCCGAGCAGTATTTCCACACCGCGCACCCTAGCAACTTCACTGAATCACCCGCTAAATATAAGTCGCGGTTCCGGAACGACTACTTCCATGACCCTGGTTCTGAAGGTTGGGGTGACGAGATCCCACATTATTATGTCGTGCAAGACATGCTGAAACTCGATCCAGGCCAGGTGATCTGGCTACGGGAGCATGCGCTTCTTAAGGAACAGGTGGAGACTTATGTACGCTCTTTTGGGGACTGGTTCCGCGACAATGGCGAAACGTTTGGCGATACGCTGGAGTGGGTGATGAAAGAGCGGGGAGATGATATTGATGAGTTTCGAGCTGCTATTGCAGACCGGGAGGTTGGCGTGGTGTGGGATTGATGTGATGCAATTGTGTCTGTCTGTTTGCTGTCATATCGCGTAGCATGATATTTACTGTAGGAGACATGTGAATGTTACAATAGGTAATGATTGAGAACCATCAGCTGTGCAATGATAATTTTATCCCATCCCTTGTGTGACTACTACCAAGTCGCTCAGATTCTAGGTACACTGCTTTGATTGGTAACATTCACAAATGCCCAGTGTCTGACATACCCGGACATCTAATCTCACTTCGACAGTAGAGAGAGTATACCATGCACGCCAAGCAAACAACTGACTCACTACCATCTACATGTAGTAAGTATACATTCTGACCCATCATCCCGTTCCTGACATCTAATTCTACAGTAGTACATACAGCAAAACAGACATAGTCGCAACTCTAATGAGATACCATACCTGCAGCCCCCTAATCAGCTCAATCTCTATATCAACCTACCTACACATCGACTGATCATCTCTCACCCACGTGTCCAGACCCAGAGCATAAGAGCAACCGCAGCTAGTAGATAGATAGCTACCTGTCAAACGGAACTCTATTCCGCTAATCAATAACTAGTCACTACTATTACTACATATCTTTTACTATAGACATCTCATTAATCACAAGACCACACACCATATCTCTCAACCCTGAATACAATTGAGCACGCAAGTCACTAATACGTAGCTACCTAGCCCCCAACTCACCAAAAAAAGCAAAGCAGTCAGGTCAGAAAAAACAACCCCCCTAGTCAATTCTCCCCTTCTCCTCCCCCCCTGATCAACTCAGTCTAAACCAGACGGGGAATAAATTCAGCCGCGGCGGCTAACAGTGGGTAGGAGTGAGTGGAGACCGCTGTGAAGGGGAAGGAAGGAAGGACTTTGAAACCGAGGCGGTCTTACATAAGGAATTGCCGGGGGTCGTTGGTTAGTAGTTAGGAAGGATGAGTGGGGGCCGGAAAGTTGGCTGTAAAGTTATGTAGTATCTGTGTACATAGTTCATCTGTAAACTAGATATTCTCCTACATTGTAACTTATGATGGTAAAGTGAGTACCGTGTGTAGCGATGAGAGAAGAGAGCGAGAGGAAAGAGAAAAGTAGCTGTGGAGCTCCCGGGTCAAATGTGGGTCGAGGGGTGATGCCCGCATGGGGTTGGCGAATTATTAATGGCTAGTAACGGGCAAACCAACGGGCGTCGGGCCCCATCCGAGGCGGCCAGAAGGGACGATTGCTTGCTTTGCTTTTCTTACGGATCACTTTTTGTTATTTTATTTTTTCTCTTTTCTTCTTTCATTGCATTTATAGGCGAGTAATCTTAGCAAAACACACTGTGCATACCGAACAGACAATCCTGTAGAGCCACGGATAAGACGCCGAGGGGAAAGTGGGGAGATACAACAACATTCGTTAAACCAAATAGGGTTTTGGGTTTCCGTCATCAGGCAGACATCATGGGGGGCAAAAGCAATAAGACGTTATTCAGATCAATTTCTCATCAGGTTAGAATATAGGGAAGAGAAAAGAGGAAAGGGGGTGGAGGAAATCAACAAGAAAGGGAAACAAAAAGAAGTGATAAAAGGGAAACAGAAGATATAAAAGGCAAAGCGAACAAGGTGTCGGGAGAATGTGATGTCCAACAAACACCGCCGTACAATGTCCATGACCCCAGGTGCCATTCCTAACAACGTCCCTCTTGTGTATCATCTCCAGGAGGCTAAGTAACAGACAAAAAGAGAGTTCAAGACCGTTCAATTATCACATCACAAAAATAAAAAGTCGTTGCGGTTGACGTGTCACACATTCCCCGATCTCGTGGCCCCTTAACAGCATCCCTGCTTGGTCTTAGGGTCCTCCGACTCGTCGATCCGCACCATGTCGCGGCGGTCGCCCAGAACGGTCTGGCCGGCATCACCGCCATCCAGAGCCTTGCTGGAGACGATGCGGTAGATTTCTGAAAATAACGAGAATGTCAGCATGACGAAGTTCGTCTGGCAAACGGATTTACGGGGGCAAGTCTAACCTGTCAGGATGTTCTGGAAAGCAAGCTCGACGTTGCTGGCGTCAAGGGCAGATGTCTCGATAAAAGAGAGGTTGTTCTCGCCTAGTAGTATATTAGCACACCAGCAAATTCAACCTATGGGTCGCCATCGGCGAAGGTTCCAACATACTTGCAAATTGCTTGGCCTCTTCCGTGGGCACAGCCCGCAGGTGCCTCAAATCGCTCTTGTTACCAACCAGCATGATGACGATGTTGGAGTCGGCATGATCGCGGAGTTCCTTCAACCACCGGTTGACATTGTCGTAGGTCTGGTGCTTACTGATATCATAGACGAGAAGAGCACCGACAGCACCCCGATAGTAAGCGGAGGTGATGGCACGGTAACGTTCCTGACCAGCAGTATCCCAAATCTGAGCCTTGATCGTCTTGGAATCGACCTGGATCGAGCGGGTAGCGAACTCGACACCGATGGTGGACTTGGAGTCCAGGTTGAACTCGTTACGGGTGAAACGACTCAAAAGGTTGGACTTTCCAACACCAGAGTCTCCAATCAGGACAACTGTTCAGAGCAAACCGTCGTTGGTTAGCTGTGTATCGCGAATTTGCGGCCGACAATAGAGGCAACGGGGTCGAGCGGCGACTGCGGAGACGGGAAGTGGCAACTTTACCTTTGAAGAGAAACTACCAAGTAACCCGTTAGTTATACCGTTGCTTGGCAAGGGGTGCGAATGGGAGAAAGAGGATACTCACATCGTACTCGTCGTTAGCCATGAGGGGTGGTTTGCGAGAGCTCGCTTAGGTTTGTTACACGTAAGATCTGAAGGACTGGGAAGGGATACGACGTGGTCGAGCTTGGAGGGGAGGGTTGGAGGCTCTTTGAAAGGAAATCCGGGCAATAGAGTGTGTCTGACTTTCTGAGAGGAGGGGCGCAACGTTGTCAGCTTTCAGGACCACATCCAAGGGACAGAGGTACTCGGGGGGAGCGAGGAGAAGGGATGTTTAAAAGTAACCGACGGGAGGCGGGAACGGAGGAACTTACCGATGAGTGTAGGGGGAGGCAGGCACCGGGGCAGGGAGATTAGGAGGTTATCCAGACTGACTTTCTCCCTACGGATTCCCGTCCGTCGTTCGCAGTGCCGAGTGCACTGTCGCCCCTTCGGGCCTAGCGCCGGATCACGTGCGCATATGCAGGTGGGCGGCGCGAGGACTTCAGTCCCTGATCTATTGATCAATTATTGTAAGTATCCTGTTGGGGGAGATCGCAATCCACACGGACAGCTCCTTTAGGTGCACTGTATGTGTCCGTAAGTGTGTGTTTGTGTGACCTGGTTGTTCTCCATCCCATGATCGGTCTTGCAGTTCTTCCGCTGTATGTTTGCCGTGCGCACTTACCAGTGCGAATCTAATCTACATTTTGAATCGCGCTTACATGAGCAGCTGGCTGGCTTTAAACAACTACCTGTTCATTGGTTTCAACTCCAGCTCACACGGCCCACTATGCTATGTTAGGTGGCTATCCTGTAGCTTAATTGGCGTCTCTGGCTCTCTGTTGCGCCCTGCATTCCTTGGGCTCCACATATCAGAAAATCCTTACGCACCCAATTCCATTCAGTATCAGTGTTGCTGTACAATCCGGCAATGACAAGGAGGCAGGATGAGAGTGATGATGACATTTCCATCACCTCAACTGCGGCCAGCTCACAGGCTTCTGAGTATGATGTGGAAGCTATCCTAGCTGAGCACAAATTCCCAGACGGAAAGAGGTACCTGGTCAAATGGGCCAACTACCCTGAGTGGAGAAATACTTGGGAGCCTGTGGAATCCTTCAAAACGGCAGAGACCCTTATCGACTGGCAACGCAGGAAACAGCAGATTGCAGAAGGGAAGCTTGAAGCGTATGACGTAGCCAACTGGGAGCGAAAGAACTTGAAACACCAGGAGGCAAAAGAGGAAAAGAGACGCAGAAGGGATGCCAAAAGGAAACGGCTTGGCTTACCCACGAAGGGCCCCGGGATTGAATCTTCAATCCCTCGGAGCAACTCCCGTGTGAGTGCAAGACAACAGAGTACACAAACGCCGCCCACTTACACACCCAGTATTCGCTCACTGCCTTTCAAAAAGCAGCATGCCCTGGCGAAGCAACCGCCGGTCCTGTTTGGAAGTGGACAAAAACCAAAATCAGCGCTAGCGCCAGCATCAGCTACGCTGCGTTCCAACAATGCCCAGGAGACTGCGAAGTGGTTTTCGCACCTGTCAACGAGGCGAAAACACGAGAAAGCTAAATTCAGAGAGCCAGATCCCAATATTGATCAACTAGAGCTTGTTCGACCGTCAGACTGGTCGTCTAAAACACCTCTGCACCTTCTCAAGTCCGGTCCTTGCAATGCTAGCCCATCTGTTGACCAAAATCGAGATTCAGTCCAAATCGTGACTGACCAGTCTGTTTCACACACGGAGGTTGATCACTCAGATGCACCTGCTCACTTGTCTGGCCCGCTGAGTGATCCGCCAAATCAAGACCGGATAAAGTACGACCGTCGCGATAAATCGGGCCAAGATGTCCCCGAGCTACCTCGTAGGGTGCCGGGTCCCAAAGCTAAATTCGTGTCCGGCCGCTTTTGCAATCCCGGTGAGGTGTTAGTATATATGTATTATGGACCAGACAAAAGGTCCATTGGCCCAGCTAGACTATGTGGTCTTAGCCCTACGTCTGCTAAAAGGCTTATCGCAACTAAGGCGGGGCAATACATTGAGGTTTGGTTTCAGCATATCTGCACGCTGGAGGATTATGAGGTTCTCTGTTATAACTCAGTAAGTGCTTTGGCGGTATATTATGAGTCTTATTTGCTGATCTGAACAACCATAGCGGTCGCGGCATCGCACATATTGTAGGGGCTGGATTCAGGGTTTCAATGATACGGAGTCCAAGATATATAATATGGCACGGGAGCTTGAGCAAGGCGACCTTCTCGCGATTTTTCCAGGCAATCAGGGTACGCCACACAACGTGTTACTGGCCTACCCGTCTAATTCACTGAAGCTCGAGTCACTCAACGACGGCTACTTCAAGAAGGAGCCGGATACCTTTCTTAACCTTGTTGTGAGAGATCCGTTGGACTCTCTTGAGTTTATTGAGCGACTGCCATCTAGGGCAAGAGCCGACGACCGGTGGACAGTTACTCGCCGCCAAGAACTTGTCGTGAGGGATTCTCTGGATTATGAACTACCTCGGAGTGGATGTGACGGCATAGAAGACGTCGTCGACGCCCCAATGTCAATTTCATCAACCGAGCAGGAAAACACATCAACAGAAAGGCAATCCAAAGAAGTCACTAGTGAGAATAGGTCGGATTCATCACCAAAGCCACGAGGGGTCGATTCATCAGAACGGCAATTGAACAGGATTGGAATACCCGTGAAGCCAGACAATTTACAAGAGCCGTTGAAGCTACAGTCTGAGAAAATGTCCAGTCCAGCGAAGCTAGACTCTTCACAGAAGCCTCTGGAGCCAGCTTCGGCCGAAACGAACGAGTCTACCAGCCAAGTGCAAGACGAACCCATGGAACTCGACGATGAACAAGACGAACCCATGGAAATAGATGATGAACAAAACGAACCCATGAAGATCCATGAACAACATAGTTCTGCTTCAGCGCCAGGCGTACAGGACCCAGCAACCCCCGCACCTACGGCCGATCTGGGAAGTATTTTCGAAACAGAATTTGGAGTATCTTATGAGACTCTAGTGACAGTGAACTCCACAGGAAAGGTACAGAGAGCAGAAGCATTCTTTCTCTTGTTCGAGTCCGAGATACTTCAGAGTGAACTTGTAATTCTCCATGCCTTTCTAAAGAAACATAACCCTGTTATATATACTTGGCAGCAGAAGGATGACTGGGAGAAATTTGCACGAGCTGTCCAAGTAGGGGTGGTTTTGGTATGTTCTGCTTCCCACCGAGGTCGAGATGCACTGAAAGACCAACATTTAAGCAGGTTCACGAGAGCTGGGTCAACTTCAACAAATTGTCTTTCTTCCAAAACCTCGTCAACAAGCCGATCAACTTCTGGAGCGTCTCTCTGGCCAAACCTCTCCAATATGCCGGTCACCACTCCCACTTCCAGCGCATTTTCCCACATGGCGGGGCTATATTGGTGACGGAAGACATAATGCTCCAGGATCCGAAAGCAACCATGGCGATACTGGCGTGGTTTGCTGACTTCGTCAAGAAGAAGTACCCGGGATATTGGAAGATCATGTTCCGGCCCGCTATCCTGGACTGGATTTTGCAACAATCAGAAAGTGCAGAGGAATCAGCACGCGGAGTGTACGTTATGACCCTTCAGACCCAACCGAGATCCTAATATCTCTAACCGAAAACTCCATCTTCAGATGGCCTACAATGTACCGTTTAGTCTTAGAGTGTTGCGGCGTTCCCGCAAATGACAACCCCGTTGCCGAGTTATCATCCGGAGCCCATGACGACTACCTCGAAAGCAACGCCATATCCCCTCCCAGCCTTCCGAGTTATGGCACCCGCACTGAAGCAGATAATCCAGACATCCCCAAAGGCCTAACCCAAGACCAGCGCAATGCAGATCACCTTATTGAATTCTTTGCCGGCTGGGGCCTAATCCATCGCCACCGATACCGACGTTTGATCGTCCTTACGCAAACGACACCCCTGGACCGATGGAAAGAATGGCAACACATCGACATTAAATGCGGCTCGAGGGAGTTCATGAAAGCACTCGGAATCAGCTATAGATACTACTGGTCAAAAGTCATTGCTGCTCCTTCCTCGTCTTCAGCAGCCTCTGCTGCCTCTCTTACTTCTTCTAGACCAGGTACACCGTCTGAAACACGAGCTCCATCGGAGTCCTTCACGCCTCGAACGCCTAAGTCTCGGACTTCATCCATGTCAATGATCAGGGATATGGATGGAGCTAGCTACTATGGTCAGGTACCTGGCGGAGTACCTTCTTATCCGAATCCATACAGATGAGCTTTCGTGAAATATGACGGCAAAAAGAAAGATTGTGTGTAACGAGCGGTGGTGAACCGACTTCTTCTTCTCAAGAAATTCCCTATCAGATATTTAACTTTCCAATTTTCTTTCTTATTTATCGTTTTCTCTGTTTCCTATACCCAGTGGGCGTGAGTTCGTTATGTTTGAGGGCGGTGGTGTGCCACTCGTCGATTGATAATTTGTGTAGTAACCGTTTCTTATTGTAAATGGAAAAGCGGAAAGAAGACTGTCCTGATGATGAATTGAACCCGGTATTTGAGCCAATACTCCAGCTGATATTCCATACAGACGATCAACAATAGAGAATGGAGCGTGTAAATACTAGACAGGCAGATAAGTACTAGCAGCAGCAGCAATAAGTACATAGTACGCAATAGAAGGTATCAACACTAATATAAAACGCCCAAAAAAGCTAGCTTATATGAATAATCCATCCGACTAGTAATCGCCGAGTGAGGGTAAAAACAACAGGACTAACTGCCTGACTGCCTGCTTATGTCTCATGCTCTCTCTCTTCCGTTCCTATGTACAATGTCTTCAGTATCCAACCCAAGCGAACGACACCTAAAACCCAGCCGTCTGCGTACGATACTCCCTGAAGCTCGAAATCGGGGGAAGTTCATTCGCCGGCTGCGTCTTCGCTTTCTTATCTTTACTCTTCTCCGCTTTCTCTCTCCGAACCTTCTCCTCCCACTTACTTTCCTCGGCGGCGATCATGGAGTGGAAGCGTCCGCCCTGGCCGCGCGCAAGATAGATAGGTTTTTCGTTCCGCTCCGCGACGGATTCGGTGACCAGGACGAATTTGACGCTCGAACCGGGGGTTTCGA